CCAGAGACGCTTACAAAACAAAGAGCGGTACAATCTTTCCTACGAACGGCTCTCCCAGGATCCCCACAGAAATAGATCTGCCTTGGTGGGCGCTGCGTATCGATCGGTCATTTCGTCTCACCGGTCATTTGAAGGCCCTGCTTCTTGCGTGATAAAGCATGCCATGGATAAGGACGTATGATATTCAAGCACATGGAGAGCCTCAACTCCCCCCCCCACACACCTTTTGTCAATCCACTGCTGGATAGGGGCATGTCCGTGTGAGTCGTGGGTGTTGTTTGACCATACTTCACCACGCCGGACAGCAGTACGGGGTTGGTGACGGTGGCATTGCGCACAGATGTCCGAGCATGACATGTACAGTGAACTGATGGATGTTGCTACACTGCTCTTTGCTGCTCACAACATAGCCCTGCGGCAACCTACAGGGTGGCCCAGATGTCTAAACCCTCAATTAATTGACACTGATTTTTTTTATCCCTTTGCATATTCATTTCTGTTCGAAATGAAACATTGATTTAAAGAATATTACGTTTTGGAGGACTAAATGGGGGTCACAAGACATCTGGACTACCCTGTACAACGACATGTTATGCAAGGTGGTCACCCATCCAATTCTATCCAGGCTCACGACTGCTTAGCTTTCAAGATCTGATGAAATCGGGCCAATTTCATGTGGTTTAGGCATAGGCTGCTACCACTGTGCCTAACTTGTTTAATCTAAGGTACCAAACAGCAATGCATCCTCATCTCTGGCAATTTGATTCCTTTCAAGTTTTATTTTAGGAATCATTTCACCCCACTTACAGTTTTCCGTCAGTGGTAATGCCGGTCAGTTAACGTTGAGCACGTTTGGACAATACTACTACATACGCAGTACATCACAACCTCATACAATAATCATAAATGTAAATAGCATACTGCTAAACATTATATGTAACAACTTACATTAACGCAAGTCAAGGGTTAGGTGTGTGCATGACAATTACTTATGTTGTGGGTTACCCAACTGTTTAAAGGGCAGGTTTATCGGCTTTCCTATTAAGTATCAAGCATCTAATCCATGCCGATGTCAGGCAGATGTTTTGAGTAAAAGGTCAGATACCCAAGCACGTAAAGCCATGGGTTATAAAAAGCACCATCCCCATGCCATTGAGTAATTTCGCTCAATTGTGCTCTCAACATCATGCCGTAAGACAACGAATCCATTCAGATCTCTCGCAGAAAAGTGAACCCCCCCCCCCTCCCGTGTTTGTAGTGGACAGCGCACAGAAGCAGATATCACGGAAATATGATGGAGATCCTGCAATAACTTCTGATCCACATACCAGGGAGTGGCACTGTCCACCGACCCTGCGACAGTGTTGTCCATCACATGACATTCAAACCAATATTTTTTGTTCATTCTCCGGAGATTAAATATGGACAAATGAAGTACACAATTTATTTTAATGTTGGTTTGATTTTGAATAGTGATTGGTGACCACGGCTGTGTACACCATCAACTCATTGCGCTGGAGAAGCCACTGTTGTCGTTTGAGCTCAAGGTTATTAACCTGAGACATCTACCTTATTGAAATATAATGCCTCTTTCATCATCTTCATGTGCAATAAGCTCTGTTGATTTGAATGTTTAATCCATGAGCTCTATATATATATATATATGACGTGGAAATCCCTAAAAAATATTTGCCCGCAGCTAGATAATTGCAAGCCTTCTTTCGCAGCGATGCACTCCGTGGTTGTCTGGCCAAGTGTGAAATTGTAGTCGTTGCTCTGCATCTACATCAACCATATGAAAGAATAAGATTGTAAGCGAGCTATAAGGAAAGATTGAGATTTTTTTTAGCACCATTTTTTCATTAAAACACATGAAGGCAACTGTAGTCCTCAGTTTGACCCTGTTCGGCACGACTGTATGAAGTGCAATAATATGTTTGCCACTGGCCTTGTGCATCTACATTTGCAATTTGTTTCTGTTGTTTTCGGATATTCGCCGCGTGTTGTTCAGCACGATGTTTGACTTTTCTTTTCACTCGGCGTTCCAAGACCTTCAAGCACTGAATTCAATTACCTTAAGAAGCTTCCAGCATGTGGAGCAAGGGTCCAAGTGTCAACGCCGTGGAACACGCAGTAACGAGCCGAAAACGCATCAGACAGCTGTGCAAATACACACACTTCTGGATTTGAAGCTTTTGTGACTGCAATGATTCATACTCTTTGGTTTTTTTCGGTAAAGTCACGTAGGTAAAAAATAAAATAAATGAAAACAACCAAATTAAATCACGACGTTTCGGGCGCAACACAAGCATCCTTCTTGTGTTGCGCCCGAAACGTCGTGATTTAATTGAGCTGTTTTCATTTATTTCACTTTATTTTTTACCTACGCGACTTTACCGACAAAACCAAATACACACACACGTACGAAAACTTACCGCAAGCAGGCGACATATGTGCAATTTCTGGTCACTTGGGCCTAGGAGCCGCGCAGCGAATGTAGTTCGTATTCAGAAGCTTTTGTCAACGCTGTAAACCCATTAAATCACTGCCGAATTTTGACAATCCCTTCTGGTCTAATGACGGAGAGTGCAGGAAATCAGGCACGGCGTTTATTTGACTTGAGAGCAATGTGACGGGAGCAAAGTGCAATCCGCTCCTTGCAGCAGCATTAGTCACTTAAGTAACACCACGACATTGCTGCACTTTGCTCTCTGAAGCCATCCCCGCCTCAGAGCGTCGATACTATTCAAGAAAGGTCATCGTGTTGTTCGGGCAATGCTTTTTTTTTTAAATGTGTGGTTATTTTGCATATGGGAGGAAACCATAATGCCCGCATAACATCCGCAAAATTCGAGGGAAGACTTTTGCAAGTCTGCACAGACGAGCTACAATGCCACTTTCTGTACTGGCCACATTATATGTCCATTGGGTATTGGGATTCTCATCGTTTTGGGAATTTCATCGGCGTGATCCACCACCAACCCGGCCTTTTTAAAGTGGCGACAGATACAGGCGTGCGCACACACAACACGTACACACACAAAAAAAGAAACCAACAGAAAGTTCCACACTTGACAACTGCTATCAGAGTCTGAGCAGACTACCGACTATCCGAACCGAACAACCAGATTCCAGCCCCAACGCTACCCTGGCACCAGGCGCACACACAGTTGGGGTGTCTCCTACAAGTGAGTGATTTCCCGGTGGTTGTCGATAACTTGCTGACCCCACGCATACCGGACATCTGTGAAATAAAAAAATATCTTCACAGCTCATCGGATTCCTTGCCCCCCCACCCACACAATGAATAGAGGCGTTTTACTGCAATATAATGACGGCACATTCAATCCACACAACACCACTGGCGACCAAGTTACCGATTCGACAGTTCATGCGCTACCGTGTAGCCAAAGGTTCCCTCTTCAGCAGAATCAGCATTTTACGTGGCATTGTTTGAAATAACTCGCGATACCGTGACTTTTGACGGACGAAAACATGTGCGTTTCTCAGCCATATCTAAAAGATGTCGATTTAAAGCTTTCGTGACTGCAGGGAAATTCTTTTCAGACGCTGTCTTTCCGACAGTCATGTTCTTCACCTGAGGACGGCTGCTTGCGTTGTGGCCGAAACGTCGTGAGAATTGTATTTTATTATGTTTTATTTTTATCATTTCTTTTCGTGACTTTACCAAAAGAACCAAGAAGAGATCTGAAAAAGGTGTTCGGGTGTTCAAACACCCATGTTACCCAGATGGCACCCTGTCCTCGCACCACGTGATGAATTTCGCTTCGTCCCGTTTTCACTTTTCGCTGGACTTTTTTTGTAGGGATGCTACCGTGTAACGTCTGCCAGTAACCCGGGACTTGCAATTCCGAGGTCACCGTTTCGATCTCCTTTTGCGGCAGTTGAAACAACGTGCAGTGTAACAACTGTGGCGTAACGACGCTTACACAACAGTGATACAATCGGTAGGTCGCGCGTGGTGGAGCAAAGTGTGGATGTTCACAACTCTTCCAAGACGGCTGTCCAACGTGGAAGAAGGCAAGGCCAAAAACTCCCGACAGTAGAGGCCCTTGTTCCAGAAGTGGAGCGATCAATCAATTGAACGGCTGATGAACCGTCACACGTTTTTTTCTTCTTCACATCTTCCACCACTACGCCCGGTTTTGTTGTCATAAACCAACTGCGCACACGTTGCCTGCCCGGAGTCTAACCTGACCTCTCTTATTCTTCTAGCGAGCTCAGCTCACCCTAATCCTAGTTACCTACTCGGCTCGGCTGGCCGGCTTGCCATGCTTGGCTGGCCACAGCCCCAGAGAGGCTGCGCTCTGCGACCCTCTGCGAAGTGGCCGAGTGGGTCTGGTGGGGGTGGTGTGTCAGGCCGGACGCACGAGGGCTCGCTCCTCCGGCACGACGGCCCCCAGACGTCGCATCACCACGCGCCGCGCCACGACGCCCCTCAAGGCGCGCCGGAACGCGAGGCCGTGCACCAGCGGGGTGACGCACGCCGGGTACCCGAGGCCGAAGAGACAGAGCGCCACGCCGAGCCGCCCCGTCGCCCCGCCGGCCAGGTAGTGCGACATCAACACGGCGGCAGCGGGCGCCACGCACAGCACCACGTGCGCTACGTGAGTGACCACGGCGACCACCGCGCGCCACCGCGTGCGTCTGCGCGAAGACGGCTGCCGCTGCTGCTGCCGTGGCTGGGCTCTGGTGATCGCCCAAGCCGCGGCAGAGTCCACCGCCTCCACGTGGAGCGGCTCCGGCGCTGTCCTGGGTCTCGCTCCGCCGATGCGCGCCAGGAGGCAGAGGTTGGGCGCGCCGAACAGGAGCGAGAGAGCGCACACGCACGCGGTGAGCGCGCCCGTGGCGCCTCCGCTGCGCGCCGCAGACTCGCGCATGGACGGCCGCAGCAGCGCCGACGCGCACAGCAGCTGCGAGCCGAGTGGGAGCTCCGCCTCGGTGCTCATCAGCACGTCGAGCGCGAAGGGCAGCGACGAGCCCAGAGCCAGCAGAGCGAGCGCCGCCGACAGCGAAGCGACGGCCGAGTTGGAGACGCGGTGAGCGAAGAACCAGGGGCGCAGCACGGCAAGCATGGTGAGCGCGGACTTGAGCAGCAGCAGGCACAGGCGCGCCAGGTAGGTGAAGGACAACAGCAGCACCTGCAGCGCGCAGGCTGTCCGGCCCAGCACCTGCGTCTCCGTCAGGAGGTTGGCGAGCAGCACCGGGGCGGAGGCGAGCGTGGAGGCGATGTCGCAGAGCGCCAGGAGCATTGCGAGCACCTTGCTCTCCTTGTGCGAGCTCGAGTCGCGCAGGGCCACGTACAGGTGGGCGGCGTTGAGGAGCAGAGCGGTCACGCTGGCGGTGGCGACGAGGTACACGAGCAGGCGCTTGTGTTGCAGAGCGCAACGGAGCGATGGGACGACGTCTTCCTCGAGCCCAGCGCCGCATAGCCGACTGGCGTTGGCCGTGCACATGGTTTCGTTTGTTGAGGAGGGCACCTGCGGTCGAGGAGATATTGCTGATGTGGTTGGGAGGTGGGGGGCTCCTTTTTCTTCCGGAGTGAGCCGATCTTGCGGGCAGGCAGTGAGTTCTGTGGTGCCTGGTGCATTCATTACTTGGGATCAGGAACAGGTGTGCGTTGAAAAGCGATGGCCTTCTAACGATTCGCTCGGTTGTCTCCGTACGGTGCGAAATAAGTTCAGCATGCATACATCCAATTATACGGTGGCTGGTTTAATAATAGCGGATCAGGCAGCTGATTGTCTTCATACCTAAACCGATGTGACAGGCACCGACATGACTTATTGCGCAAGCATGCGTTTTACCGAATCATCTTAATTACCGTCGTCATCGTCCTCACCATTGGTAATGTTTCACGCACCGGGCCAATGGAATCGGCTAGCTCCGTGCAAGCTAATGTTTTAACATCCTCATTATCGTTGTTGTCATCGCTCGCTTATGCACCACGATTCATTGCTGGATGAATATTCCCTCCACGATGTTACATACTTCTGTCGATGATGTTTCGCAGCTGTAATTTTACAACTGTAAAAGACGATCAAACTAAAATTAGACGATACACAGAAACGCGTAAAAATGTACAACGCCCGAATTGCAGTCAATTCGTTTATTTAGCTATACGATCTCCGCGGACATGTGCGATATTTTAACAGATCAAACTCGTTATCGTCGCCTTATAATTATTTTTTTGGGAAAAAAATAACCTGTTACCTTAACAATATCAGAAACCCCACTGACATACAAAAACACGACTTTTGTTGTCTTTAAAGGATACTTATCAGCAGTGCCCCTATCCTCCCATTCACTCACCGGGCTGGAGCGCAGCGTGGTACAAGAGTGGACACTCCACGTGCTACTAAACGGGGACAAAAGGGGAGTATCTTGGAGGGAGACCTAGGAGTGAGGGTGTACGAGGATGAGGGATGGGACGCGAGGTACTGCCACGCATTGCGCGTTCCTTTTTATCGAATGCATCCCCGTGTGCTCGTCAGAGATTGGAGTCGCGAGCTCTGCACAGGGAGGAGGAGGAGGAGGGGCGCATGAGAGGGCTGCACTCCTCGGTCAAATGACATTCACCTGGCAACCACGTGTAAGCCGTGCATTTTCATTCATTTCGCACAGATAGCAATATGCATGCGTGCGCGCTGTACGTAGGTGCATGCACACGGGCGAAAATTGAGAGGTTACCGGTGCAGCCCTGCAAATGCAATCCCCTCGCCCACGCCACCACCGCTGTTGGAAGGGCCTCCACTAGAGAAAGAGAGAGGGCTTTGCAGTGCCCTTTCGCTCTCTCTGTCTCAGCCTACTCTTCCACGTTCACCAGACGTGAGCGGTTTGGCGACCTGGAAAATATATCCGTGGCACCAAACGCACAACAATCCAGTGTATTTAACACGTAGGCTTTCGCGACCAATATTCTTCATAATATAGGTTTTTGGGTCAGATCGCGTTATTTATAAATGTGTCGTAACCCTCCACCACCCGACATGGCCAAACAGTAAAAAATGTGTCACGTTTTTCAAAGCAACAGCATTTTAATAAAAATGCTCTTGATTCTCTTTTCAACACACCGGTGGGCTAAAGAAGTGAATTATTTTGTCCTTTGAAAAACGTGACACATTTGTTACTGTTTGGCCGTGTCGGGTGGTGGAGGGTTACGACACATTTATAAATAACGCGATCTGACCTAAAAACCTATATTATGAATCCAGTATATCTCTCCCCCATTATGGCTGTGTCTACTCGTCACGTGTCACCTCCTGGTCTACCAGCGACCCAATCCTCTGCTGAATGAGGGCCTCTCCCACACCTTGTGGATTGTGGGTGTTATCTGACCATACTTCACCGCTCTGATCCTTGTGGGTTGGTGAAGCCGGGGTGTATACAAGTACAATATATAACAATGGATGTTGGTGCACTTCCCTCTGATGTAGCACCGAAGTCGATATCAACCTGCTGTGCATAGTGGTCACCCATCCAAGCACTATCCAGGACCAAGCCTGCTTAGCCTCTGAGATCTGATCAAATCGTGTGCATTCCAAATGATTGGTCGTAGGCAATATATATAGAGGCATTGCAATTCACAATGCAAGCAAATTGAGGCTTGTCTTGAAAAATATGGCTTCATCGACACATTTGGAAATCCACTTTGGATAATACTGTATGTGTACATTGTTTTATTGTATATGCTGTTTGTATCATTTCCTCACCGTTGGCTACATAATTATTACAACAATTATCTAAAGGCGCTGCGACTCTCATACAAACGGTACACATTTCACGTGTTAAATAATAAGCCGGTGCGCTACAAATTGCTCGCATGCGCATTCAGTCACGCGTGTACTCTCGTGTTGTGCGTTTGTTATTTCACAGCATGGATGCACCGCAATATATGCCATTTGTGTGAATTGTAGAGCTGAGATGTTTAATGATTGTTTTTCTTTTTTTTCGACTTAAAGCTTTCGTGACTGCAGGGATTCATATTCTTGGTTCTTTCGGTAAAGTCACGTAGAAGGGAAATAACACAATTATAAAAAAAAAAAACATAATATAATAAAATTATCACGACGTTTCGGCCACAACGCAAGCAGCCGTCCTCAGGTGAAGAAACACAACTGTCGGAAAGACAGCGTATTAATGCACGCGGCCAACACCAGTGACGAAAGTCTGAATCGATCCTGGGCCTCCCGTAGGTCGACTCAGCCTCAAACGAGTACCTGGTGCGATGTGTAAACATCGCCACTTGGTGGCCTCCCACTCCCCCGTGTGGCGTGCTGGCCTTCACAGGAGTTCGCTAACAGCACTTGCCCCAACATGCTGTTAAGGCTATACGAGCATCTTTGTATTATGTACGTATGAAACAGTTCTGAGCATGCTCAGGCATTGCATTATGTATTTTATAAGGTTAGGCCATGCAGTGTGAAGATAATGGCCAGGTAATATATTAATTTGCACATACATATAACACAATTCGCTTGGAATGTCACAGCGTAATTCTATTAAACGAATTTATCAGTTTAAATAATTATTGCTTTATCAGCGTAACCCTTGCAAGCTATTATGTTTTGAATATAAATTTATTTAAATAATTGTAAAATAAATGCTGTGCGTCAATGCTTTCTTTAAATTCGTTTAAAACGGATTGAAAACAATCGTTTATTTGGAATTAAATGTGTTTATCTGAACGAATAAGGCATTAAGACATTCACAATTTACAATACTTAATCACATTTTCTTCTGATTTACTCTCATAAGCCAGAACATAGTGTTGCTTAATCCTTAAAAATACGCTTATTCACATTTTTTTAATCATCTTTAAAGCGTTGCGTCCATGTGTCCTTTATAATTGGAGAGGATAAATGTCTTTTTTGCACAATACAAATAATCTCCATGTCTCATTGATGTATTTTAAACTGTTCAAATCGATGCAATTACGTGGACCCTTCGTCGTTGTTAATGGAAAGTCTCTTGAGCTGACGGCCAAAAAAAATTCCCATCTCTATTGTGCAATGTGGGTGTCGGATTCGTCGGTCACACAATAGGTGGAGTCTTCGTGTGCAACGACGCCCTTTTGCAGAGGCAGACAAGTACTACAAGCGTTGAAGCACGACAACACGTCGATTACTGGACCTGTTTACGAAAGGCTGGCTTTTTGATCGGCAGTGTTGCATTGTGTTACAATATTGAACGAAAAAAACTTATCGGTAAAAAAAAAACGGGCTCGTTTCAGGCAAAACTGAGCAATATTTTTTTGCTCACAAAAAAAATACCGAGAATGCTTTCTTTACCCATCGTTAACATGAGCTGTCGTCTGTCTAGCTTGTTAACAGGCAATAACGTTACAATGTAACTATTGTACTGTAATTGACTTGTCGGGAGAGGGCAGTGTTGTGCACGTGTACAAGTTAAAACTAAACATTTTTTTTATTTTACCAGGTAAAGCTCACTGAGCTATACATAGTTATTTTCAGAAGCGACTTGGCCACAAATGCTAGCTCAACGAAGTGGCTTATCCATGTGGAGATGTATCGTTGCCAAATACTCTAAACGCGTGAATGTTGATTCTAAATGTGGAGGGGAAAAATAGGAGGACCCGGAGAAAGATCCACGTGGCCACGGGGGAAGAGAGACACCACAAACTCCAAATATACAGCAGGCGTCAGGGTCGTGATCGGGATCGAACCCACGGCCCTCCTGTATACCAGGCGAGGGAGTTAACCTCTCCACCACGATGGCAGATGGGCGAGACTGGTGACAGAATGGCAGCCAAATGGGTAAAATAATTAACCCGTAAAAACAAAGTTTTTCACTATAAATCCTTTATATGCGTGGCGGCTAGAGTCCTCTCGTCCTCTGGCTTGAGATGGCTGCCACCTATGGGTCAGATGATTGCCTGCCACCATTAAGCAATTGGTAATTAAATATAATTTATTTTTTCCAAAAAAGTGTAAAATTTTGGAAACATTTTTTCACGAAAATAAATTGTCACGCACAACGAGTCTGTGTGCAAAATGTCAGCTCGATTGGATCACGGGAAGTGGGTTAAAAAACGACCGAAAGATTTGCACGGTCGTAAGCGCGTAAGCAAGCAAGCAAGTGAACTTAATATAAAGGATTTTAAAAGCAACGCTGGGGTAATTTGCATCTTAGTGCCGTGGGTAACTCACTTGCACGAGCCAGTGTTATGGGAGTGTGTATTTTAGTCTGCGTGTATTTATGTACGTTGAACTTCTTTCGTACCGTACATAGCTATCCGTGATAATCGCAGGTGCGGAGGGAGGACAACAAACTCTGGGTCTCTGTGTGAGTCTCTAGGTCTCTATGTGAGTTTGTGGGTCTCTGTGTGAGTCTATGGGTCTCTGTATGCGTCTTTGGGTCTCTGTGGGTGTCTACGGGTCTCTGTGTGAGTCTCTGGGTCTCTGTGTGAGTCTCTGGGTCTCTATGTGAGTTTGTGGGTCTCTGTGTGAGTCTGTGGGTCTCTGTGTGAGTCTCTGGGTCTCTGTGTGAGTCTATGGGTCTCTGTGTGAGTATACGGGTCTCTGTGTGGGTCTACGGGTCTCTGTGTGAGTATGTGGGACCTCTGTGTGAGTCTACGGGTCTTTGTGGGTGTCTATGGGTCTCTGTGTGAGTATACGGGTCTCTGTGTGAGTCTACGGGTCCCTGTGTGAGTCTACGGGTCTCTGTGTGAGTCTATGGGTCTCTGTGTGAGTCTACGGGTCTCTGTGTGAGTCTATGGGTCTCTGTGTGAGTTTGTGGGTCTCTGTGTGAGTCTGTGGGTCTCTATGTGAGTTTGTGGGTCTCTGTGTGAGTCTACGGGTCTCTATGTGAGTTTGTGGGTCTCTGTGTGAGTCTGTGGGAGTCTGTGGGTCGCTGTGTGAGTCTATGGGTCTCTGTGCGAGTTTATGGGTGTCTGTGTCAATCTATGGGTCTCTGTGTGAGTCTATTGGTCTCTGTGTGAGTCCCTGGGTCTCTATGTGAGTTTGTGGGTGTCTGTGTGAGTCTATGGGTCTCTGTGTGAGTTTGTGGGTCTCTGTGTGAGTCTACGGGTCTCTGTGTGAGTCTGTGGGTCTCTGTGTGAGTCTCTGGGTCTCTGTGTGAGTCTATGGGTCTCTGTGTGAGTCTACGGGTCTCTGTGTGGGTCTACGGGTCTCTGTGTGAGTCTGTGGCTCTCTATGCGAGTTTGTGGGTCTCTGTGTGAGTCTACGGACCTCTGTGTGAGTCTATGGGTCTCTGTGGGTGTCTATGGGTCTCTGTGTGAGTCTATGGGTCTCTGTGGGTGTCTACGGGTCTCTGTGTGAGTCGGTTGGTCTCTGTGTGAGTCTATGGGTCTCTGTGTGGGTCTACGGGTCTCTGTGTGAGTCTGTGGGTCTCTATGTGAGTTTGTGGGTCTCTGTGTGAGTCTATGGGTCTCTGTATGCGTCTTTGGGTCTCTGTGGGTGTCTACGGGTCTCTGTGTGAGTCTATGGGTCTCTGTGTGAGTCTACGGGTCTCTGTGTGGGTCTACGGGTCTTTGTGTGAGTATGTGGGACCTCTGTGTGAGTCTACGGGTCTTTGTGGGTGTCTATGGGTCTCTGTGTGAGTATACGGGTCTCTCTGTGAGTCTACGGGTCTCTGTGTGAGTCTATGAGTCTCTGTGTGAGTATACGGGTCCCTGTGTGAGTCTACGGGTCTCTGTGTGAGTCTATGCGTCTCTGTGTGAGTCTGTGGGTCTCTGTGTGAGTCTCTGGGTCTCTATGTGAGTTTGTGGGTGTCTGTGTGAGTCTATGGGTCTCTGTGTGAGTCTATTGGTCTCTGTGTGAGTCTACAGGTCTCTATGTGAGTTTGTGGGTCTCTGTGTGAGTCTGTGTGAGTCTGTGGCTCTCTGTGTGAGTCTACGGGTCTCTGTGTGAGTCTATGGGTCTCTGTGTGAGTTTGTGGGTCTCTGTGTGAGTCTGTGGGAGTCTGTGGGTCTCTGTGTGAGTCTACGGGTCTCTATGTGAGTTTGTGGGTCTCTGTGTGAGTCTACGGGTCTCTGTGTGAGTCTATGGGTCTCTGTGTGAGTCTGTGTATTTGTTTTGAACTTCTTTCGCACCGTACGTAGCCATCCGTGCTAATCGGAGGCGCGGGTGTATGTTGACTTCGAGTTGACGGTGTTGTGATTATTGGGGATAATTTTACAATTAAAGTAATTGTATTTAGCTCTCTCTCAACCGTACGCTGATACTGCCCTCTGCCGTAAGAATCAACTAATTGAGCGAACAACACCGCAAAGGACACCGACCCACACTGACCAGCGTGGTGAAGTATAATGTTTGCGTGCACAAGCCGGCGTGAGTAGGTTAAACGTTGAGTTTTATAAGGGCACCACGGGGTGACCAACCCCTCCCCACCCACCCCCCCCCACCCAGCCCCTCCCCACCCTCCCCACCCACCCCCCCACCCAGCCCCACCCCCCCACCCAGCCCCTCCCCACCCACCCCCCCACCCAGCCCCTCCCCACCCTCCCCACCCAGCCCCACCCTCCCCACCCAGCCCCATCCTCCCCACCCAGCCCCTCCCCACCCTCCCCTCTCCACCCAGCCCCACCCCTCCCATATTTGGATGCACGACGGACGGACACAATAATCCCCTGTGGGCTGGTGTAACCAGGAGGTTCCTCCCAGTAATACTCTTTGGTTATTTCGGCAAAGTCACGCCGGTAGAAACCAATAAGAGATCACGACGTTTCGATCGCAACACAAGCAACCGTCTTCAGGTGTAAAATAAGATGGCAAGCTGTTTTATATAAAGGTTTAGAGATAGGCGGGGCAACTTAATGTTAATGTAGGAGCGAGTTGGAGAGATACATTTTATTAGAAGTGTAAGCCGAGTTCATCGTTGAGGGTTGTAGTTTAAAAAATAAATATTTGTCAGGAAATGTAACGTTTTAGAGACAGAGAGAAATGGAAACATCGCAATTGTAGTAACGATAATATTGCTAAGAGGACGATATGATTATCACGGACATCGTACGATATTGTATACAGAACGATATATCGTGTATACACCGCACGATATATCGTGTATATATCGCGATATATCGCACGGTGCGATATATCGTACGGTGCGATATATCGTACGGTGCGATATATCGTACGGTATATCGCGATATATCGTGCGGTGCGATATATCGCGATATATTGCACGATATATCGCGATATATCGTACTGTATAGCAACATGATGATGACGCGGTCTGCGGCTCTTCTGCGATTGGTCGGAGCGCCGCGTGACGTCGACGGATTTTGGCGCGAGAAGCCGCCAGCAGCCGGTGGAGCGCTGTGGCCACAGCTGATCGCAGCGCCGCACGTGGCGGCAGTGGCAGCAGTCAGTGGCAGGCAACAGCAGGCAACAGCAGCCAACAGCAGCGGCAGGCAGTGGCAGGCAACAGCAGTTGCAGTCAGTGGCAGGCAGCAGCAACAGCAGTAGCAGGTAACGGCAGTAGCAGGCAACGACAGGCAACAGCAGGCAGTGGCAGGCAACAGCAGTAGCAGGCAACGACAGGCAACAGCAGGCAGGCAGCAACAGCAGCAAGCAAACTCATCCTCTGCGAGTCCAAACAGGCGGCAGCAGCAACAGCAGCAGTCGCCCTGTGTTCCTGCAGGAATAATCTCTCCGTGCTGCCGACAACACAAGCGAGCGTGTGCTGGGCTCAAGGGCAAAGCTGCTCACCCACCCTGCGGATACGGACACCGCATCGCCCGTCCACCCACCCACCCACCCCCGTCCTTGTTGACGACACCGCCGCTCGGGCCACGCACACGCGGGCCCAGCCATGGACCCCGACCGCAAGCGCGCACGCTTCGTGGACGGAGACGTCGACGGGTACGGAGACGACGATGAGAGGCCTCCCTCCGAGGGCACGGCGCTCGAGCGGGAACTCTGCGACGAGGGGAGCCGGGCGTCCGGCGCCGAGTCGTGGCGACGTTGGGACGCGGAGACGGTGGCCAAGTGGCTGGGGAAGATGGATGTGCCGGACGAGGTCTGCATCGCCTTCAGAAGTGCGTAACGCTCTCTCACACTGTTTAACACGTGGCAGGCTTTCGCGACCAATATTATTCATAATCAACGTTTTTGGGTTTAGATCGCGTTTATTTATAAATGTGTCGTAACCCTCCACCACCCGACACGGCCAATCGATAAAAAAGTGTCACGTTGACAAAAGACAAATAGTTAACTGCTTTAGCCCACCGGTGTGTTGAAGCGTGAAACCACAACATTTACTATTTGAGTAGTACGACGTTTTGCTGGTAATCACACACGCCGTGGGGAAGCTGTGTTTGTACCCCCCCCCACCCCCTGGTGTTGATGTTAAGAGGGTACGCAATCAATGCTGAGGCCACCCAGAGGAGGTCCGGTACGGGTTCAGGTATTGATCACTGATGTTGGCCCTTCGTGGGACTCGATTCAGCTCGCCGGGATCGTAGCGCAGTGCGCTTATCACTGCGCCATGCGTGTTCGTGTGTATTTTTAAATCCTTTATATTAAGTTCACTTGCTTGCGTGTTTGCGTGCTTACGACCGTGCAAACCTTTCGGTCGTTTTTTAACCCACTTCCCGTGATCCAATCGAGCTGACATTTTGCACACAGACTCGTTGTGCGAGACAATTAATGTTCGTGACATTTTTTTTTCAAAATTTTACACTGTTTAGGGAAAACAAATTAAATATTTAATTACCAATTGTTTAATACTGGCAGACAATCATCTGATCCATAGGTGGCAGCCATCTCAAGCCAGAGGACGAGAGGACTCTAGCCGCCACGCATATTAAGGATTTATAGTGAAAAACTTTGTTTTTACGGGTTATACTTGTTAAATCCTTTATATTAAGTTCACTTGAGCGCTTGCTTGCTTGCTTACGACCGTGCACATCTTTCGGTCGTTTTTAACCCACTTCCCGTGATCCAATCGAGCTGACATTTTCCACACAGACTCGTTGTGCGTGACAATTAATGTTCGTGAAATTTTTTTTACAAAATTTTACACTTTATAGAACATAAATATTATATTTAATTACCAATTGCTTAATGCTGCCATGCAATCATCTGACCCATAGGTGGCAGCCATCTCAAGCCAGAGGACGAGAGGACTCTAGCCGCCACGCATATAAAGGATTTATAGTGAAAAACTTTGTTTTTACGGGTTATGCTTGTTAACTTTCGCACCACCACGCGTTAGCCAAGCGTGCTTATCAGTGGTGCCGGGGAACGAAGGGCAACTAACGACCTAGCGTGAGGTGAGGTGAGGCAGGCTGGGAACTTTGATCAGATGTTGGGTAACTCGAGCACGACCTCGATTAGATTTGGCATATAAAACCCCCGGGGTGGTGGGGAGGGGTCCATTTATAGATCAACGTCAGCCAAGATCATCTACTTAGAGATGAACGATGCCTCTATCGTCCCCTCCTCCTTAAAGAACCATCTGTTCGCACTCGCCTACCCCATCCTCGTCTCGTTGATCTACGTCAACTTCACTTCCCCTCTCACACATCATCGTCGTAGTCGTCGTCCTCATATTTACAACGTTCACCGCCCCATCTCGTTCAATGCCTCACTTGTGTTTTTGCACCATCGTTAATTCACTGTACAGCGCTTTGGTTAAAGCTTTATAAATGTCATTAAGATTGCATACATGTCAACCCCTTATCAGTGGCCCTACCTTTCGATTTAAAGCTTTCGTGACTGCAGGGATTCATCTTCTTGGTTCTTTCGGTAAAGTCACGTAGAATGGAATTAATAAAATAAAACATAATAAAATACAATTCTCACGACGTTTCGGCCACAACGCAAGACAGCGTCTTTCCGACAGACCTGTTCTTCACCTGATGACGGCTGCTTGCGTTGTGGGCGAAACGTCGTGAGAATTGTATTTTATTATGTTTTATTTTTATTATTTCCCTTCTACGTGACTTTACCGAAAGAACCAAGAAGATGGCCCTACCTTGTTACAGACAAATTCAGACCTCATTGGTCACCCCGTGCTCCTTATAAATCTCAACGTTCATCCTACAAAGTACCACATCACTAGCGAGAAACACAAAAAATAGACAAACACATTTTTTTGCGCGTATTGAAACGGCTGTATGTCGTTTGGACCTGAAAACTCAATTTACACCGTACAAGAATACGGGAAAACCGTATGGGTTCTAGATTTGAAGCTTTCGTGGTTGCAAGGATTCATATTCTTAGGTTTTTTCGGTAAAGTCAAGTAGGTAAAAAATTAAAATTAATAAAAGTAAAATAAAATAAAATGTGTGCCGTTCCTGGCCCCCCCCCTCAACCATTATATATACGGAGTGGTATCTCTTGTAATCTCTCATTTACTTGATACAGCTGTCGGGCTGTGACAGTTCCAACCTGAAGATGGAAGCTTGTGTTGCCTCCGAAACGTCGTGATTTTTATTTTTATTTTACTTTTATTAGTTTAAATTTAAATTTTTTACCTATGTGACTTTACCGAAAAAACCTAACAATATAAACCGTATGGGTTGACAGCTATGAGTTTATGATGATTGAGTTTCAATCGCTCCATCTTCTCGCTGAACATACTTGTGGCCGCGTTCCATTACTTTCCCGTCATTCCGTCATTATTTGCTGACCTTCGGCCATGTCCCTTCTAGCGACATCTCGGCAGTTTTGACGTCTTTAACCTTTTATGTAGTTGTACTGTATTGGACGAAAAAGCTAAAAATAACAACGGGCCAACCCTAATGGCATTTGAATTTGGTGCAGTATCGGTAACAAATGCAGTAAAGCAGTTGTTGGCTTTTAAAGTGAGGGCTTGGAAAACCAAACACGGCAGGTGCCTAGCTTGTTCAATCTTGTTCACCATTGAATAGAATACAATGCAATGGGCTGGATCACTTGCAAACACTGTCAAGCCGGTCTTAAGCCAGTAGCCAACACCACACCTCCGCAACATACAATAGGGCCACCGTATGAAGGAAGTGATTCGCGTGACCTCATGTCATATATGCAACTGGCTGTAAAGAATATACACAAATATAGTTTAAGACGTAGGCTTTCGTGACAAGTATCATCCGTAATAGAGTTTTTTGGGGTTGCATCGTGTAAATATATCAATGTGTCGTTAAAACCCGCCACCACCCGACACAGCCAACTAGTAAGGGGTTGGCACGTAACATTTGCAATTTAATTGTAAATGTTGTGGCTTGGCTCTCCAACACACCAGTGTGCTGTACTAGTGACGAATTGGCCACGTTCTGTTTACTTGACAACCCTTACTAGTTGGCTGTGTCGGGTGGTGGCGGGGTTTAACGACACAACATTTATATATTTACACGATCTAACCCAGAAAAAGCTCTATTATACACAAATATAGTTTAGACGGTGATATGTTGTTGCTTGTTTCATCCCCGTGCTTATGAGACTGAAATAATGTCACGTTTTCTTCATATGCTGCACTTTTAGATCTAAATGGAAAACTAATTTCTTTGGAACTGCTTTTTGTGTTTAGTTGTCCTTACCCTGCACCTCCGATTAGCACGGTTGGCTACCTACGGTTAAAAATAAGTTAAAGGTACATACAAACACTTGGCAATCTGATGGCTTGTTATTATTACACGCTTTTATTTAACTCACTAAGTCTGTTGTGGTATCCTCAAAAAATCTTGTAACTCAATTTTTACCCACTTCTCAATGTGCTATCGACTGCAAACTTGATATACCTATGTCATACTGATGACAAGACTATATTATATCATAAAAAAATCCTAAGCATATATTTGTTTACATTTTACACGCTTTTATTTAACTCACTCTGTCTGTCGTATCCTCAAATCTTGTAACTCAATTTCAACCGTCTTCCCAATTTCGTATCGACTGGAAACTTTTGTATAGCTCTGTCATACTGATGACAATACTATATTCTATTATTAAAAGTAAAAAAAATATTTTAAAACAATAATTTGTACGGGTCTAATTGTCCACGCTCAACTCACGTTGGCTGTAAATCACCACGGTCCCTTACGTTATGGCAAGCCTCGGGGCCACTTCCTGGAGTCGTGGAGTTCTGCCATTACTCGTACGGTACATTTCGTTAAAGCGTGGAAAAAAAAATATTTTTTAATATTTATTTTTATTATTTTACACGCTTTTATTTAACTCACTCTGTCGTTGTTGTCGTATCCTCAAATCTTGTAACTCAATTTTAACCCACTTGCCAATGTGGTATCGACTGCAAACTTGGTATACTTATGTCATACTGATGACAATACTATATTCTATCCAAAAAAATACAAAGTATTTTTAAACATTCATTTTTATATGTTATGTTTCGGCTTGGGTCTAATTGTTCACGCTCAACTCACGTTGGCTGTACATCACCACGGTCCCTTGCGTTATGGCAAGCCCCGGGGCCACTTCCTGGAGTCGTGGAGTTCTGCCATTACTAGTACGGTACATTTCATTAAAGCTCCATGTGATGAGGGCTTCTTCAGGATCATAAGGAGCTGAACATGCCTTAACACGTAGGCTTTCGCGACCAATGTTATTCATAATCAACGATTTTTGGGTTTAGATCGCGTTTATTTATAGGGAAACAACCACTAACTGATTACTAATGTAGCATAATCACAATAAAACACATTCCAAATGATTACTAATCTACAACTCGCATCGTAACAATAGCCTGATTACTAATCTAGTATATAATTACAATCACTCCCCCCTTGAATCTTTGCACCTGATGAGTTAATGATGACGTCACCCTGCTGCTGCTCTATATAAGAACGGGAGACACAGGAGAGCCTCACCATTCTGGCGAATTGCCCGATGATGCTGATTGCAATTACCAGCGAAACGTCGTACTCAAATTGTAAATGTTGTTGCTTCAACACACCGGTGGGCTAAAGCAGTGAACTATTTGTCTTTGTCAACGTGACACATTTTTACTGATTGGCCGTGTCGGGTGGTGGAGGGTTACGACACATTTATAAATAAACGCGATCTAAACCCAAAAATCGTTGATTATGAATGAACATGCCTTGTCCAGCCCAAACACCCACTGGAGAGCAATAAAGCACAACCGGAAAATGGACAAACTTAAGCACTAGGCCATATCGTTTAAGCACAGCCAGTCTCTTTAAGATGATTTGTTATAATCAGGCAAAAGATAATTTTCGCAATAAAATGTTGACGGAGGGCATTTAAAACCTGGTGGAGAAAACAGAAGGAAAACATATCACTGACGTGTAGCCAAGGTTGGTCTATTTTTGCAAGGGAGGTCATGAGAAAAAAAACATCTGCTGGGTGTCAGGTTATGAATAGATTTTACTTTTGTTTTTCACAGAGCACAACATCACGGGCACAGTGCTACCGGACATTACAGAAGACCACCTGAAAACAATTGGGGTAAAGTAAGTACAGCACGGTAACATTTTAACAACTTCCTCAACCTCCAAACTTTCCACAGGTCACACTTGACCCACACGCAGATCCATGCGTATTTGAATTTGTATTTGAAGCTTCTATTCTTTTGTGATTGATACTTGTAGACCCAATGTTAGTGATTCATTGGTGAGTGAAATTCAGTATTGTAATATCCCGTCATAATTCAGTAACGATATATATGCAGAAGGGATGTCCTGATCACACAACAACAACTGCCATTCGCCACGAAGTGGCGGTGACATCACTACGTCGCTTGTGCCAGGCTATGTGCACTTTAAGGCCATGTGAAGTGTCGAACGCCCACTGACAGGAGGTCATGGGACAGCCCCGGGTGCCGTGGGTTGACTGAGATGACAGATGACTGAGATGACTGAGATGAGTGGCCGATGCACCACCCGTGCCCCCTCCACTGCCAAATTGCTGTGTTTTAGCCGCCTGACGCTCCACTCATTGTTGTGAGCATTGCCTCCCATGTACGACAGGTTCCCTGTCGCGCATGAGAGGCGCGGTTTATATATTAAGTAATGGTGATGTTTACTATAATTTACAGAAAGTGTTGAAATTGGTTTTTGTTTGTCCGAAATGTATTGTTCGCTGGTCAGGGGTGGGGGATGCGGTTGTGCATTTTGGCATCAGCAACAGCTGACAAAGGGGAAGTGGCTTTTTTTGCTGGCGACTGCTGATTGCTTCTCATTCGCGGTTCAAAGCAGAGATGACCGATTCATCACAAATCATCATCGCTCGTCATCAAGTATTATTTTTGACCGTGCTTGCCTACACGCCTGGCTCCGACTCCTCTCTGATCAGGGTAGTGGGGGGGGGGTGGCAGAACAGCTGTTGAGTGGGGGGCCATCGTGACAGGAGAGTGAACTTGAGTGGACGGCTGCGCAGGGCTCTCCATAGCACCACCCCCGCCCGCCCACCCTGCCGCCAAGCGCTGGCGCTGTCTCCCATGCGGTGCCTCTCAAGGTGCCGGAGCTAAGGGCTGTTTGAGATCATCTTTCACCAAAGTCTCACGGAGTCTCAAGAAGCTTTTTCAGACGGGTCCTGTCAAGTTTATTTTTCACAGTATGGGGCGTTGTCGCTTGCGTGTAATCCCTACAGGTAATGCTGGGACGTTAGGAATGAACGCACCAGTTGGCGATGCACTTTTACATCTAAATTGAAAACTAATTTATTTAGAGCTGCTTTTTGAGTTTAGTTTGTGGTCCTTCCCCCGCACCACCGATTAGCACGGTTAACTACATACGGCGTGAAAGAAATTGAAGATGCATACAGTGCATACAGTGCATACAGCATACACTACAAATTAGGAGTTGAAGGGTCCGTTATTTTCAAGCTGATTACACACCACTCGGTAAACGTCGAACAGTTGTATTCTAACCAAGTATTCGTTCAGCAGTATGTAGTTGGCTAGTATACATACTGCACAGGTACTGTATTGTGCTTTACATATGTGCAGTAAAAAGAAGACGTTTTTATGCGTCGTTGCTATAAAATGCATTTCATATATTCGAGGCCCCAAACAACCATTGACAGTGATACTAGTTCTTAGGAATCTGTTTCAATATCAACATTTGCTACGCGACAGTCGGTTCGCCGTGTGGAACTCGGTGAAGGAAAATGTGCAGGCGGTTTTGTGCACGTGTTTCGACTTGCAGCACATGCATGTAAACGACGGCCAATGGCAAAAGCCCTTGTAATCGTCCACAATCTGCTTGAATAAAGACTTTCCTGTTGTTGCCACCCCATGGTCTCGGGAGATAGTCATCCATCTGGTTTCTGCACACGAGCTGATTACATCGCTCTGTCCTCACTGTGAACGGACTCTTAGGCATGGACCTTATTTTGTATAGATGTTACGTTCGTATGTATGTTGAACTTCTTTTACACCGTACGTAGCCAACCTTGCTCATCGGAAACCACGTTGGTTTGTTGGATCTATGCCCTGTTTTCCGTTATTAATATTAAGAATAATTAAGAAAAAAAAAATTTGTTTTTATTATATCTATATATATATTTTTTTTAATAATGAGGACGGCCCACTTCTCCTCACGGGCACACCGGGAGTCCATGAGACATGGAGGGCGGTTGAAATGATAAGAAGTCGGTGACAGAGAGGTCATAGAGATCCAGATGGACAAAAGATGTATGGACTAACCTCCCAAAGACATCTGGAGATGTACAGATAAGGTGCAGAGCAAACAACGGTTGAAACTCGCGTTTTCTTAACGTTTTCCTTACCGAAAAGTAGAAACTTAACATAGATAATTAACCAACAAACAATAATATTATTATTAGTAATTCCCTTATATTCACCGCATACATATTATTTAGAAGTATATGTTTCCTATCTACACAACCTTCCGAAAAACTAAAAAGTACGAATTCCAGAAAGCTTAAGTGCATGTGCACTTAACCTCAGGACATAAAAAAATTAACTCAGAATAAAACACCAATCTCTGGAGAACTAAACTTGGCGAAGCCCAAAATAATAATGTGACGAGGATCATGGCGAATATTCATTAAACATAGACGAATGATAACCCCGATACCAAGACCGAAGGAACTCATAAAATATAATTCAAGAATAAATGTAACACACAGGACCACATACATGTATTGCAAACATCTCCTCGACCACCTTTGTCTTCCAGCGGGGTCTGACCTCAGAATGACCCACCCAGGGTAAGCAAGGAGGGGGCAAAGGTCACAAAGGGGGGGGGTTTGTGCTGACATTGGTTGTTTTCTCTCGCAAGAGACATGGAAAGGGGAGTGACTGCTCGCGTGTTTGAGTTAAGCACGGCCGTCTTTGTCTCCCCGCAGCACAAACAGATGGCCCAGGAATGCTTGGAGGGTTAGGAAGGTCGCGAGGAGGGGACGCGGTGATGTCTGCTTATTCTCGCACTGTTTTAGGTTGTTTCTCTCTCGCAAAAGAAAGAGGAGAGTGATCGCGTTTTGAGCACAAACAGCAAGATTTGCACACGCAAGCAAAATAACATTCCCCACCCCTCCTCCCAGAATGGTTACACCTGCTGGGTCTTTACTAATAAACACGCACACGACACACGAAACACACGAACGCAGATGTGTTCAATCCACAGAAAGATATATGACGGCCTTCAAACAACTCGGGAAGATTGAGTGGATTTTCTGAATATAGGCCGGGGAAAAATCCATTCAACTCAGATCGACAGGGGCTCTGGCCCCCAACACAGATCTCCAGGGCTTCGGCTCCATCTCTTCTCGTCGCCGCCAACGAAGAAGCTTTTCGTCATACAGAAGGACGAGGTTCGCGCGGTGACGAGACATCGTTAGAGTGACAGTCTGAGAGCAGTCTGGGTTGAGTCGTGCTCAGTCTCGCAACTCGGCGTGCGACGCAGCGTTGCGACGGGGCTCGCAAGAGAGCTGGGGCAAATCGTGCCTCGAGGAGAGATGGAACGAGGAGGGGTCGTTCGAGTCGCAGAAGTCTGAGTTCAACCTGGGTCGGGGCGGGGTTTCAGCCGTGCTCCGGCTGGCGGAGCGTCGTGAGGAAACGAAACACCGATGCTGATGGTAGGTGTCGCTTCTCGCAGAACGAAGTTAAGTGCGAGTAAAGCTGGCAGCCGCACGAACAAGGGGAAGCACGGAGCAGAGAGAGAGTGACGAGTGACGACAAGCAATCAACCTGTAAAAGGGCGGAGATCGCCAAGCGTCGACCAAGCGGGCAAAGCAGAGAGCGCGAAGCAGTGGAGGAAGCCTGGTCAAACGGCTGCGAGGGAGAGGACAGCGCCATCGAATGCGCCGTGTGCCTGAGGGCACACCGACCAACGACCAGTGTGAACACACAAGACGTCCAGAGCGACGGCGAGCATCGTGCCGACTCAACAATCAATCGAGCAGTGGAGAAGCCGGGGGCTGCCACCAAGAAAGCGCGTGCGCCACCTTGCGCCACCGTGCGCCACCGTGCGACACCGAGCGACACCGAGCGACACGAGCGACCGAGCATCTTCAAGGAGAACATCGTGCCAACGCCGCTCAATCCAGCAGTGGAGAGAGAGCAGCAGGAGCAGAACCGGCGGCCACGCCCAATCGAGAGGAACATCTGGCCGCTGTTCGTATCCTCCCACACCACACAAGCTAACGACACAATTAATATTACGAGGGGACGACGCACACACAGCACGCACACGAATAAGACTTTAAAAGAAAAACTGTCTTTGCGTTTCAAAAAGGGTTGCCATTTCGAGGTGGTGCGTTCAATATCAACTGATCGTGCAAAGCAGTTGCTGCCGTCGAGTTACATGAATAAGAAATGTTTTGGTCATTCATTTTCGTTAACTGCATAATTTCGCCAATGAAGAAGTATTTTTAGTCATTCAATTTCGTTAATTGCATAAGATTGCCCATGAATTTATTGACGTATACTCGCTTTCGCATACTAGAGTGTCATGTGCTTGTTTAGAATTAAAATTGCTTAACACCAACTGTTCGAGTGCTTCTTTCCAAGTCCATGCAAAACTGTCTTATTCTTGACAACTGTATCCTGTGATGAGATCTGAACCTGGAGAATTAAAATAAATAAACACACTAAGATAATCAGTAAATGTTTAATCGACGATAATCGTGTTATCCTGATTGATATAACTCTGGATAGACGAAGCTAAGCCTAATTATCACAACTGCACACATTAACATAATCGCAAGCATCCGCATAAATTACTACGATTATCATAATTTATGCATATAATTACACACATTATCATAATTTATGCATATTAATACACACACTATCATAATTAATGCGATTTGCGCATTTTTCGGAAAATTATTAATTTTTATTATTTTTATCAAAATTTCATAACCCGACACATACAACAGGTTCCAAATGGCAGAATTCGCTTCCGTTGGTCATGGCAATACTACGATATAATATCCACGATTATCAGGTCGTCTCGTTTTGAAATATGTTGTCATATTGTGATTGTCGTTACTCATTTAAGTTTAAGAAATTGTATTTTCTAATTCGAATATTTATGAAATAACAAGTTACGCGATACTCATATTGCGATAATAGACATATTGTGAAGTTGGTCTCGTATCATGTAAAATGTATGTTGCAGCAAGTGTGTTGGAAGTTCTGCAGGATTAGGGTCATCATCCCGACCGTAATAAAAAAAAAATTCAAATTGCAATCCTCCTTATTTCCACTGGCAGGAAACTGGGAAATCAGCTGAAAGTTCTTCAAGTTTTGAAGATCATGTGCCAGGATTCCAAGCAAAACATGAAGGCAAGTACAACCATTTTTTTTTCATGCATCGTCATCATCGTTGTCGTCTTCTCACCAATTTCCATTCTTACTCCAAACTCTGTAACGCAAGCATTTGTACTCGCGTCATTAACGCGGGGGACGGCTGTGCGCACATTCACCTTCGACAGGTGTTCAATGACCCCATCCACGGACACATTGTGCTGCACCCCTTGCTCGTGAGAATCATCGACACCCCGCAGTTCCAGCGCCTCCGCAACATCAAGCAGCTGGGCGGCACCTACTGGGTGTTCCCCGGAGCCTCGCACAACCGCTTCGAGCACTCCATGGGGTGGGTTCTCCCTCTACGGGTCCTTCCGCCACACCCCCGGTTAGCACGGTTGGCTACGTATGGTGTGAAGGAAGTTCAACATACGTACATATATACCATCACCACATCATCATTACCATATCATCATCACCATATCATCATCATTACCATCATCACCATATTATTAAGCCACTGGAGCTATGCACTTTTAAATCTAAATTTAAAACAAATTTTTTTTAGAACTGCTTTTTGTGTTTAATTTGTTGTCCTTCCCCCACACCTCTGATTAGCACGGTTGGTAATGTACGGTGCGAAAGAAGTTCAACATACATTTATACCATCACCACCTCATCATCACCATCACCACCACGACCATCTCATGGTCGTAGCATGGTTGGCTACGTAGGGTGGAAAAGAAGTTCAACATACAAACAGCAGAGCTGGATGCTCATAGAACATTTTCCACTGGCACATCTGAGCCGAGCCAATGGAGGGCCCTCATGGTACGATGGTATTCCACTTGTCTACAAGCCATACCGAGCCGAAACAAGCTAGGAAACTCGGGCCTCACGAGGCTTTGAAATTGAAATGTACTTATTTAACCAGGAAAGCCACACCGAGGTAGAGGGAAATTTATGTGTGTATACATGTGGGAGATAACTGGAAAACCTTGAGAAAACGCACACGCGCACGAGGGGGCAACACTCTATCCCTGTTCAAATGGAAAGGGAGTTTAACGACTTTCGTGCGATCCATCGGCGTGCATAGCCACCACTGCCCGGCGTATGAAACTGGTTCTGGTGCAAAGCAGGGCCCAGGAGTGAGGCTACAGTATCACTCTAGTTGCACTTGACATTGGACAGGTGTGCTTTGAGGACACCGTGTGTCACCGTGTCATCTTCACGTGTCTCGACTCGTCCATTGCGTGTCACGTCCGGTGTACAGCTCAAACGACCTGGCACCTCTGCCGGGCTGGCTCGGCACAGCCCCCGGCGTGAATCTGTCCAATTTACGTCCCGCGCCCGAAACGCTGAGTCGCTCTTTCTCCAGCGGTAACTCGGGGGGGGGGGGAGGGGGGTTTACTGTGCAGTCGCTTCGGGGCTATCGGTCGTGGTGTCACCGAGAGCTCCGACCCCGCGCGCACGCGAACGTTTGACCCCCTGCAAAACATCGCCGGGTCCGTGGTGCATTGTGTTGCCCCCCGCCTGTGTTGTGCGCCCGCAGGGTGGGTTACCTGGCCGGGCAGCTCGCCACAGCCATCCAGAGCAGGCAGCCCGAGCTGGGCATCAACGAGAGGGACGTGCTGTGCGTGCAGATTGCAGGACTCTGCCACGACCTGGGTGAGTTCGAGTTCAAGTTCATTTCAAGTTCATTTATTAGGTATAGCCCTGTGAGCCATTCGGCTCTTGAATCGGGTGCAACCGCAACAAACAAAAAACAAAAACATGAACAAGAAAGCATCTTAAAGTGACTGACTATGTGCAAACTGAAAATCCAGGAAAAAATAACAGCAAAAATTCCAGAAAAAAAGCACCGTACACCAACGCTGTGTGCAAAATCCCAGTGGGATGCAAGTCTGTTTGAGTTTTCGCCAGCCCACGTTGTTTGCTGTTGCCAACGACGATGACTGATGGACGGGTGGATGGAAATCCTGAAGCGTGTCGATTACCAAGGATAGTAATTTGCTTCCTTTGTGTGCGCAACATTTTCTCACCAAAATGTAATTTATAGTGACAAAATGTTTTCATGCTTTAGACCAGGGGTCGGCAACCTACGGCTCCGGAGCCGCATGCGGCTCTTTACGGGCTGCTTCTTGACGATGAGTACGTATGTACTCAGATGCATTGCGGCTCTTGAAATACTGAATTTTGTACCGAATTTGAAAGAAATGGCTCTTCTTGTTATTTTGGTTGCCGACCCCTGCTTTAGACCAAGAGAATGACTACATTATAGGCACAGGCTAAGAGTTGGCTAACATTCCACAGGTTGTCATTGAGTAGATCAGGGGTTGGCAAGCAAAATAAAAAGAGGAGTCATATCTTTTTTTTTATTCAGTAAAATTTTTTTTACATTTCAAATGCTGCGATACACGTGAATACGAAACGTCACGAAAGCGGCTCCTTAAAGGGGATGCACGCGGAAGAGCGGTTGGTGTTTCATTGGTTGTTCTACCCTCCGTGGTCGCGTGGATTTTTTTCCTCCGGGTCCTCCGGTTTTTCCCTCCACATTTTGAAACATGCATTGAGATTATTTCGATTATTTTGGCTGCTATAAATGTCCAAATGATGGGCCACTTTGTTGAGCTATTATTTGTGGCCAGGTCGCTTCTGAAACATAAGTTAATACCTCGGTGAGCTTTGCCTGGTAGGATGGGGATGGTTTAGTTTTATTTGTATGTGTTTGGGCCATTTATTTACCTATATTGTACTTTGCAATGCTCTTATGTTTTTGTACTGTTTGCTGTTGTAACGTTCTTACACGCCCCATCTGGACATCTTTGAAAAAAAGCTTCATAGCTCATCGGATTCCTCCAGTATAAATAAATATTCTGATTCTGTTCACTGCACTGTAAACCCAACGACCCGAGTTTCAATTCCTGCCCACAGCCGAGGGCAATGGCGAGTGACATTGAACCCATCCTGGCCTCCCCTCCCCCACCCTCGCAAACCCACACTGACCAGTTTGGTGGGAACGGGCACAGGTACCCCATGATCGCCAGGGAACAAATACTTCCAGCAGTGAAATGACTCTCGTTGTGGATAAACAAAATATATATTTGCCAAAACGACACCTTTGTTCGGCTTTAGGTTATTGTCATAATTATTACGTCCGCTGCTTGTGTTACAAAGACTCACGGTTCGTATCCAGCAGCCTCCCTGGTTAATAGTGCGTGTGAATTAATGATCAACATACGAGGCGTCTGCATCACATGGGATGCTAATGATTCTTTTAAATTGATGGCAGACTGTAGGCCATTGTGTGCCAGCGTCATGATCCAAATTTTAAAACTGTATCTGTAAATTACTCAGTAAAAATCGAGATAACAATCATCGCCCCTTCCAGCGACAACTTGGTGAGATCTGCCGAAAAATATTCATGAGACTCAGAAATAGTCTGTTGCAATGCTCTCGCAGCTGCCGCAGAATCCGGTCTAATGTTTGATGTGCTGTTGTGTGTTGAGGATAGTGAGGAGTGGTCGTGTAGTGGTTAGCACGCTACGAACCTGGCAAACCGAGTCCCACTCATGATTAATTAACAGTGGCAGATATTTGAACCGATCCAAGGCTTCCTCTAGGTTAAGCAGCCTTAAATGAGTACCTCGTGCAGTGTGTACACAACACCAATTGGAGGTCGGGCACGGTGCTTGGCCACCCACCCCATCGTGTGCCATGCCGGCCTTCATAACAGCACTCACCCAACAGTCTGTCAGGGGCTTACGGGGTTTCTTTACCTTTGTCTTTGTTTAGGACACGGCCCATTTTCCCACATGTTTGATAACAGCTTCATCCCAGCTGCTCGTCCCGGATGCAAATGGAAGGTGATACCTTTGACAAGTTTTCAATATCTTTTTGTCAGTGACACCTCACGTGCAGTATTTTGTTACAATGTTTAGATGCTTTATTGTAGCATAACTCATGCAAATGGGGTCTCCCAATGTGCTAGAATTTGTAGTACCCTTCCTAATAAACGTTTTTGGGTTATATCGCGTTATTTATAAATGTGTCGTAACCCTTCACCACCCGACACGGCCAATCAGCAAAAAAAGTGTCACGTTGACAAAAGACAAATAGTTCACTGCTTTAGCCCACCAGTGTGTTGAAGCGTGAAACCACAAAATTTACAATTTTTTTTTGCTGATTGGCCGTATCGGGTGGTGGAGGGTTACGACACATTTATAAATAACGTGATCTAACCCAAAAACGTTTATTATGAATAATATTGGTCGCGTGTTAATTTGTAAAACCATCAGATAATTTTCTGTGGCAGGAGGACTGTCACTTAGAACCCCATCAGCACTCGTAATGAGTTTATTGTGGTCGTTCGTTTAATTGCACTCATCATAATTCTGTAACTCATTATAAGTAGTATCGATCCATATTATTGCTGGTGATGAGTAAGTGTGCTGTTTATAAGTATGCACTTATAGTATTGCTTCGTTTGTGAACTCATCTGTCAAATAACAGATCAAATTGTATTTTTACTGTCAACAAAAGCAAAAAAGGAAGATCTTAACATTTCAGCCGACTGGCCTTTAGGAAATGTCTTAGTTATACTGATAATTAATCAGTTTTACTGATAATCCATTTTATTGTACTGATTGTAAGCCTAATGGTTATAGGCATCCATCTAATCATACTGACGTGAAGCCTAAACATATTAATCACACACATCTGTACCGATTGTTAATCATCGCCTGGTTTACCACGGCCGCACACGACTCATTGCGTGTCCGTGTCTCCTTCAGCACGAGGTGGCCTCCGTGCAGATGTTTGACCACCTAATCCAGGCCAACGGCCTGGAGGAGGTTCTTAGCAAGGAGTATGGCCTCAAGTTGCCGGAAGACCTGGACTTCATCAAAGAGCAGATCGCTGGGCCCCCGGCTGACATCGCCAATAGCTCGGGTCCTGGTAGTGGCATCAATAACTGCTTTGCCAAATCGCCGCACGTAGACCGGGAGGAGGGTGGCCTGCAGGTGCAGGCAAAAGAAGTGAGTTGATATCGAAGGGTTTGCATAGTGGCGCTTTGGTTAAAGTGCTCAGCCCGTAATCGGAGGGTTGCGATTTAAAATTCTTGTCGATGGGGTGACTCAGCCTATCCATGCTTCCTCTGTCACTGTCCTGCTACTCATTCTAGATGTGAAGCTTTCGTGACTGCAAGTATTCATACTCATAGGTTTTTTCGGTAAAGTCATGTAGGTAGCAAAATAATAATAAAATAATAATAAATGAAAAATAACTAAATTAAATCCTGACATTTTGGAGGCAACACAAGTTTCCGTCTTCAGGTGGGACCATCACAGCTAAGTGAAGAGAAATCCAAGAGACAAGATCTTAAATGCTGGTTAAGGGGAGGGGGGAGGAGCTGATCTAAATGTGGCAGTCAGGGACTGGGAGGGTGGGGGGGGCTACTCATTGTGGCGTATTTGTAACCTCGATGAGGAAACTACTTTGCCGTGATTTCATCTTTGCTATAACATTTGTTATTGTCCTGCCTGTTCCTCTTGCACATATAGCTTTGTGCACAAAGTAGCAACTCGTGAGTCTTATGTCCTGTTCTGATAGTGAACATGTATAGTCCTGGGGGAAGCTGAATGATGTCTTCACTGGCTTCCGCTGAATTTCCACACTTGCATGAAGGGCTTCCTCTGATTGTGTCAAAGACTCTCTGTCAATCTTAGTCTTTGTCAACCTTTTCTTCCTCTTTGCCAAACGGCAGTTCCTCCCAAGTGTTATCCATCACGCCTGTAGCCAGGCATCCAACACACTTTCGTCTTCTTCATTTTATTCCGGTGTACAGTCCAGCTCTTTCAGCAGCCGCTTGTCGTAGATCACTTTCATCGGTGCTTCTTGCCGCCCACGGGGTGTGCAATAGTATTCTTCAGCATCAGAGTTCACAAGCTTCTGCTTCCTTGAGTAGCTTAAGATTAATGCTCTTTGCTTTGGAAGTCAACATTGATTGGTAATGTTGGGAGACTGGTGCCCACCCATGGAATGTGGCATTTCTACCATTGGCTCAGAACCACCAAAAGAGATGAATACCTTCTCATTGATTGTCTGAGCAGGGAGAAACTTCTTACGCTGGTTAATGAAAGTATTACATTTTGGAAGATGTATATTTCCGTTTTTTTTACACGCTTTCTATGAACTCACTCTCCGGGTTGTTGTTGTCGTATCCTCAAATCTTGTAACTCAATGTTAACCCACTTCCCAATGTGGTATCGACTGCAAACTTGGTATACTTATGTCATACTGATGACAATACTATATTCTATCATTAAAAATAAATATTTTTAAACAATCTTTTACACACTTTCTATTAACTCACTCTGTTGTTGTTGTCGTATTCTCAAATCTTGTAACTCCATTTTAACTCGCTTCCCAATGTGGTATCGACTGCAAACTTGGTATACTTATGTCATACAGATGACAATACTATATTCTATCAAAAAAAAAATTTAAAATGTTATTTTTAGCCTTGGGTGTAATTGTCCACGGTCAACTGACGTTGGCTGTAAATCACCATGGTCACTTACGTTATGGCAAGCTTCGGGGCCACTTTCTGGAGTCGTGGAGTTGTTCCATTACTAGTAGAGTACATTTCATTAAAGGGTGTTTTTAAAAAAGTTTTTTTAAATATTACTTGTTGTACAATTTACTCCCAATTTGTGCCATCAACATTGAGCCATTCGACAGATAATATAATCCAATGGGAAATATTTCAGAGCAGTGTGGCCCTTGAATCAGAGAGTGGCTGTGGATAAGATGTGTACAGGTATTCTCCACAACAACCTTCAAGTGACCCTAATTACCCCGTCGAGTTGCTGCTGAGCCACATTCTGGCCACCCCGCGGCCCCACGCTCACCACACCCGTTGGTCACTGATGGTCTCCCACCCAAAGGCTAACCCGGCTCTCCCGAATTAGCTTCTGAAAATCCTACAAGGTCAGATCCATTTGGGTTGATTTTCTCATAGGCATTGTGGGATAATGTAGCCTCGAGCTGTATGCTTCAAACGATGCAAAATCTCCGTGCACCTGCCCCATGTTGAATGGTTTACAAATCTTATTTTTTGTTTTTCCAAAAGTGGCCATACAAGGGCAGGACCAAGGACAAGGGGTTCCTGTACGAGATTGTCGCGAACAAGAGCAATGGCATAGATGTGGACAAGTGGGACTACTTTGCCAGGTGCTCATGTCACATCCTCGCCTTCCGTTGCGCGGCGAGGCTATTTGAGATTTTTTAACATGTAATTTAGCGACTGCTTATGTTGCATTACGTTATTTTGTGGGTAATTGGTGGGCAGCGAATCCACAAAGTCTCTGTTATTACGTTTGCTACCTTAAACAAGTAGAGGAAAAATCATAAATGCGCACGAATTGCGTAACGCTTTTCGACTCGAGTTTAATTCGACGCCGCATCCTCGTTGTCTTCACCGGCACGAAGCCACCTCGAGACACTTTCAACTTGAGTCTGAAAACTTGGCAAGACGCCCCTCGACAATAGTCATGAGGCTCGGTGAGGCTTTCCTGGGTAAGAAAGTGTAATAATCACAATCGCAATATTTGTTGGAAAGCATCAAGAAACGTGGATTCATGTACGTTTCTTCAACTCTGCCTCGCTGGCCTCTCACTGTGCTGTGAAGAAGGGCTATTGCCCGAAACGTCGCCTATGATGTAGTCGTTCTTAAGGCCACACACTTAGTGACGAATGTGTTGATTTGTGCTTAGTGGGCCACTGCCAAAGCAGCAGCAGCAGCAGCGGCGGCAACAACGCCAAATAATTAACTTACGTTTCTGCTGCGTGTTGCTAGGGGTGTGAGAATGCATCGATCCAACAATAACGATTCCTAAGTTAAGGATACATGCATCGAATCACTCGTCTGAGAATTGACGCTTTTAAATTCACGTACATTGTATGAAATGCGTTCACGTGACCCCTCCAACCACGAGAGGCTGCTACGAATTGTATTTTAAACCTCAATTGGTACATTCTTTTAGCATTTTTAGGGGAGAAAATTGTTAGAGGCTTATATTTGAGTAACATTCTTTCCCTGACGCTATTCGACAACTCTCATTCTTGGGAACTTAACTCAGCCGTGAATGCAATTACGACGATAATTTACAATCCTCTCTCAATCCACTGCTGGATGACGCCTTCCCCGTGCCCTTATCACTCATCGGGGTTGTTTGCCTATACTTCCCCACCATGGTCACTGCGGATTTGTGAAGGGTGGTACTCATCAGAACCAGTTTGGATATCACCCATCACTGATGGTTCGCCGTGGCCAAAAATCCCAAGACAGATCATAGATGTTACAGTGCATTTGATAACCACTGCGCCACCACTCCACCCCACTTAGTCCTTTCGCTTTATAACTGATATACGACAAGGCCATGCCCGGGGTGGCAATTTACATTAATTTGCCAATTGTGTAACCCAGGAACGTTGGTTTCCCTCCACAGGGACTGCCACCACCTCGGAATTCAGAACAACTTCGACCACAGGCGCTTCATCGAGTTTGTGCGCGTCTGTGAGGTCGAAAATGAAAGGACGAAAAAAGTGATTTGCTTCCGAAACAAGGTGAGATGCCCGATGTCAAAGCCTACGTGTAATATGACTTGCTCATCACTGCTGCTGGCTGACGGGCCTCCGCTATAGGATGCTCTTGAGCATTGGGGGGGGGGCGGGGGGGGTCAGCAACCAAAATAACAAGAAGAGAACATTTTTTCGAATTCGGAAAGAAATCAAATTTCAAGAGCCGTAATGCGCGTGAATACGAGACGGTGGGTCCTTCATAAATAACGTCACGAAGCAAGTCCCTAAAGAGCCCGCCGCATGCAGGTCGGAAGCCGTTGGTTGCCGACGCCTACTTTATAGTGTAAAAAAATCGAATAACGTAAATTAAGTAAAAAAAACAGCTGCCCCGTATTAGGGGAGCCTAAAGAACTGCATGTGGCTCTGGAGCTGCCGGTTTTCCACGTTGCCCATACGTCTCGGACGAGGTGGGAGTTTTTCTGCTGGAACTGTGCTCTTTAGCTGTGATAACAAACAATTATACGGTGGGAGGGAGGATGGCGCATCACAAACACGGCATCCTTTACATCCACGAACGACTTCTCTGCCACACACCACTCTGAGCGGCGACAGCTTAGCAAGCGTTTGCTAGCCACGTGGAGAGATGCAGGGATGTGCGTTGTGGACATGAGGAGGGGGGGTGAGTGCGGTGAGAGGGTTTGGGCTCCGCGTGACTTACCCACGCCCACGTTGTTGTGCCCGTCACCGCAGGAGGTGGGCAATCTCTACGACATGTTCCACACGCGCAACTGCCTGCACCGCCGCGCGTACCAACATCGAGTGGGCAACATCATCGAACTCATGTAACGCAGCGCCCCCTGCAGCTCACTCGTGCACACACACACGCACGAGTACTTGCTCACACGCACGCGCATACTCGCGCGTCACCGACTCACACACACACGTGTACTTGCGTGTCTCCGACTCGTGCCTGACACATCAGCGGAAACTCGCTGCACAGCACTTGGGTCGTATCAAAAACTTCGTGGGGCAGAAGGGGGGCGGGGTCAAATATTCTTTGGTCAATAAAATTCGAACCACTTATGCAGCAACCTGTGTCCAGAAAAAAGGGGAAAACCTATTCTCAGTAATATTTTGTTGAGTTAAATAAAATATTCAACCCTTTGCCCAGTTCACTGCTTCATGAAGGTTTGCCCACGCCATGTTGATCACGGATGTTATTTGACCAGACTTCACCACGCTGGTGAATGCTGGTTGGTGAAGTGGGTGGGTCAGGGACCCGTTTAGTTATTACTCGGGTCACCAGAGTTATAGCCCGTGCGCTAACCACTGTGCCACCGTTACCCCAATATCATCTACAGTACATGGCAGTCATTTTAATTGCAATATGTTTTGCATTTTCACGATAAATTTAATTTTCCATAATAAAGGTTTTTTTTTGTTGGGTTAGATCGCGTAAATATATAAATGTGTCGTTAAACCCGCCACCACCCGACACAGCCAATTAGTAAGGTTTGTCACGTTAACAGAACTTGCCAACTCGTTACTAGTTCAGCACACCGCTTGTGTGTTGGAGAATAAAATTCACAACATTTACAATTCAGTTTCATTGGTTTCATGGTTTTAAAGAGAATGTGGAGCTTCTTGGCCACAGGAGTCGCTTCTGCTGTGCAATCTCTTTAGCTTGGAACCTTTTGGTCCAATCACGAGCACTCGCAATCCGGACTAAAGTTAAAGTGCCGCGCATTCGGCACGAGTGAAAGATGGCAGGACAAACGCGACTCACCGCATGATTTATTTATATATATTCTACTGCCGTTAATTGTGTGCTCTTTCGTCGGTATTCTCCCTCCAAGGATCAAGGAGGCTTTCCTCAAGGCAGATAAGCACATCAAGATCGAGGGATCTGGCGGCAAGATGTTCTCCATTTCCGGAGCGATTGACGACATGGTGGCCTACACAAAGCTCACAGGTTGGGGCTGCACATAGCGGCGGCCGCTGGCGATCGATTGTTAGTTGTGAAATATTCCTTAGGGACACCCTGTGCGCGTTCTGTGCAATATTGACGTGTGCTTGTCTTTGTTTTTATTATTACACACTTTTATTTTAACTTGTCCGTTTATATGCTTTCAAATCTTGGATACTTAACACATTCCTGCGGAGGGAGCTGGTAGGAAAGTTGGGTTGCTCAGTCAATGGCTAGGGTCAATGGCGGCGTGGTGTAATTCCGCAAATATGGCCGACTGTGAGAGCGGGCACAAGCCGGCCTGAGTAGGTTAAACGTTAAGTTTTATAAGGGCACCACGGGGTGACCAGCCCCTCCCCAACCAGCCCCACTCCTCCCACCCCCCACCCAGCCCCACCCTCCCTACCCAGCCCCTCCCCACCCTCCCCTCCCCACCCAGCCCCTCCCCACGCTCCCCTCTCCACCCAGCCCCACCCCTCCCATTTTTGGATGCACGACGGACGGACGGACACAATAATCCCCTGTGGGCTTGTGGAACCGGGTGGTTCCTACCAGTATAAACTTCACTTGCATTACTGAACAAACATATCTCTCCCTGCTATGATTTTCTCTGCGTTAATCACTTGGGCTGCTTTAAAAAGGGCGATTTCTTTTTTGGTGTCTGTGCGTTTCAGACCTGATTTTTTACGAGATCCTGCACTCGCGCGACCCCAATTTGAAGGAGGCCAGGGTGATCCTGGAGAACGTGGTTTGCCGGCGCCTCTACAAGTTTGTGAATCACACGCAGCCCGGGGAAGGGAAGAACCCTCTTGTAAGTGCGCAAGAAAGGGCCCACTGCGGACCCATGTGATGAAATGCGCTTGTGATTTGACTTAAAAATTAACCGGACATTTAAAAATATACGGTTGATCATCGATAATCCGGTTCGCGATTATCCGGCTGCTTCCAACATTATCCGGGAGTTTCAGGCCGATCCGGCGAAACCGGCGAAACCGCTCCAGGCCGACGATTGGAACCATGTCCGTGACAATAAAAGTAGCTAATTCTTGAATTCAGTGTAAAATATTATATACAGTACATTATATACTTACGTACAACTTAAACAATGAAAATACTGCACTACATGCATCACCCCATGCCGGGTCTTCGCGATTGGAGTAGCAAGTATGGTACAGTAAATAAGTAACTTTTTACAGGATATTCATTTTTGTACGTTTGTATATTTGTCTGTGCCAATTTCATCGAGTAAACAAATTTAAAACACTACATATTTTTTAAAATCGACTTTACCGAAAGGACCAGAGAGTATACTAAAATATTTATAACAACACCCAAAAAGCACAATGCAATAATGTGCAAAAATAACCAATTTTAAATAATGATGTGAATTATTCAGCTTTTTTGAAAATCCGGCGCCCCCTTTCTGAAGCAGCCAGACTGTAGATCAGGTATATTGGTTACTTGGCAGAGATGTCATGAGTTTTGTGATTAGTTTTTTTTGAGTGATCTGAATTGTATGTAACCTAAAAGTGGATAGACTGTGGACTGTAAAGGAGGTTGACTCAAAGAATCAACAAGGAATTAGTCTTGATTTGAAGCTTTCGTGACTGCAGGGATTCATATTTTTTGTTCTTTCGGTAAAGTCACGTAGAAGGGAAATAATAAAATAATAAAAATATAAAACAATAAAATTATCACGATGTTTCGACTGCAACACAAGCAATCATCATCAGGTGTAAAATCCACAGAAAGAAAAAAAAACATTTCTGTGGATTTCACACCTGACGATTGCTTGTGTTGCAGTCGAAACGTCGTGAGAACTTTATTGTTTTATATTTTTATTATTTTATTATTTCCCTTCTACGTGACTTTACCGAAAGAACCAAGAATAAGGAATTAGTCCTTTAAATACCACGGGGAAACCAGCCGGAAGATGAGAGGGAAGGGGGTACATCTTCAATATATGAACTCAACACATTTGTCAATAACACTGCCTTGAAAGGAGGGGAAAAATATATAGGTGATGTTTCACGCAGTGCTCTTTTTTATATCACACAAAGGCAAGAGCGACAGACTACGAGTTTTAGAACGCACTCTACCCCAATGGGGCTCCGAGAAGAAAAGTATTATTAAAACAATATCCAGATGAGCAGTTAAATTGGTTCACAAATTAGTTACTTCTGAGTAGATAATGAGTAACAGACAAACCTTTAAAAAAAGACAAAATGAATATATTCTTGCACAAACTCATCTGTGTTAAAAGTTAAATAAACAAAAAATTCTGCCACATTGCATCCTGGGTAACCATGTTACAGTGTGGTGGTATCTTATTAAAAAGAGTGACCCATTGTCTGCGTAGAGACTAGGGTCAATAAAATTCGTACCATGAATTTTTTTCCTGGTTAAACAATATTAAATGTATTAATAATGGAATACGCTTCGATATATTCTGTGATTCTATGATGTTCCACGTTTAATTGTATCTCTTGGATTGCTGAATATGGTCGAATTGTGGGTATTGTTGCGACGTGTGGATTTGAATTGTGCAGCGTTTGTGTACATGTGGGTTTCATTGTCTGGTCTGATGTGCCCGTGTTGGTGACCTCGTCCTTGCAGGATGAGGTCAAACTGGCGAAGGAGATCGCTAACTCGGAACCGGAGACGCCACTCAACGTCAAGTTAAACCCAGAGGATTTTGTGGTGCACGTAAGTGGCTTTCTTTGATGATGGTTATTCCAGTAATGATGATGATGATTACTCTCTTGTTTATGATGGTATTCTAGTAATGATGATGAAAATGTGAGTTGGTTGATACTTTGTTGTATTGCCATTGTACTGAGACCACCGTTGTTAATCATTACACATGTCCGTTGCAGGTGGCTAGGAGTAGGCAGTATGGCAATGGATTGATCTGTTTGTTTGGAGATTTGAGTGTCATCTATCATGTGTGTCGGTTATCTTTGGTTACTGTAATTTTGTCCCACACCAAACATTCAGTAATGGTATTGGATAACATCCTGATCCAGGACTCTGTTAAAATATAAATGTGAATCTCAGTGAGGCTTTTGTGAGTTTAACACGTAGGCTTTCGCAGCCAATATTATCCATAATAGAGGTTTTTGGGTTATATTGCGTAAATATAAATGTGCCCGACACAGCCAATTAGTAAGGGTTGTCACGTAAATGAAACATGCTAATTCTGAACTAGTACAGCACACCGGTGTGTTGGAGAGTAAACACACAACATTTACAAATCGATTACCATGACGTTTCTCCCGTAATTACAACCAGCCTCATCAGGCGAAAGCCAGAGATGTGGAGAAATCCTCCTGTTTCGGTCCATATAATTTCATTATATTATGTATTGGGGTGGATTGGCGATGCAGTGGTTAGCACACTATGCTACAAACCTGACGAATCGAGTTCAATTCCTGGCCACGGCTTACATCATTGCCGAGCGATATCGGAACCAGTCCTCCCCCTCCCCCTCCCCCCTCGGCCGACTTGCATGCGCCAGCACGGTAAAGTTTGATAACCCCCCCCCCCCCACAAACAAATTAAACCCATGATTGAGATATCCTGGGGGAGGCCTTCATCCAGCAGTGGATTAGCTGGGAGGTGGTGCCGCACGCCTCTAATCAAGCGCTGTGGGTGGGTCAGGGTTGGTGGATTGAACAAGTTTTATCAATTTTTCGATTTAAAGCTTTCGTGACTGCAGGGATTCATCTTCTTGGTTCTTTTGGTACGTGACTTTACCGAAAGAACCAAGAAAAAGTTTTATCAAACGCCCTTGCCGTGGTGTATTGAGGTGCCATACCCTGGCTCGCCAGGAGAAGGCAGTACAGCAGAAATGTGTACTCCACCTGTATCGCCTGTATGAGATCATTTCCCCAGAGCATCACGTGGGTTTTCTCCGGCTGCTGTGGTTTTCAACAACAACCGCCATTCGCCGCAAAGTGGCGGTGACGTCACCACGACGCTTGTGCCAGGCCATGTGCACCTTGAGGCCACGTGAAGTGTCGAACGCCCGCTGGCAGGAGGTCATGGGACAGCCCCGGGTGCCGTGGGTTGACTGAGATGACTGGCAGATGCACCACCTCTGCCCCCTGGCGCTCCGCTCGTTGTTGTGAGCGTTGCTCCTCTGCTGTGGTTTTCTCCCACGTGTAAACCCTCATCAATTGGCCGATAACACCGTAATATATAGAGGGACCGCTGCAGAGCTTGGGTAATGGTTTGGTGCCAGCTCATTGTGTGGTTGCTGTCCTGCTTGTCTGTGGCTCCTCCTCCTCGCGCCGCTCCAGTTGTTCTCTCCCTACGAAAATGAGCGAATAACTGCGCGGCGCGTTACAAGTTGTGAATTTATGAAATCGCTGCGATAAATAGTTTTTTGCTTTTTTTATTCACCAGGTGTTGCGTTGAGTGTTTCATTTTTGTGCTGCGTCGTCGTATTTAAATCTCGGCTGAAGCGAGAGAGAGAGCGTTATGACGTTGTCCCCTTGCAGGTAATTAACTTGGACTACGGAATGAAGGAGAAGAACCCCATCAACAATGTGTGGTTCTACTGCAAGGAGGATCCCGACAAGCCGTTCAGAATCTGCAAGACACAGGCGAGTGCGAGCATTAGAACAGTGACGGCCAGGTGTTGGGCCACCACGGTGGTGAGATGTTATCTCCCTCGCCTGGTATGCAGGAGGTCGTGAGTTCGATCGCGACTCTGACGATCCCTGCGGTATATTTGGAGTTTGTATGTTCTCCCAGAGCTTTGCAAATACCCAGGTCATTCTTACAAGTGAGACTGATCCTGGTCTCTTGAGTTATCAACCTGGTTAGATAGAATAACCTTAAATCGTGAACCGTTCGCCAACCGACACCGATGCGCATGATGAAGTACGAGCGAACGCATGCCCATGGGCGGCACCGCATGGGGCAGAGGTTTTTATTCCAGCAGTGGATTGACAAAGGGGCAGAACGTTATGTCATTATAACACTGTGGTCAACTACATTGGCTCTCTCAAGCTCCGCTCGGACTTAAAACACATTCCTGCTGAGGGAGCTGGTAGGAATGTTGGGTTGCTCGGTCAATGTCCAGGTTCAACGGCGGCGTGGTGTATTCCGCAAATATGGCCGACTGTGAGGGCGGGCACAAGCCGGCGTGAGTAGGTTAAACGTTGATATAAGGGCACCACGGGGTGACCAGCCCCTCCCCACCCAGCCCCTCCCCTCCCCACCCAGCCCCTCCCCACCCAGCCCCTCCCCACCCTCCCCACCCAGCCCCTCCCCACCCAGCCCCACCCTGCCCACCCAGCCCCTCCCCACCCTCCCCTCCCCACCCAGCTCCACCCTCCCCACCAGCCCCTCCCCACCCTGCACGACGAATGGACGGACACAATAATCCCCTGTGGGCTGGTGTAACCAGGAGGTTCCTACCAGTATAAGTATCTCTTTGTCCCTTGCTATTCATATCGATTGACCTAATGTGCAGTTTATTTGGGACGGTAATACTAAACTATTGAACTGTTTTTTTATTTTTCCAGGCAAGGTCCACTGAACTATAGCTATTCTTTTAGGAAGCGACCTGGCCACAAGTGATAGCTCAACGAATTATGGCAGCCAAATAATCTTAATAGCTGGGAGCCGCAGACACTACGCAACTGACATTGTTGTTGCCTTGAGAGCAGTCGCCCCTTGCACGACGATGACGAGAGAGAACTTGTGCGATTAACGATACGGAACCGGTACAAACAAACAAGGTCATGGCCTTTCTTTTCCTGCAGGTGTCAAAGATGCTGCCGGAAATATTTCAGGAGCAGCACATTCGCGTTTACATCAGGAAACTGGAGCCGGAATACCTCAAAGCTGCCAAGCAGTACTTCGTGCAGTGGTGTCTGGACAAGAAGTTCATCATGCCTCAGGTCTGATGCCTCCGCATACACGAGTGACACTCATTAGAGTTTGACAAAGAAAACTATCATAGCGCAACAACGCTTTTTACTAAACAATTTCTTATTTTACCAAGTAAGGCCCACTTAGCAATAAAGCTCTTTTTCATAAGCGATCTGGCCACAAATGATAGCCCAATGAAGTGGCTTATCATATGTAAATTTTTAGCAGCCCAATACTCTAAATGCACGTTTCTAAACGTGGAGCGAAAAACCCGAGAACCCGGAGAAAAATCCACACGACCACGGGAACAAGATTCAAACTCCAAATATATACGGCAGATGTCAGAGTCGGGATCGAACACACGACCTCCTGTATACCAGGCGAGTTGGTTAACATCTCGTGACCTCCGCACCAAATGGAACACAGGTCATGCCAATAAAATGATGGACCTACTTTTACGTGCCATATTTGTATGTATGTTGAACTTATTTTGCGCCATACGTAGCCAACCATGTTAATCGGAGGTGGGGGGGGGGGGAGGACATGAAACTACGTACGAATCGTGCAACTGAGTTGATGTTGTTACAGGATGGAGAAGTGGTGGCCCCAGGGCTGACTCCATTCAAAGAGAGCTGGAAGCGGAACGCTGACGCCAACTCCGACGAGAAAGTGCGACAAGCACCCAAGGAATGCCAAAGGAAACTGTTTTTGAAAGAGAACACCAAATGATATGCCCGTGTAAAAAAAAGCACCCACTTAATTTTACGTACGGTTTTGAAATTGTGGTCGGCATTTAACTGCATTTAAAACCTTTTCCTTTTTTTCTGAAGCACTCTTGTTGCCTTACTGCTTGCTACGCAGATGTTCCCAGGTTACGCTGTACATCTCGCCGCTGCGCTTGCGATATGTACCGCGTGTTGTTGTTCGGCACGATATCTGACAATTTCGCTGCTTTTCGTGCCGGACAACACGCGACGCAACCCGAAAACACATCGGGGCAGCTCTTGCAGCTTTTTTTCCGCTTTGTAACAATAGTTAAACGTGGCCTTTTATTAAGTGAATCTCGCTTGCAAGTTTAGACCGTGCAAGCCTAATGGCATGCAGAGTTGTTGTGTGTTTCTACTTAGTGATAGGGTTGCATGCACAATGATACCATTGAAGTGGGTTTCAGTGCTGACCGTGTTCATACTGGGATACAGGTAGGCTGAGATTATTACGGGTAAAACTTTGCGTATCTCCCGTGTGTCTGTTGTGTTTAACGCTATGCACTTGGGGGGTGGAAACAATGCGTTGATTCTTTTATCAATGTCGATTCTTGACCTCATGATACATGCACGGAATTGCACGTGTGTGGACTTTGGTGCGTCGGATTAAAAGATGGGATTCGTGTCACTCGTGCAGCCGCTAGAGCCGCCGCCGCCGTCCACCTCGTGAGAAATTGGATTGCCGAGTTGAATTGTCAACGTTTCGTTGAATTGTCAACGTTTCATTGAACCGTCCCGAGTCGTTTCGGCCACACTCTGCGCTCTTCACATCGCGACGTTTGAGTCGTCATCGATCCACTGCTGGATGAAGCCCCTCCCGCCACGCAGTTCTCGTAATTTCACACGATCCTGCGACGTCGGGTTTATGTTGGGTGTTTTAATTTGGATGGGGGGGGGGGAGGTTTTGTTGTACACCACCAATTGGGGCAGCTTGCAATGTCAGAACAATTGCCATCTTAAATTTCGATTTAAAGCTTTCGTGACTGCAGGGATTCATCTTCTTGGTTCTTTCGGTAAAGTCACGTAGAATGGAAATAATAAAAATAAAACAAAATAATTCTCACGACGTTTCGGCCACAACGCACCTGAGGACGGCTCCTTGCGTTGTGGTCGAAACGTGATAATTATTTTAGAATGTTTTATTTTTATTATTTTATTATTTCCATTCTACGTGACTTTACCGAAAGAACCAAGAAGAATTGCCATCTTACAATAATACAACAGAATAAGAGTCATGAGGGTGTTTTGACCATGATTCACAATTATCTCAATTCGGCTTGGGGAAGGGCAGTCCCATTGCTTTTTTAAGAGTCTAAATAATTTTACATTGTAATGTGGTGGATGTGTACGGCAAACCTTTGCTTTTATGCAAAATTATTTTTTTACTGCTTGAAATGTGTGAACAAAAAAAATACGTTAAGCTTCGGTCAGTGGTGCATTTCAATTAATGCAGCAACATTTATGTTGGGCCTTGTTTACATCACGCTACTTCAGCATTTTTAAGTACCACATGTTTTAAGATGTTTCGATTGTCTTCACTCCACTTAACACGATGCTCCTACATTAAGTGGGCGTCCGTTTGAGATGTTTTTCACGCTTTAATTTCCACCGTGTGATAACTCGTGTTTGGGCATTGTACGTGTGCCATTCGTATCCAGGTCATTTGCATTCTCGAGGAAATGGGATGCTTAGGGGACCTACCTTTCAGCGTGTGGCTCTGGTGTTTTATCCACTTGCTAACATCAATAATGGGAGATTTCAGGGCTATGAAAGTTTCCAATTTAAAATCTACACTGCATATTGTAGTATTCCTGTTCTTCGGGCTAACCATTTATTGTGAGAGCTCAGTAAACATGCCAACATTGGCCCAAAGTTTACATGATTACTGAGAGGCTTTGTAATGTGAGCTCGCAGTTATATTTACAACACAGACGTGAATGCAACCTACTGAATGTTGGACGTTGTTGCGCTTAGCGTCTGTATAAAGTCCACTGTGAGCACCGTCCCAATGGGTTTTACATAACCCAAGTATGATGATGTCTTCGTATCTATAACAGAATCATCGTTAAGCGCCATTGCGGAGAGGGGTAATAACAACGCCTCTCCATTTTTGTGTCTCCACGTAAAAAATGAAAATATTTTTTTACGCATGCCACCAGCTGCTCGACTTTGAGTGCATCTTGGTAGTGTTGTATTGGTTCACAACAAGAAAACTCCACTGGTTCCAAGGGGGTTCTACGTCCCATTAGCAGTTCCGCTTGCTTGAACCAGTTCGGTACTGGTCGCTGAATGTAAGAAATTGTCCCGTTGAACACGAAATTAAGTAATACATAACACAGTAATTCAGTCGTTGTGAGTAGAGAATATGGAAAGTGGGTATTATTTATTTTGTTATCAGGATATAACTTTTTTTATAATTTCCAAGATTGTTCTTTGGTGTGATGGGTTCGCTGTTTAACACGCTGTTATTTTTTGAGTGTGTTTAATTTAGGCAGATGTCTTACGGGTGTTTGTGTAATTTTTGCCCAGTTGCAGAAGCTTAAAACGTCACTGTGTTACGTGCAATTGCATCCTTTACTTCTTAACAAAGTGCCTTTATTCTGTGCAAAAAAAAAGTGATTTGCTTCCATGGAAATTCGTTGTTCTCTAAAAATGCTTCTATAACATGGGAAATACAAGTGGGAAATAATAGTTTTTCCCCATTCGAAGTGTATACCTACCAATAGATAACGTGAAAACAATCCGTATCCTGTAATTTCAGTTGAAGCGTTTCTTCTTAAGGATGTAATCATTCGTTAACGTTTTTTGTGTTGATCTTTAAAAAAAAAAATTTGACATTGGTGGTGCTCTTAGTTGAGGTTGTATCTTGAGTTATAATTGTAAGCGTTGTCCTAACTTAAATGTTATTTTGATTGAATAAAGTCTTGATTTTTCTAAGACATTGTCTGTGTTTATGAATTATCATTTCGGCTCCAGTAGACCCGAGAAGTGACACGTGGATTTGGGAACGAACACTGTGTGATTGCCCCTTTTTTAAATCCTTTATATTAAGTTCACTTGCTTGCTTGCTTGCGCGCTTACGACCGTGCAAATCTTTCGGTCGTTTTTTAACCCACTTCCCGTGATCCAATCGAGCTGACATTTGCACACAGACTCGTGCGTGACAATGTATTTTCGTGAAATTTTTTTCTCCAAAATTTTACACTTTTTAGGAAAAAATTAATTATATTTAATTACCAATTGCTTAATGGTGGCAGGCATTCATCTGACCCATAGGTGGCAGCCATCTCAAGCCAGAGGACGAGAGGACTCTAGCCGCCACGCATATTAAGGATTTATAGTGAAAAACTTTGTTTTTATGGGTTAATTTTTTCAGTGCTTTGTTTCGTGTCAAAATAAATATGCAATATTTAAAATCGTGAGTTTCAATGTGTGCATAGTTGTAAATGAATTACCATTTTTCGTTATAATACTTTGCAAAAACATGTTTGGCATAATTGATGGAACAGCGGCTATTGTTACGTCATGATCTGGTTCAATATAAAATTATAGTGCACCAATGGTATGGCTCATAAGCGTTATATATTGCAATTATAAGAATGGACAGACTTTAGTGAGCTGACATTGAAAAACGTTTAGGCAATATTTGTGCATGAGAAGTGCGACAACGATACTGTGCCATAAATATGTACAAATGACGACGTTATGGGACACGGATACGGTGACGATCCTTAATTGTGAAATGTGATCTCGTATTGTAGAATATGGGCGCGCACGCCGTGAGCCGATAGGCAAGTTTCGTGTGGTGGTGGGTGGGTGGATGTGTGGATGGTGGTGGGTGGGTGGGTGGATGGTGGGTGGGTGTGTGGATGGTGGTGGTGGTGGGTGGGTGGATGTGTGGATGGTGGTGGGTGGATGGTGGTGGGTGGGTGGGTGGTGGTGGTTGGTGGGTGGATGGTGTTGATGGTGGTGGGTGGGTGGATGGTGGGTGAGTGGATAGTGGTGGTTGGTGGGTGGGTGGGTGTGTGGATGGTGGTGGGTGGTGGGGGTGGGTGGATGGTGGTTGTGGATGGATGGTGGTGGGTGGGTGGGTGGATGGTGGTTGTGGATGGATGGTGGTGGGTGGGTGGCTGGATGGTGGTGGGTGGGTGGATGGTGGTGGTGGGTGGATGGTGGGTGGGTGGATGGTGGTGGTGGGTGGGTGGGTGGATGGTGGTGGGTGGGTGGGGATATTCCCACACCTTCCAGCTTGGGAAGAGTCGAACAGACACACCGCCTTCGCCACTGGTGGCCCATCCAACATCAGTGGCAGGAGGAATTGCAGGGCTGCACCTTTACCGTAACATAGAACCAAACGCGCCACGTGGGATTCAATGCGGCTGGTTGGAGGAGCTATCAGGGTGCTGCCGCTGGGCAATCAGCGTTGCGCACGGCCGCGCCGTGTGTACGTTGAACTTCTTTCGCACCGTACGTAGCCAACCGTGCAATGCGGAGGATGACAAGAAGCTAAACACACAAAAGAATTTGGAAACAAATGAGGTTTCAGCTTTTATAAAACTCAACGTTTAACCTACTCACGCCAGCTTGTGCCCGCCCTCACAGTCGAGCATATTTGCGGAATACACCACGCCGCCGTTGACCCTGCAGGCCATTGACCGAGCAACCCAACGTTCCTACCAGCTCCCTCCGCAGGAATGTGTTTTATAAAAAAAAGTCGATTTTATTAAGTAGAACGTGTTGTCTATATTTATTTAAAGTAGCGCCTTTTGATGTGACGTCACATTTCTCAAACCCCACCCCCCTCGTCACACATCGTCACAAATGTCTGACCCCCCCCCCCCCCAGGTGCATGACGTCATTTATGGCCCATGTGTCTCGGTGACTCCCGGTAGTGAAAACACACGCCTCTGTCTGAGTGACTCCCGGCAGTGAAAACACACGCCTCTGTCTGAGTGACGACTTGGCAGTGAAAACACACGCCTCTGTCTGAGTGACGACTTGGCAGTGAAAACACACGCCTCTGTCTGAGTGACGACTGGCAGTGAAAACACACGCCTCTGTCTGAGTAACTCCCGGCAGTGAAAACACACGCCTCTGTCTGAGTAACGACTTGCAGGGAAAACACACGCCTCTGTCTGAGTAACTCCCGGCAGTGAAAAAACACGCCTCTGTCTGAGTAACTCCCGGCAGTGAAAACACACGCCTCTGTCTGAGTAACGACTGGCAGTGAAAACACACGCCTCTGTCTGAGTGACTGGCAGTGAAAACACACGCCTCTGTCTCACTTCACACAGAGGCCGTGGCCACCGCTCACGTGTGCCATCATATGACGGCATCGCTTTAACGCAGCACCCAACTCACAACTCTTGACTCCCATATTCTTTAGAGCAGAAACAACAACAACAACAAGGATGCCGCGAGGTGACATTTGACCACATCGCTGCCGACCCCGTTCGACCGAAGACCCTCTCGCAATGTCGCCTTCGCAAGTCGAAGGTAAACCCATCGCCACGCAGCGCCCGGCCTCGTTTGTTGTCGCACTCACCGACCCTCGGCTAGATCTCAGTCGGGAAGGGCGCGACGTTTTGCCGGGTAGAGGGAGCTAGGCCCCACGGGGTGCTCACGATCTCCCCTCGTAAACTCTGCAGTGTCCACGGACTGCCCGGTCAGACTGCGGCCCTGAACGTTTGTCGCCGTGAAGCGGGACGTGTCTCACACACACGTCTCTTGTGTTATTCAGCAGACTGACGTTTCGGGCAACGGGCCTTCAGAGTAGAGCAGAGAGAGAGATTGGCTGGCTGAAGGCTCCCCACGCCGTGCTGATTGTGAGGGGCAGGCAGTTGGGGGGGGGGGTATTTCGCCATACTTCACCAATCCGGGTTGGTGCAGTTGAGGAGTACCGGACCAGTTCGCTTATCAGATGCCACTGATGTTTGCCGGGACTAGGAACTCCGTTGTCCAGGCTCGTACTCCTCATAGCGCAACAGCGCTATCTCTTTACCGAGATATTTAGTTTTATTTTACCAGCTAAGGTCCACTGAGCTGTATAAATATCTCTTTTCCAGAAGCGACCCGGCTACAAATGATAGCTCAACGAAGTTGGCTTTTGGGGCCGGCCATAAATGACGTCACGCACCTAGGGGGGGGGGGGCGGGGAGAAATGTGACGTCACATCAAAATGCGCAACTTTAAATAAATATGGAATTGTTCTAACAGCACTAATTGTAATAAAAACACTCCTACAACATCAGAGTGCAGCGCCACATTAAATACGCACTACAATGACAATAGTTGAAAGCGATTTGAAGCACGTTTTATTTTTGGGGGGGGGGGGGGGGCAGAGCTTTGTGACGTCATATTTGAGAGGGGGGGTCTGATTTTTTGTGATGCCATGTGACGAGGGGGGGGGGGTCAAATCGTCCAAAATCGCGTGACGTCATTTATGGACGGCCCCTAATATCACCTGGAAATACACAGCAGCAGCAGGCGTCGGGATGGAACCCACGACCTCCTGTACATCAGGCGAGGTAGTTAACATCTCCTAGCCACCAGCCGCCCAGACTTTTTATATAGCTAGGGTTGCTCAAACACTCGTTGAAATAACTCAAATGTTATTTGTATTTGTGTGAAACTTCTTTTGCACCGTACGCAGTCAATCGTGCTCATAGGAGGTGTGGGAGGACAACAGGCTGAACATAAACTGCTCCTGAAAAATGCGTTTTAAACATAGTAATTGTTTATTTTCACAGGGAGACCTCGAACAGAAGTTTTAATTTCTCTTCGAACTCAGCATCGTCGTTGTGCGTTAAAGTTGTCAGACGCCTGTGCGTTTAATCCGTTTTAGAAAGAAAAAAACCTTGCAACAATGTAATTTTGATGGACATCAACAATAAAACGTTAATAACGATGCGTGTTTATCCCGGTCAACTAACTTTTGTCTATAAGTTAAACAAAGCCATGGGGAGTGTAATACATGAGTAAATTCGGCTGTACAAACATGTATTGTTTACATAGAGTACGTTGAAGACGTATAACATCTGATTTAAGATCAAGATGTCAAAGCCGCTGATAGCTCCATAACTCGCCAACACTTTCTAGTTCTGCCAGGGTGTTGTTCTTTATTCTTAAATAATAGGTCACTGAGTTTTAATTAGGAGTGGATAATCATTGAAACGGCGTCCGCACTAAAGCCAAATGAGAGTGGAATAACCCTATTTGTCCTTTAGGCTATGGTTTTTTTTTCTCAAGTGCAGCTAATCTCCAACCCGGATGGCCCCCACCCATGCATTGCTCAGAATGAACTGTAAGAACACTTTTACTGGTAGGAACCTCCTGGTAACACCAGCCCACAGGGGATTATTGTGTCCGTCCGTCGTGCATACAAAAATGGGATGGGTGGAGAGGGGCTGGGTGGGGAGGGTGGGGCTGGGTGGGGGTGGGAGGGGTGGGGCTGGGTGGGGAGGGGACCTTTGTCTCAATGGGCTCTCATCTCGTTGTAAATAACGATCCTGTACTTCAGTTATACCTGAGCGCAGCGGTGTAGTACAGTAAGTGCACAATCTAGATTTGAAGCTTTCGTCACTGCAGGGATCCACACTCTTTGGTTCTTTCGGTAAAGTCACGTAGGTATAAAATAAAATAAATCACGACGTTTCGATTGCAACACAAGCAATCATCATCAGGTGGGAAACCACAGCAATTTTTTTTTCCACTTCAGCAAACAACATTTTTTTGCTGTGGTTTCTCACCTGATTATGATTGCTTGTGTTGCAATCGAAACGTCGTGATTTATTTTATTTCATATCTACGTGACTTTACCGAAAGAACCAAAGAGTAGTAAGTGCACACTTAAAACATGACGAAATTGCAGTGTTTACATAGGAAATGTCACGTGCTTGAAATGTATTCTTTGCCAACATTCCTCTTTACAATGCCGTGCAGTGAACTGGTCTGGTTATGATCTTCAATCCAGTGCTTGGTGTTTGTGACTTAGGGGCCGTCCATAAATGACGTCACGCACCTTGGGGGGGAGGGGGGGTCAGACATTTGTGACGAGGGGGGGGGGTGAGAAATGTGACTTCACATCAAAATGCGCAACTTTAAATAAATGTAGACAACACGTTCTACTTAATTAAATAGACTTTTTAATTAATGTTTTATCCGACAACATCAGAGTGCAGCGCTACATTAAATACGCACTACAATGACAATAGTTTAAAGCGATTTGAAGCATGTTTTATGTGTTTTTTTTGGGGGGGGGGGCAGAGCTTTGTGACGTCATGTTTGAGGGGGGGGGGTCTGACTTTTTGTGACGCTGTGTGACGATGGGGGGGGGGGGTCAAAAATCATCCAAAATCGCGTGACGTCATTTATGGACTGCCCCTTATCCATTTGCTCTATATTTTACACACACACACACATTGTATCAAGTAACTCACGCTCTAGCCCAAAAAAAAACTCTTAGGGCTACTATTGGTCACGAAAGCCAATGCGTTAAACCGACACAAACATGCACAAGCACACTCAACACGTGTGCACGATGCAAAAACACACGTGAGCATTTACTGAAGAGAGGTGCATTGTTGTCATCTTCTGGTTCAGGAACTCCTGATGGTTGTTGCATGATGCACAACACGCTGACTGTTTTGTACACGTTTCTCTCTATTTTGTTTGAAAATTATGGTTGTCCTCCCTGCACTATTTTCTGTTCTTTTGGGGTTTTCTCGTAATGTACACATGCGATTGCTTGTGTTATTGTTTGCTCAGCCAAATATACGGTTCTTACTACATGTCTTCTGTGTTATAAATATAACAAGCGGTGATCTGGGATAAAAATGCACTCGTTGCCAATGAGACCTTCAAACATTAAGGCTCTCGTATGAAAACTCACTCTCTGTAAGTACCAATGATACTGACGATTTCTTGTTCAGTCATGGCGAAGGATTACAATCTTGAGTCTGAAATGTTCTGAGGTTTTCTCAGTTGTTGGAGCAGGATCAAACAAATGCACTCGTACACAGGCGCGTATACATCATCCCCTCGGGGGTGGCGGTGGCTGTTAGTTTCCACGTGAGAACCGAGGGTGAACGCGTTTGAGCAAGTCCCCAGGTGAATGATTGCTGCAGGAGTCACGGCAGCTTTTCACTGCAATATATCGAGAGGGGGCAATGTTTATGAGGCTTTGAAAAATGTGTCATGCGCAGCGGCGGGTGATGAGTCGTGGTGTGTGTGTGTGTGTTGTAGGTGATTCTGTTGGACGACGGCATGCATTGTTTGATGTTTGTGGCGAGTGATAGTGGATGTTGTTTGGGTAATGGTGTCATATTTCGATTTAAAGCTTTCGTGACTGCAGGGATTCATCTTCTTGGTTCTTTCGGTAAAGTCACGTAGAAGGAAAATAATAAAATAATAAAATAAAACATAATAAAATAATTCTCACGACGTTTCGGCCACAACGCAAGCAGCCGTCTTCAGGTGGAGAACAGGTCTGTCGAGAAGGCAGACTCAGGTCTGTTGAGAAGGCAGACTCTGCCTTCTCGACAGACCTGTTCTCCACCTGAAGACGTCTGCTTGCGTTGTGGCCGAAACGTCGCTAGAATTATTTTATTATTTTATTATTTTCCTTCAACGTGACTTTACCGAAAGACCAAGAAGATAATGGTGTCATCTTGCGTGGTGTGATCGTGGGTTAAGGTGTGTGCCGGCTACAGAGTTTATATTGTGGGATTCGGTGTGGTGGGTCACGTTCAAGTTGACTTTGTTTAACCAGGTGATGCATCAAACTTGAGAGGCTCGGGATGAGTCTCATTTGCGTGAGTGAATGATACATTTCATACAAACAAACAAAGAAGTAAAGCAATCAGCATAAACTCAAAAACACTTTTACACCAGGAATCTTCCGTATGGGGTGAGTGTATTTTGTGATGGATGATTGTATGTGGTGAGTGGTGTTTGCTTATGGTGTGTGCTTAGTTTGTGGTGTGTGATGGTAGTGGTGGATGGTGGTTTTTGTAGTTTGATGGTGGTCTAATAATAATAATGCCGTTTAGCCATGAAAACCTCACTAAGTCTCGAGGAAGTGCATTTTTTTCTGGCGGGTCTTGCATCAGGCTGTTTATAGCAAGAATGAGGAAACCAGAGTTGCAGTAAAAACCTGGTACACAAATAGGTGATGACACTCACAAATCTCCACACAAATATATTGAAGAAATATATTTGCTCTGCCGAGTTCACAGTAAAACAACAATTTTTCTGTTTCGAGAAATGAATGCTCTTTACAACTTATTTTATGATTACGTTTAATATAATTTTGATCTCCCACCCTCCTTGCAGCCAATTTTTACCTCCCAAAGTGCTGGATCACAGGGGGCTAAGGGGTGGGGGGGGTGTTGGATCTTATTTATCATCGCCACTGATCACTGTGGGTGGGGGTGCATACAGGGAGAATACGAACGGGGAGCATAGAACAGAGGTCGCAACCGGGTACCCGATACCCGTACCCTACCCGATACCCGGCTACCCATACCCGGCCGGGTACGGGTAGCCGTTTGCGACCCTGGTGCGGCCGGGTACGGGTACGGGTAGGCCGTGAGTCACTGGTGAGTAACCGTTTGTCACTCATTTCGGGTAGGATACGGTACGGGTAGGGAACGGCTACCCGTACCTGGCCGGGTACGGGTACCCATTTGCGACCCTGGTGCGGCCGGGTACGGGTAAGGGTACGGGTACGGGATCAAAACCCATTTGCGACCTCTGGCATAGAAGCACAGTGAAACAATGGGCGCCGCTGTTCCAGCCGAGTTTGTGTTCTGGTGGCGGCTACGGTGGCGGCGCGTGACCATCGATGTTCCGTTTGCGTTGTGCAGTGGTGGCTCTTGCGCTGGCGGACGCGGCGTTCGACAAGGACGAGGCGGTGCGGGAGAGGATCGCTCGCTCCCTCAACGAGCTTGGATGCCGCCATCCAGAACCCGTGCTCGAGTGCTGCCACTCCTACCTCACCAAGCACAGCAAGGTGCGGGGGGAGGGGGGCTACCTTAATTCAGAAGTGCAAATCAAAGTGATCTCCTGATGAAATGAGCATTGATGCTTTGGTGCTCGTATGTAGGTTGAATTATTCTAGTGAATCCGTACATAGCCAACCGTGCTAATCGGAGGTGCGGGGGAGGATAACTAAACACAAAAAGCAGTTTTCAAGAAATTGGTTTTCAATCTAGATTTAAAAGTGCGTAGATCCAGTGGCTTCGTAATGTCGGAAGGATGAGCGTTGCAGATGGCCGCAGAAGCACACCTGAAGGTGCGTGGTGCAATGACTGCCCTTGTTCGATCACTAGCCAAAAGCCGCTGCGAGGATGACCAAAGCTCGCGTGATGGTTTATTTTCTTTGACGACATCATCAACTCTAGATTTGAAGCTTTCGTGACTGCAAGGATTCATACTCTTAGGTTTTTTCGGTAAAGTCACGTAGGTAAAAAATTTAATTAAAAATTACTAAAAGTGATGATAGAAATGAAATAAAATAATAAATCACGACGTTTCGGAGGCAACACCAGTCTCCGTCATCAGGTGGGACCATCACAGCTAGATTTGCTGTATCAAGTGAGGCAGAGATTCCAAGATACAAGTTCTTAAATACAAGTTAAGAGGGGAGGAGGGAGGGAGGGGCTTATCTGAATGTGGTGGTCAATGAAAGGAACGTATTGGGAGGGGGGGGTGCTAAAAGAGAGTGAATGTGGAACTGTTGGACCTGTTGGTGCACATGCTAGAAGATAAAGAAAATGCCCATGTTGTTTTACCCAGTGTTGGTTGACAATCAAATACATCATCAACCTATTGTGGTTCATTTGTGGTAAGCACTTTGTGTGTAAGGAGTGCAACCTTATAATGCAATTTAAAATAAATTAGTGTTCAGTCATTTACTGTTTACAGCTCTGAGCCAGTGATTGAAATTCTGCGTTCCTATGGTAAGGGTCGAGTTTATCCACGGGACGACCGCTGTCGACTTAAACACAGAGCGGCACGGGTTTTATTGACCATTGCGGGATGATGGGCCGAGTCGGCCCCCCCAGCCAGGGATTTGAACGCGCGCAGTCTTTCGATTGCGAGCCGCTCGCTGACACCGCTGAGACAACTGTGATTTCCTGATGAAATGAGCATGTTCACAGTGTGTATGGGCACAACCGAGATGGTGTGTGCTGCAGTTTTGCGATGAGTATTTTGAGATTGGTTTGCGTGCCACGCTGCGATTACGACTTCAGAGTTAGCTTATAGCTAAAATTAGCGACGAATGTCTGAACCAGTCCTGGGCCTCCCCTAGGTCAACTCAGCCCTGTAATAATTGGTGTCGGGCAGACAAAGGTGGCAGGGCACAGTTGTTGGCCACCACCCCTTCGTGCGCCGGCCTTAATAGGTGTTCGTGAACAGCACTTGCCCAAACAGTCTGTAAAGGCTAGAGGGGGGATCTTTGTGTGTGCGCGTGGCTGTGTCTGTGGCCTGGGGAGTGGTAGTGTAGCGGTTAGCGTGCTGCGCTACGAACCCGGTGACCGAGTTCGATTCACTCTCACGGCCAACACCAGTGACGATTATCCGAACTGGTCCTGGGCCTCCCCTTGGTTGACTCAGTCTCAAATGAGTACCTGGTGTGGTGTGTAAACATTGCCACTAGGGAGACAAAGGCAGCCAGGTGTGGTGCTGGCCACCCACGCTCTTGTGTGCCATGCCGCCCTTCGTCATTGTTCGCTAACAGCACTTGCCCCAACAGTTTGTTAAAGGCTATACTGGGGATCTTTGTCTTTGTCGCCCGGGTAGCTCCCCCAGGGCCATCGCGTGGTAATCCTGCTCAGCATGGAGCTCATCATCAAGGACACGCTGCACCAGCTGTCGGAGCCGCTGGCGCGCAGTATTGTGGCGCTCACCTCCGAGGAGATGACTCGCTCCAAGGTGCCCGCTCAGCCCACCGGCTTTTGTGTAACTCTGCTGATGACAGCCAGAAGGTCAAAACCAGTCCAGTGTTTGTTTACTTGCTCGTGTAAACAAATGTTGCTGGTTAGTATTAGTTTGGAACGTCAATAGGGCGGCGATAGGCTAAAGAATATTTTTTATATGTGGACACATAATGGGGCTCTATTTGATACAAAAAAATAATGTAAAATCAGGTCATAGTAATTACGTTTTTCCATTTTTGGAAATAAAAAGCCACCTACCTTAATCAGGTAGTAGTTTTTTTTTAAACACACTGTTCAACTTTGTTGCCCTGAATATCTAATAATAATACAATTAAATCACCCCCACAATAACTCTGCACAGTTATCAAAGGCCACTGATAGAATGGGATGCAGAATCAGAATTTTGATTTAGACCCGGAGGAATCCGATGAGCTATTAAGTTCTTATTCACAGCTGTCCAGCATGGTCAGGTCAGCAAGCTACAACATCTTCTTGGTTATTTCGGTAAAGTCACGTAGAATTGAAATAATAAAATAAAAAAATATAAAACATAATAAAATAATTATATTATTTTACTTTATATTATTATTTTATTTTATATTTTATAATGTTTTATTTTTCTTATTTTCTTATTTCAATTCTACGTGACTTTACTGAAAGAACCAAGAAGGTGAATCCCTGCAGTCACGAAAGCTTTAAATCGAAAAAAGCTACAACATGCTTTTCCATTGCACTGCGTGAAGTGGTTTGGAACCCGTGTGCGTGCGGCGCATCGCAGGAGGTGTTTCCCGAGTGGCAGCAGGCAGCCAGCAACGTGCTCGTGGCCATTGGTAGTGGCTTCGTCCGTGTGGTCATGGAGGAGCTGCTGCAGAAGTTTCAGCCGGGAACGATACCGCACTTCTTTACGATGAAGACGCTGGCTAATTTGGCCACTGCCAATGGTAACACTTCATTGAGCTGCTGCACGAGTACTTGCACTGTGTTTTTTACACGTCTTCATTTGTTTGCTATCTACATGTGAAATAGGCTGACGGTGTCACGTCATGAGATGTTTTCCGTTTAGAATTGTGCAGCTTGAATTGCGTCAATTTGCGTCAAAGAATAGTCCCAGAAGATGATCCTTGAGAACGACTTCTGAACGAATTTGAATAGACTTCATTACCCGCTGTTGAGCGACACATATTTTATTTTCCCTGCAAAGATCGTTTGTCGTATGCCAATCGAACTAATATATTTAGGTCTCAGAACTGGAATTATTTAAATGTAGTGAAATACCAAATGTGACATCGTGAGCATTTGTCAATTTGCATGTGATCAGGCTAAGACCATCAACTTGCTACACTTGAGAGCCCAGGTTAATCATGGATGGTTGAAACCCCCGATTCGAACCCGGAATTTCAGCAATGCCGGCTCAGCGCTGGATCCATCTGAGCCACGCAGCCACCTCGCCCAAGAGTTCCTTGGAAAAACATTTTGACGGAAGAGTTTGATTTACAGTTGCCCTACTTTGTGCGTCGGCTCTCGCTGTGCTGCCCTTCCAGTGTACGGGATGGTGCCCTTCCTGACCGCAACAATGGGCATCATGCTGCCCATGCTTGGAGTGACAAAACAGGACAACATGAGATGGGTCTTCACATATGGTACTGACAGCTTGTCACCATCACTTGACTTTGGTTTCTTTTTCCCCTTTTTTGTTGTTGCCACTTCTGCTATTGACCAGCACGAGCGTCGCTTCATCAGTTGTGCAAATTCACTGCGGTTGGAAACTTTCTTTGGGGTAAAGTTTATTGCCCCGTAGCCCTGCCAAGTGTTTTCGGGTCGTGCAGCGTGTCGCTTGGCACGGTGTCCGACTTGTTTGCTCCACGTTTCGCTCCGTGTGCGGGCGAGCTTCTTGCTGAAGAAGGGTCTCCCCAGCGCTTGGTGCGAAACGTCGGACATCTCGCTGAACAACTCGCGGTGTGACATGAAATTCACGTCGGAGAGCCGTATGGCCCAAATGGCGAAGACCTACCGAGTCGTGTTCTACTCTCGTGGTTAATCCGTGCACATAGCGGAAACCTGTGTGCAGAGGATTCGATGCTCTGGTGGTTTCCTTCTTGTGGCCTAGTGGCTACTCTATGTGGAGTAATAATTTGAAAAGACGCTTTGGGAAACGTAATTATTTTCTAAATGGGGTAGTGCTTATGATGAAAGTGGTTAGTTCTTTGTTTCCATGTTTCTGTGCGCCATTGACAACACAGTCCCTTATTTCTTTATGCATAAATACAAATTAAAATGTTCCTTTACTTTTTAGTTGTTAATTTATGCCGCCGTTGAGTGCTTCCCGCTCCGTGCTCGGAAGCCGACGACCTGAGTTCGATTCCTTGCCGTGGCTAACATCGGCGGCGACTGATTTCTCTACTGGTCCTGCCCCCACCCCACCTTCACCCACCCGCACTGACCAGCATGGTTAAATCATGGTCAAGCAACCCACATGGCCACAACTGTATGGTGATGTGATTTCCTCCAGCATTGGATTGAGAATGACTGACATGCTCGCTTATGAAATATATATACCTTGCATGTTCCAATCATTTACTTGTGCATTATGAGAACATAATTTCACACGTATGTGCCGGTTTCACGCACCTGTAATCGAGTGCTTTGTAGTTGAGGGTTGATGAATCACAGATTCCTGAAACTCCCTACCAGTGGCAGTCGAGGTCACCATCTCTTGGATTGCCAGGGTTTGGCAGTACAGTAAAGGGATTATTTTCTATCTGTACGGGGATTGGGCGTTACCCTCTCTGCGCACGTGGATTTTCTCCGTGTACTCCGGTTTCCTCATGCACCTATAAACACTCATTGATGGAGTTGGCCAAATACCCCAACATCTCACAACTAAGCTTGGGCAATTGTTGGTACCAATTCTGGCTGTCATGTATAATTGTGGTTTCCGATGCCTCTGAATTATTCTCGTCGCTCTGAGAGTGAATTAAAACTGCACGTAATACATTTAAAAATAAAAAAAATTCTTCATAGTAAAAAAATTATTTATTTTTAGTTTCGTTCCCACTGCGCTACCCATCTTTGTGGAGGAATGCATCTTGACGTTCACTGTGGGCCTTCTCCGTGCAGCGCTGAGCCATTTCAGCGAGAGCATCTTGGAGTACGTGGCGAATCTGGACAAGGCACCCGACCCCACGGTTCGGAAGGAGGCCTTCCAAAATGAAATCTACTCTGCCTACGACGTCCTCTTCAACGTCTGGCTGCAGAGCAAGGAGGCCAAGGTTGGGCTGGGCTCTCTTGCACACTGTTCTTGAGTCAACATTTGAATTTTAGTCGTTCGTCTCAGTCGAGGCGACGACAGCCTGCGGGGAAATTAGTCTGTGGATTCAATTTGGTCATTCATTCAGTCTCGTCGACGAAAGCAGTCAAAGGTTTAGTCCAATCTCTATTATTAAATATTGTTGTGAAGAGCGTGTAATTCCCCCCCCACTCTCCCCACACCCTTCGCCCTCCCAGTATTATTAGGTCAAACTAATTTCTGTTAATTCAGTACGTTTTTTATATACATATATGTTTGGTCTTTCTGAGTGCAGTTCTGTCACTCGTAAAATTGATGCATTATCGCGTAGTCTAGAAATTAATTCACAGTTATGCATGCCTTGGGCTGTGTTGGGCAGTCCTAGTTATTGCCACGCTTGATGTTCATTGAAAAATACACACTCGACTGACGGAAGTTTCCATCGCAACTTTAGTTAAATCCAAATGAACACTCTAAGACCCATGTGGCCAAAACCTCTGCAGTTATAGTGTTACGTCACAAGATTAGATTTTCTCTGCTGTGAGACGGCCTCCATGGGAAACATGAGCGACGATCTTCCCCGTTCGCCCCGTCAGCGGAGACATAAATTCCACGGCCAGATCATTCGGCTGCCTGATTCCATGAGAAATACCGACGCGCAAGAGTTGTCTGTCTTTTAAATGGTTGGGGTGGAGATGGAGTTTAGGGTAGGGTTAGAATGGGGGTTGAGGTTCGTGTTGGTATTCGGTTAAGATTTAGGATCGTGTTATGATTTGGGAAGTCAATTTCTCAAGATGAAATGGCACTGCTGACAGTCAAACACGTTGGTCAATCCGTTGGAAATTGATCAATCTCCCCAGCTGTCTCGTGCACTGCTTGAACTCTCCAAAGTGCTCATTTTATATCCCTCTACGCATTGTTGTAAATGACAATTTTATTGCAGTGGTTTTGTTTAATGTTTTGGGCATAGAAGTACAGACACATTTGTATTCAGCAGAGGCCACGTTTGTTGTTTTGTGCCTCGCAGGTTTTTCAGGTAAGTCTAAATGAGTGAAACACTGTTGGAGATTCATAGCGTTCACTTTTTTAATCAATGGGTCTCTGGAAATACCTGGAAATCACGTGGACAGCTCTATCGTGTCCTGGAAATAACGGGTGCAGCTATATAACGTGTCCTGGAAATAACGGGGGCAGCTATATCGTGTCGTGCGTAAAACTAGATTTTTTTTTGGAGAACTTCTAAAATTTGAACAAAAAAGGAAAAAATAGAAAATCGCACTTCCAAGGCTGAACAGCGCGTGTTGCAAAGCTGACTTGTCAGCTGCTTCTTTATTCATGTTCACAGCCATGTAGCAACCGGTTTACTGCTGTACAGTAACAACTCGAGCGTTTGATTGTGCAAAAAAATATTTTTCTTATCCGGTTGTTTTCCATAATATATTTATAATGAAAAAACAACTATATGGCTAACATTACAAGCTACAGACGGCCTTAATTGTATGCATGGAAATAACATGGTTTCATTAAGATGGTGGATGCAGTGGGGGGGGGGGGGGGGGCAGTGACCCCACTCCACCCCTGATGAATCCTGGCATTTCGAGGACTTGCTGTAATGCTACCGCCGCCAAGACACCAGACGCTCTGGATTTTCTCCCGCAGCTTCGTCTGATGATAGTGGAGGCGCTGGGCCACATGGCACACCTACTCACCTGGGAGAAGCTGGATGAGCAGCTTCCGCGCCTGCTGACCGGTTTCATGATGCTGTACAAAAAGCACTCGGAGCCCTTCTACATCACACAGGTAAGGCGGTAGAGCGGGCACGGCCTGAACGGGTCACTTATATATGTATGCATGTTGAACTTCTTTCGCAACGTACGTAGCCAACCGGGCGAATCGGAGGTGCGGGGTCCGTATCTTGGGTCCTGCTTCAGGTCCGATTATATTTGAGCTCATTGTGCTGTCGTGGGGGGTCGTGTGAATTGAAATGAGCGACCGTCAGAGTTGGACCGGGGGCCACAGAGCCCATAGCGCTGAGGTGACACCACCGGGTTAAAATCCGGGTAGCCGCCCGTGTTTTAAGTGGAATCTCAAGTGGAGTGTTATTTTATTATCTCAACGTGTACAACAATGAGTGCACCAAAAAATAAATAACCGCATACAAATTCGGGTCTGCACGTAATTTTGCTAAGTTACAGTCCTGCGAATTAACAATACAGATTTTTCACTGTAATGTGGAAAGTGGTGTACTGTACTCTTATTTGGCAGAGGTGGGTGGGAAAGTGCTCCCCCCTCAATTGTGTGGACCAGAGCCCACTTGAAGGCATTTCAGAGATGGCTCTGTGATATCCGCTTCCTGGGGTCCATTCTCTGAGATGGAAATGTTTTCCTGTTCTGTGTGGGATCCGAATGGATTGTCTCTTGACGTAACACCGAAAGCCCAATTAGCATTACATTGGGGATTTTATTTAAAATTTTAAATATTACTTCCAAGTAAATTTTTTATGTTTAAACATCCGGAAGCGGAGTATATCCATAAGTCTTCTCCTCATCTTACAACTCTGTTTTAGCATTAGCTCTATATTTGCTGATGTAATTCATAGGAAAGAATTTGTAACATCCGGTTAGATGCCAGGTACTATTAGTTAATCGTAGAAAGTTTGAAAATGTGTGTAAAAAGCCCATTTCCGTCAAGTGTCTCCAACACCACCGGTGTGTTTTTGCGCGTAGAAGAATACATTTCAAATGCCTATTTGCCAACAGGGTCTGTGCCAAGTTCTGGACGCGTCGGCGAATGTGGGCAGTCGTGTTCCTGAACCCCAAGTGGACGTACTGCTTAACACCCTCCACCATCAGGTATGAAGCACAACAGCATACCTCTAAAACGCATCACCGATGAGTGCGCCAGCCATGCACACCCTGGCGTTATTGCTGCAATCTGTACGGCGTCTACTGCCGCTATGGTTTGGTCGAAGGACCTTAACATTCAACTGTGACATCTATACTAACTTTTGCTTACATGGCCATACGAAAGAAGAATAAGATCCCCCTCTGGTTCACATTGATCGTCATCATCATCATAGGTGCTCGCTAACATAGTGGGGGATCTTTGCCTAATACATGTGGTTGTCTTCCTGTCATTATCATCACGAGGCGCAAACCCCTCTGGGCGTTGTGGTCCCCACAAGACGCTGCCAGGCAATCCTATCCCTGCGCTCGCCACCACACCAATCGCGCACCTATCCTCGCTTTTCAACAACTTGTTCCATTTTCTTTGTGCAAGTCCATTGTTCCAATCCATACCTTATAACAGAGGAATACACCCTGATTTAAACGTCTTCTGTAGGCAGGTCGGTACGTTCAGTTTTTCAAAAGCGCCCTAAACATGCCGTCTTCTCTCTCTTAATGTAAATATTTGTTTCCGGTCCACCCTCAACAGTTGCCAGAGGTATTCAAGCTCTGACATTTCTTCTAGCTGGGTGTTACTCCGACAGATATCTTCTCCTCCCCCCCAAGCGGTTCACATTGGGGCCCGCATTATGTTTCTGCTTTGAGCTGAAATGCTTGTGGTTAGTCAGTGGGGAGTTTGTTGAACATTGTGGCTGTTGCTGTTGCCGCTGCCATAGGTGTGCATCCCGGTGGATTTCTCAAACAACCTGGCGATGAAAAATCACAATGAGATTCTTCGCTGCTTCACTGTCATAAGTAAGCGAGTGCACGCCGCTGTTTCTACGCTGTGTCTTGAGATTCCGGCGGGTGTATCAGCCGTAAAATCTGCGCCGCCCTGCTTATTGGGAGACATTGGAGATTCCTTAATGTTATTTTGATAAAGAGTGAGTCGTGTCTGCAGCCGGCGTCTTTGTCCAAATTTGTCAAATCTGACCGGCGTGCTGAAGTATGGTCAAGTAACCCCAACGACCCGTGTGGTTTTTTCATACGTGTCAACCCCTTATCAGTGCCTACCTTATTACAGACCAATTCAGTTTAACAATTCAGACCTTATTGGTCACCCCGTGCCCTTTTAAATCTCAACATTAATCCTAGTAAGTCCCATCACAAGGGATAAACACAAACAAATAGTCAAACATTTTTTTGCCCATATTGAAACTGCTGTGTTCGCCTGAAAACTCAATTCCCCTAAACAAAAATATGGGTTGACAGGTATGTTTTTTGGAGGCCCCACATCCTCCGGTGGATTGATACAAGTGCTCCACATGTTGTAATGTTCTGACCTGCCCCTCCTGGACATCTGTGAAAAAAAGCTTTATAGCTCATCGGATTCCTCCAATATTAATAAATATTCTCAGAATCAGAATCGGGAGTTTATTATCCGATTAAGTTACCCATCGAGCTATCCAGCTTTACTCAAGGGTGACTCGGCCAGCAGGCGGAGACACGGCAACATCTAATTTGAATGACAAGAACGGTTGGACGCAGCCTGCTATCCACAATGATTATGATCACCAACCATGCGTACTCAGGTCCCCTTCATCTTTATTCTTGTGGTCTTGTTTGTGGCGGTGACCTCTGCATCCCAACAGGCAGGGTTATCCCCGACCGCCTGCTGGCGTACCTGCTTCAGAAGCTGGAGCAAAACAACGAGCGCAACCGCATCGGAACGCTCATCATCCTCAAGCACCTCATCAACTCTGCGGGTAAAGAGCATCAGCCCGGGCAGCTCTTCCGTGTAGTTCCTGCCCCCCAATCATCATCATCACAATGCATGGGGGGAGATAGCCTGTGGGTGTCCACTGCACATTTCGCCATTTGTTTACACTTTCCTCTGTCTTGTGTCTACATGCTCAAGTAGTGCCATATCTTTCTGGCATTAATCTCTTATGTCGTCGTCAAGCCATTCTCTGTTAGGGTTTCCGCTTTGCTGTTTCTTCTATTTTCCAAACAACAATTTTTTGTTGTTGTTGTCCATCCAACATATATGTCCAAATAGTGCCAGTTTCCTCCTCATCACTACCTGCATCATCAGCCCCTCTTCTGCGTGCAACCTTTTTATTACTCCTTACGTTGGTCACTCTTTGGGTCCAGCTCAGATGCACTATCCTTCTGTAGCAATACATTTTGGAGTGCCAGTATATTATCTCTGCTCCCACCAAGCAAGGGCTGAGATTTCCCGAGCCTCATTTTTACCGTGCAGAGGCAAACATGTCGACAAGCGGTCAGAGGTTGCCTCTTTGTCTCGCTCAGCCCCTCAGATCGAGGACAAAAAGCCTGTCATTCTCTCTGGACTCAAACTCCTCTTGCTCGAGCAGAGCAATAAGGTAAGTGCACAAGGCAGACACTGGTTATTTTATGTTTAAAGCTGTGTAAACGCACCCCCCTGTCCCCCCCCCCGTGTTATTTTGGTTTGTCGTGGTCAATGAACCGGCATGGTCTTCAATGCTTGGCACGATACTTTTGACTGTTCAAATTGTTACTGTATTTTTTTGTCTATAAATGTACGTGTCGCACCGTAGAATCTCGATATAAAAATTAATTGCTGCTTGCACACGCAATAAGCGTACGAGAATGCGTTAATTTCAGTTATGCTATTTTTGTGTTTACATTTCGGCTGGTGGAGCAAACAACAATGTACACACCACATGGAGCAATTGAGAAACAATACGAACGGGATCTTAACAATTGGACAACAATATTGGAGGCTGCTCAGTCGGTTTATTTAATCTCCTGGTTAAATAAAGAATACCTATATCCAGTCGATCATCGATTATCCGGCACGCAATTTATCCGGCTTCCAACATTATCCGGTGGTCCCGGACCGATCCGGCGAAACCGTCAAAACGGCGATCGTCAAACACATCATGTTGTTGAAACAAGAGCGTAGTACGTACATCACCCCATGCAGAGTGTTCGAGGTTTGGTTGTCTATTTGTATATTCATGCCAATTTCATCGAGTAAACATTTAAAGCTCAATAAACATACTCACAGCAGCTAAAACATAATGCTATGCATGAATGTGCAAAAATAAGCTATTTTTAATAATGATGTGATTATCTGGCGTTTCTGAAAATCCGGTGCCCCCTTCCCCCTGAAGCCGCCGAAAAATTATCGATGATCTACTACACATACATTCTGGGTGATTTAGTCACAGGGCTAACACGTGTAATGGGAAAATGTCGGAGTGCTGTATTGCGATGCCCCGCTGCTTGGTACCAGCAAGCCGCTTGAATGTTCGTGCAGGTGAAGAGGGCCCTGGCACAGGTAGTGATCACGATGGCGCACAGAGGATACCTGGAGCTGGAAGGCGGCGACCAGATGGTGGAGTTTATCATCAAACAGTGCGCAAACACGGGGGAAACGGCACCGGTGAGGGTGCTCCGGGTGCGCGCGCTGTGTCTTTGCCGCAGTGTCTAGTCCATGGGCATGTCCATTCATTCCTTGACTTTTCAGTCTTTCCTCCTTGACTTTTAGCATCTCCTTTTTCATTGACGTGACCATTCATTCGATATTCAGTCTCCTCCGAGGCGTGTCCATTCGTTCGTTCACTTAAACATCTTCACCATTTGTGTGGTTATTCATTCATAGGCCCTTCATTCCTCCTTTGGCTTATCCGATCATTCATTGACCATTCAGTCTCTACGTCTTCTGTGTGCCCATTCATTCATTGGCCGTTCCATGGTGCAATAAGCCTAGTGCATTAGTCCTATCACACGTGCTTCTGAGTGATACGCATATCACCAACTGTACAGCGAACCTATAAATGTCAGGCAGTTTGACATTTTCCTTCCCCAGGAAATGCATTGCACCACACTGATCCACAGCACATGAGTATTTTACTGGTTAGGTACGGTGCGAAAGTTCACATACATACGTACAAAGCCGCATATTCACTGCCATTTTCTACTTTTCCTACTTGCCCATTTCTAAACAACCATAAATGATGTTGATTGCATCTAAGGGGTGGCACGGTGGCGCAGTGAGTAACCGTTGTGCCTCACAGCAAGGACCTGGGTTCAATTTCAAACTCAGGCACATTTCTGTGTCTTCTTCCATTGATCTTCATGCGTTTCCTCTGGGTTCTCTGTTTTCTTCCCATAGCTCAAAACCCAAACATCTCAATGCTGAAATTAAAATAACGCAATTGGGATTACAAGTAGCAAAATCAACCCCCTACTGTGTACGCTTGGCAGTTCCACTCCTGCAAAATAACAATCGCACAGCTGTTGATTTTGTTTCGTGCTACTGTTAATTTTCTAATGTAAATGAATTGCCCTGTGTATTTTGCAAGGTCTTTTGTGTTCACTCTGGTATGATGTTGTGAGTTTTACCTGCTCGATGTTGTTTTAAAGAAATCGCGTTGTTCGTACTAATAACATCGTGCCGGTTTACGTGCCGTTCAAGAGTGCGCATGTTAAGAATATGTTATCTGTCAAGCGCATATATATACACACAGCAGCATTGCACGCTTATATATACACGGAAAATATATACACTTATAGATATTTAGTTTCAGGTCAGAGGTTTTACCTCTAGATCTCTCTTGTCAGATCAGAGGTTTTACCTCTAGTGAGTTTTGTGGTTGTGCAATATTGTGTAAGATAAACCGTGTTTAATTTTAATAATAACTTGAGCCGGAGGTCAGCTGATGCTATCGTGCTGCTCGCTATGCTGTAAGAGAACTGGTGATGCACATCAAGACATTGGGAAAGAGCTAAACTGGTTTGTTTGCTCGCCAACTAGATTACATCACATCTTGAGCACGTGCTTTTTTGTAGGCTTGCATGCGGCATGTGACCCTGTGTCATGAGCACAAGTACTCGAATACAATAACTTGCGTTTCAATCATAAAACCTGGAATAAAGGTTTATAATTACTTAAATTTGCATATGTATACAGAGGCAAAGCTTCATTTTACATAATAAACAATTACTATGACTGGATATCAAACTCAGGTTAATGGGTTCATAGTGTAGTGTGCTAACCACTGCGCCACCATTCCACCCTTTTCTTTATATTCATAATGTGTGGGTTGTAAAATTCTTTCTGATATGCTCCGTGTTTAAGCACTCGATTGAAATCATTACGTCAAAATATATCATTGCATTATTGAAAAATTACCGGTACGGATATCGCATCCTCCGTTTCAGTTGTACTAAAACATCTTTCGGTGGGTGACCGTGACGCTGCCGTCAAGGTGCAGGGCAAGCCACGGCCGCCGGACCCCGAGGAGGTGACGGACGAAGCGCTGCGGGGAATGTCCGAGAACATCCTGCACCTCGTCACCACCACCATCGACAACATACACGGGGTGAGCAAGCCGGACCCTGGTCTGGGCCGCTGCAACGCCACCCGGCACGGAACTCCTTGAGTGGAATTTACCCATTGGAACCTCATTTGCCAGTAAAAAATATGATAATTAGTTTTTATACCCTTTTATCTGGCAACAAAACTGATACCTTTTTTTTGGAATTTACCCCTTTTGCTATTTGGCCCGCGATCAGCATTTAGTGGGAGGATAATTAGGGAAGATATTTTTTACTCTTTGGTTCGTGATTTAATGTAGTTGTTTTTTCACTTTTTTTATTTTATTTTATTATTATTTTCACCTACGTGACTTTACGGAAAGAACCAAAGAGTATGGATCCTTGCAGTCACGAAAACTTCAAATCTAGAATTAAGATATTTTTTATTTATTTCAATTTGGAGTCAACTCGGCCCTTCCTTCCCCTTTGGGGACCGGAATAGAAGTACCACTTTGTCGAAAGTCGCAACGGCGGTGTCTATCATGTGGAGAAACTCGTCTCAAACACAGGAATGTCGAATTTCTAGCATCGGCTCGCAGCTGTATAAATGGGATATCAGCATCATTTTTTTTAATTAACATTCTACCGCTCTAAACCAATGTTTCCCTGTGGTTCATGTACTCACCATGATGGTAGGTTACTTTGAATACTTGACAGTAAAGTTATGATTTAAAAAAGTTCGATTAAAAGTATAATGTTATATTATTTTAAATGTTAATTGTTATGTTATAAAATGTTAATTAAATGTCTCAGTTGGTTTTTACGTGCACATGGCATTAAAATGTGTGCAAAAAAAGATATTTTAAAATCTCGCTTGTTAATACATTAAACGTATATATATATATGCTGGTCGTGGGTGCGAAGAACAATTGCTAGGTCTAAATTTAGATTTAAAGCTTTCGTGACTGCAGCGATTCATATTCTTGGTTCTTTCGGTAAAGTCACGTAGAAGGGAAATAATAAAATAAAACAAATATAAAACAATAAAAAAAATATGTGTATTATTTTATTATTTCCCTTCTACGTGACTTTACCGAAAGAACCAAGAATACAATTGATAGGTCTGTTGAGGGTTGCACAACAAGCAGGTGGGCTGGGAACCGCTGATCTATACACGAAGCATCACGTGGTTGTTAGAGCCCCCGTGGTGGTTTGCAACGCTGGCCGCTGCCACCACGACGCACCGGTGAATCGGGGTGGCGTCTCGTGGCAGGTGCTGTGGCCGTATCTACTCGGATTCGTGTGTCCGCTGCAATACTCGGGGGCGCTGGCCACCGTCTGCCGTAACGCGGCTTTCCTGGCTTTCAAGAAACGCGACGCTCAGGCACCCGACTACCTCCTCAACTACGAGACGCAAGGTCGGGATGAATGTACACTGCACACCCCCCCCCAGGGAATTCCTAGGTGAATGAAGATGCAGCGAGAACAGGAGGGAACAAGACTGTGAGATCACCATTGGTACCTCATTTGCCAGTAAAAAATATGATAATTGTTTTTTTACCCTTTTATCTGGCAACAAAACTGACACCTTTTTTACGAGGAGTCATGTTTGCATAGACCACAATACCTGCAGTCATAATGCAAACAAAAAACATAACTCTGATAATGTATGCACTGTCCTTGAAGTTGGGGTGTGGACCAATCAACTTCAAGGACAGTGCATACATTATCAGAGTTATGTTTTTTGTTTGCATTATGACTGCAGGTATTGCGGTCTATGCAAACATGACTCCTTGTAAAAAAGGTGTCAGTTTTGTTGCCAGATAAATGGGTAAAAAAACTATTATCAAGACTGTGAGATGTTTACTTATGGCGACAGATTGGGGAATACCTTCATCCGACAGTGGATAGATCATGTCTGATCATCTTCTTTCGTTTGGCATGTAAGCAACAGTTTGTATAGATGTCATAGTTGAATGTTAACGTCCTTCAAGCAATCCAAGGGGGCAGTCGATGCTTTACGGATTGCAGCGATACTGCTAGGGTGATGATGAACAATAGGCATTTGGCAGCTGAGTAGTGTAGTGGTCTATTGTCTAGCACAAGTGTAGTTAATAGGCAAGTAATACTGCATCAATTAACCGATTTTAATACTTTATTGCATGCACGGTATACGTATAGAATCATGCGCGTGGTAATGTTACGTTTATTATACATTGCAGACTAATGTTGCATGTACACTAATTGAGCCAACAGAATGGCACATGAGACTGAAAAATAGAAAAAGAAATAACTAACTTAAAGCCGCCATGAATCTCATTGAGGCCCTGAATCAATTTCATTGAATAGCTGTGGGGACGATTCATTGCATAGCTGGTATAGTTACAGCATTTTAAAAGGTCAACACTTTCATCCAGCACTGTTGCACTTCACAACATATGTTTTGTAACATTTTAAGCACACATGAAGAGTTGGCACTGATTTGACAGCAAACAGCATGCAATGGGCACAACCTAGCAACTATCGAAAAGAGCCAAATAGAGAAAACACATTTACTCTAATAGCCAGAAACTTAAATAAGTAATATTTAAAAATATTTTTTTTGAAAAACACGCTTTAATGGAATGTCCCGTACGAGTAATGGCAGAACTCCACGACTCCAGGAAGTAGCCCCGAGGCTTGCCATAACGTAAGGGACAGTGGTGATTTACAGCCAACGTTAGTTGAGCGTGGACAATTAGACCCAAGCCGAAAAATATAGTTTAAAAATATATATTTTAAAATTTTTATGATAGAGTATAGTATTGTCACCAGTATTACATACGTATACCAAGTTTCCAGTCGATACGACATTGGGAAGTGGGTTAAAATTGAGTTACAAGATTTGAGGATACGACAACAGACAGAGTGAGTTTATCAAAAGCGTGTAAAACAATGGTTTAAAATATTTGTTTTTGATGTTTTATGATAGAATATAGCCTTGTCATCAGTATGACATAAGTATATCAAGTTTGCAGGCGATAGCACGTTGGGAAGTGGGTAAAAATTGAGTTACAATATTTTTTGAGGATACGACAACAGACAGAGAGTGAGTTAAATAAAAGCGTGTAAAATACGTTATAGTTTGTGTGTGTGTGTTAGCATCTTAGCCAACCTCATTGTAGCACCAGTTTGCTCTGTGCCATTTCATTATTTGTCTGCTGTGTTTTTTTTGTTCTTCCAGCAAATTTGCCGAAACCGCCTGCCCTGCTCACTCGATTGCTGGTGAGACACTTTCCCGACTCGAACCACTGCCTCCCCCAAGGGAAGGGCGTAGGTAGTTCTCTTGCGTCTCAATCGAGTTTTGCTTCCAGATTTGCAAGATCCGACGATGTCCGTCGAGTGCTCGCGAAGCTGTATTGGCTTCCGGTTGCTGAACGAACACATTAGGAGGTCGCACTCATTACACACAAAGTGCTTGCCACAAATGAACCACAATACCTCGCTGATGTCATCAAGGAACATAAACCATCACACGAGCTCTGGTCATCCTCGCAGCAGCGGCTTTTGGCTAGTGATCGAACAAGGACGTGCACTGCATCACGCGCGTTCAGGTGTGCTTCTGCGGCCATCTGGAACGCTCTTCCTTCTGATATTAGGAAGCCACTGGATCTACGCACTTTTAAATCTACATTGAAAAGAATTTCTTTAAAACTGCTTTTTGTGTTTAGTTGTCCTCTCCCGCACCTCTGATTAGCACGGTTGAATACGTACGGTGCGAAAGAAGTTCAACATACATATATCCCCAAGTATTTTGGCTCAGTCCTTCCTGGAAATAGACATTAGCATAGGTACTAAACCCAGTGAGGTATATTTGTGTTGTAGTTGTGAATTTAATTTTTGCGAAGAAATGAACATAACACATCTTTCCCAGAAGGAAGTGTTCGTCACTGTAGTTATGTTATTTTGCAGTGATTAATGTATTGAAAAATCAAACAATATTAATGACTCTAGATTTGAAGTTTTCGTGACTGCAAGGATCCATACTCTTTGTTTTTTTCGGTAAAGTCACGTAGGTTAAAAAATAAAACAAATAAATTAAATCACAACACAAGCTTCCGTCTTATTAATGACAACAATAATTTAAATATTGCAGGGTTACATGTGCTGGTTTGTTCTCCTGTATGGATGTGAAATCCGGACAATTACAAATGCCCCACAGAGCAAATTACCAGCAACAGAAATGTGTTCTTTAAGAATGTAAAACATTTTCACGGACAGGCAAAGGAGTAATGTAAGAAATGTATTATGGATAAGCAGGTACAAAAAAAAAATTCAACATCAGAGAAATGCAAATTAGATTTCATGGACATGTAATGAGAAAACAAGAGAGACTGTATAAAATGCTTTGTCCGGGAAACTTGTAGGTACAAGAAGTCGGCGAACAAAGTTACATAAGCAACTTGAACAGTTGTGTGCAACTCAGAGTACACAATGCAGAGTTCTTGAGCAATATCACGGAGAGAGCTAAAGGCCATGATCGCCGATGTCTTTGAGAAAGGTCAAGTCACACAGTGCGATAAATTGAGGTTATTGTATTCCCGGAATTATTGTGTAACTACCTCCAAAAATATTGAGACTCTTAATTAACGTTTATCGAAACATCCACTTAAAATACCGCAAGTGCGCTCGCGTTGCTCTGATCGTGGTGCTGGCACCGGTGGTGGTGGTGGTGGCGGCGATGGCGGTGATGCAGGTGGTGTCGTCGATGCCGTGGGAGGGACCGGACCGGGGCGTCTCAGCTCTCCGGCTGCTGCAGGTCATGGCCGACAATGTGCACCCGTCGGCACGCGCGCCGTGGGACCTGCACGTGCCCAAGCTCGTCCAGCACCTGGAAGGTTTTGCCTGCACGAGCACGAGCACTTGCACACGCAAAGACAAGGATTCCCCCGTTTAGCCTTTAACACTGTTGGGGCAAGTGCTGTTAGCGAGCACCATGAAGGGTGGCACTGCACGCGAGGGGGTTGCCATTGTTTGCCTGTTAGTGATGTTTACACGCTGCACCAGGTACTCATTGGAGGCTCACTCAGTTCCTAACAGAGGCCCAGGATCGCTTAAAATTATCAGCATTGGTGTTGGCTGATGGCAGGGAACTCGGGTTGCCGGGTTCATAGCACAGCGTACCACCGTGCCTCACAGGAACATACACACGCATGAAAATTATTGCATTAATATGTTAGTGTTTATGATTTGTCCATTGATCCACAAAAAATATTTAGTGATCCACTTAGCGGCCACCACCGCTGGCCTGCGCACGGGCTGCTGCTGGCGAGTGCGCCGTTAGCGAGTGCCGGTGGTGGTGTTGGTAACGCCACACGCTGGTGCCCTTGCGTACCCAGTGCTGCTGTTCACACAATGCACAGCTTTACTCATTTAAACCAATTATTTGGTGATACTTCTTTGACAACGGCGCACAAACACAAGTAAAACACCCAGCGCACTCATCAATTATGCTGCCTTACGAGAAAAAGTGTATAATACGAGACGTTTTAGCCAATGGCCTTTCTTCACAGCGCATGAACAGAGTTTCTATGCCTCTGATCTCGCAATTTACATGCTATGAAGAAGGGCGATTGCCCAAAATGTGACATATTTAATAGTTTTACTTTTAAGGCAGTGCTATAGACAAATGTTATACATATTTGTGACGGGCAGTGGTGGGGGATGCATGCTGCACCTGGCATCTGAGCTCTGGCCAAGGAAGGGGGGGGGGGGAGAGCAAGGCACTGCAATGCTGGGATGTAAGCCGGGGCTACTCAATGCAAAGGTGCTTTTGCTATTTTGCTATTGGCAGAGTCTGAGGAGCAATGGTCACAGAAGAAGTGGGAAGACCTGCTTCTCAAGGTACCCGGTTAACACCGCCGCTGCATTCACAGTTGTCACTGTTATTGGCATTGCGCTCGTAAAATGCGATATTATAGATGCCCTATTTTTATTATTGCTATTAACACGTTATTGCTTTCATTGCATCGGCCGTAGTTTCTCTCCAGCACCCTGGAGGCAATTGCCGACGATGGATGGACCTGCCACCTTGGGGAGGAGATGTCCAAGCAGCTGCCCAACTACAGCAGCGTCCCCAGAGAGAAGGTGAGTCAGGGTCAGTGGGAGGAGGGGGGGGCGGGGGGCGATCCAATATCGGCAGATTCTCTTGCAGCTCTGATCAGCTCGGCGGCCACCGTCGTGGTTTTTTCATCCCGCGGCTTGCCCACTTGCGCGGTGCCCCATGCCCAATGCCCCGTGCCCAATGCCCCGTGCCCAATGCCCCGTGCCCACTGCCCCGTGCCCACTGCAGCATGCCCACTGCCCCGTGCCCACTGCCCCGTGCCCACTGCAGCATGCCCACTGCAGCGTGCCCACTGCAGCGTGCCCACTGCAGCGTGCCCACTGCAGCGTGCCCACTGCACCGTGCCCACTGCACCGTGCCCACTGCACCGTGCCCACTGCACCGTGCCCAATTCCCCGTGCCCACTGCAGCGTGCCCACTGCACCGTGCCCACTGCAGCGTGCCCACTGCAGCGTGCCCAATGCCCCGTGCCCACTGCACCGTGCCCACTGCCCCGTGCCCACTGCCCCGTGCCCAATGCACCGTGCCCACTGCACCGTGCCCACTGCACCGTGCCCACTGCACCGTGCCCACTGCACCGTGCCCACTGCACCGTGCCCACTGCACCGTGCCCAATGCACCGTGCCCACTGCAGTGTGCCCACTGCACCGTGCCCACTGCAGCGTGCCCACTGCACCGTGCCCACTGCACCGTGCCCACTGCAGCGTGCCCACTGCACCGTGCTTGTGCTCGATCTCAACACGCGCCGTGCCGCCGGAGCCGCCTAGTCCTCGCACCTGCCCTCGTTACGGCCTCTTTAGGGGACCGCAAAACGAGATTTTAAATGAAGAGAATTGAAAACATGCGGGGGTGAGGGTGTGTGAGGGAAGGTGTGTGGCTGAAATGTATGATGTATTTGGTTTGTATGAAAAAATCGCATCTCTCGGCTGCCTCATGTCAAGATGTAAATCGACACTAATTAATCCAATTTCGTTGAACCTCTGAAGCTAAGAAGAGCTGAGCCTGGTTAGTACTTGGATGGTCGATTGCCAGGTGAATACCAGGTGTCGTAGGCTTTGGCTGTGCGGTGGTCGGGAGTTGACAGCCACAGCAATGGGTTGAATACATCAGTGTGGGGCTCTCAGCGTTATCCCCTTACGCGTTTGGATTTTTTATCACAGGTTTCCAAAAACTCGTTCAGTGAATTGACCAAACCTCCCAATGCAGGAGAACGGCCTTCCTGAATAAAAAATGTCTTGAACATTGACACTTGACTTTATAATTATTATGATTCATTATTATAACATCACTGTTCTAGAGACATGCGTGACACTGAAGCAATGCTCGCAGGTTTCCGGAGAGGGCTACATTGCGCCCACGTTTGACACTGCCAGCTGCGCAGAAGGCATGATGACTCTCATATTTAATTGTGACCCTCGTGCGCCAGGGCTTCCTCTACAAGTGCATAGGCGTGGTGCTCAGGCAGTCGACCAACAAGACTTTCGTAAAGACGCAGCTGCACACGATGCTGAGCGACGTCAAGCACACGGATACCATAGAGAGAGAGGTGAGCGCTGTTGTTGGTCGCCGCTAGAAGGGGCGTGAATAGCGGTAGCCGCGTGTTGTTGTGCCGTCCGCGTCGCGCGAGTTGTGCCGATGGCGTCGTGCGACTTGGTTGTGTGTGCGGCAGGGTCTGGCTGTTGGCATTGGGTTCAGTGCCTCTGCTCACCTCGATGACACGATTTCCAAGCTGGAGGAAGTAGCCAAGAATGAAGTTCTTAAGAAAACGATCAACATTTTCAACCTTCTCAAGGTACATCGTCGGGAATGCCATTATAATCTCTTGCTCTTTGCTTCTGTCAGTTGTCACGTAGTGAGGTGCTTTAGAGGCTGGATGGACTTCTGTCTCTGGTCATGGCGATCGCTTAACGTAGACCGACGTTTCTCTATTTTAGTCCTCTATACCATCAGTCCACGTCTTGCATGGACGACTGTGTTTCTTGCTCCGGTCACATGGTAGTGCAAGGCCACCCACTTGTTTGCGTTTTGTTTGTTGTCCTTCCCCGGTACCCATGATTAGGATGGTTGGCTACGTAGGATGGGAAAGTTCGACATACATACACACGTAGGCTTTCGCGACCAATATCATCAATGATATAGGTTTTTTTTTTGGGTTAGATCACGTAAATATAAATGCGTCGTTAAATCCGCCACCACCCGACACGGCCAATTAATAAGGTTTGTCACGTAAACAGAACATGCCAAATCGTTACTCGTACAGAAGCTGTGTTGGAGAGCAAATCCACATAATTTGAAAACCTATATTATACATACACACGCGTGTTGGCCCCCATTGTCTTCGCACATCAACACCAAATAAACCTGTGTCTTTATCTTTTGCATCAGTGTCCTAGACGAGAGTAATAAAAATTCTATTTTTTCGAGTTTGTATTTTTTATTATTTGGAGTCTTGCTACTCCCAAGGTTCCATCAGTGTTTATTATTAATGACTTATGATAATATTTCGCCTGGAATTACCCTTGCAAGGTTGTCCAGGTTGTCGGCTGACTGACGCCAGATCAATCCTGCTCCCAGTATCTTTCTTTTATATTTTCTCACCGTTAGAATCGTAATGAAAATGTTTTAAGTTATACTCTTCGCATTCATATTATGATTGCTCGTAAGACTTTGGCTATTGTGTACCGGTGTGATTGCAGGTCATTGAAATAGAAAATTATCTGCCACGGCCATTTTGTTTTGTATGGTTACCAGGGTTACCTTGCAAAGGAGGTATTTTGCCGTACTAAGCTCCAACCTGGTTTAGTTGTAAGAAAATGAGGGTGTAATTGAAATTATTCCATTCAATCAGCCTTTTATCCACTTGTGTAATCTTGCAAGTAGTATTAAAGGATCTTTTCCTGTCCAAATGTGCTGGTCTCAGGGTCTCTGAGCACCTAAGTGTAATTGCATAATGAGCAGGTCCCCGCATGAAACTGAGCGAGGAAATAGCCCATGTAATGATTTCTGTTAATATACATATATCGTTGGTCATTAGAGCTAGCTGCATAGAACTATGATAAAATGGTTATTAATAGTAGTAACATTATCACTACGATAATAAATAAGTCATGCATATTGTCATAAGTGCATTGTTACAAATGCATAATTTTAACAAAAGTGTGAATTGTTTTTTTTTGCCGACTTGCTTCACAAATCACTTTTCCACAATCATCATGGCCTGTACTGCCGCACTGTGGACCTTTTTCGTCTTCCCACCTGGTTTCAGTTTACAAGGCTGCATTGTCAAATCATTTACCATGCCCGGATCTGTATTGATAAGGGCATTAGGTTCAACATTAGGTCTGTAGTTCCCCTGAGTTAGGAGTGGTGGTTGCATGCTTGCCGTCCAGCCCTTTGGAGGTCAGGATTGGTGGATTCACCCAGATTTTGTCAAATTCCCCAAATCCACTGGACCGCAATAATGGCCAGGAGATGGCAGTGCAACATGTGGGTTCACGAACCTATCCGTGTAGGTTTTCTCTGGGTGCCCCAGTTTTTCTCAATGCAAAATACTTAAAGTCTTTCCGATGAGGGGACCTTCTGAGTAACTGGCTACTATAAATTTCTACGTGATAAACCACTTAGTTGAACTCTCATTTGTATTCAGGTCGCTTCTGAAAAAGACCTACATAGGTAGTAAAAAACACAGTCTTGATACTCGGCGAGACTGTCCTCGATAAACAATTACATTGTCAGCAACTCTTACTAAAATATATTTTTACATGTCGTTTTTGAAGGACAAGTCGGAGGTAGACGGTGAGAAGGTCAGGAGCACCATCATCCTCTGCTACGGCTACGTGAGCATGTACGCGCCGGCATCCCTGCTGCCTTCGAGGCTCGAGGCCACCATTATCAAGAATGTCACCGTTCTCTACACCTCCAAGGTACCGTGGGCGCGTGCCGAAGGGGCCCAGCCCCCCACCGTCTGCCGGGAAATTGCGGCGTCGCTCGCTCGGGGAGCTGTCGTTAATCGAGCTCGCGATTTGCGTAACTGCATTTTGTGGTTCTGATTAATGATTTATATTTGTTATGCTTGTTTAGCCAGGTAAGCCCCTCACTCAAGAGTGTTTTGACTCTTTTTTTTTTTGTTTGTTACGAGGGTCTTGACAAGACTCCGCAGTAGTGGGGGCGATGTTGTTTTGTATGATTCCAATTTTCTTTTTACGATTGTGTTGTTTGGCCGATACCACTTGCTTTGTACTTTTTTTTTCTCTATGCGATGATATGGGGAAACCTGGAGGAAAGACCCACTTTGAACAGGCTAAGAACATACAAACGCCACGCAGAAAGGCGCCCGAGTTTGGTATGGAATCCAGGCTCCAAATTGCTGTGAGGCACAAGTGTTGCTACTGTGCCCAGCCGCCCACCCTGTTTAATTGTGTCAGATCACACCCTAACGCCCCACCTGCTTTGTCCTTCAGTGTAAGCAGAGCAATTGCATCAGAAGCTGCCCCTTGGACTAGCAACGTTGTTTCTCAATTATTGAATTTCATTTAAAGTTACGGATGAAGCCAGATTCCCCCCTCCCCCCCCCCTTGTTTTTATATCACCGTTACCGAGCACAGGCCCAAAGGCCCAAATTGCCAAGCGTCCATCAATACACAGCCCCTATTGGGGGTTTAAGAGGTAACACGTTTTTTTCTTCAATTTTAACAAGGTTATAAGAACTTGCAAAAAGAGACGATGGGGCAGGGAATCCCAGAGGCGAGCAGCACGAGGGAAAAAGTTTCATAAGACTAATAAGGGTTGTTTTTCCTTGTTTGTCCCCCGTGGCTAGAAGGTGAAATGGCATAACACTTCGTATTTACCAGGCAGATAAACACACCATTGGACCAAAGATAGTGGTGGAATATTATGGGATAGTGCTCGGAGGCAAGGGTAAAACCAAACAAAGTGCAAAGAGGTGAACGCAAGAATGAAATACACGACGCAGAGGGCAGTCAGAGTTGAGGGCGGCCGTGAAACCGTTGAGTTCTCCAACAGGTACAACGAAAAAAAAAACCCCGTCTCGGTGTCGCGTGCTTCGATGTTGACGGCGCACGTGCAAAGCACGTTATGTGTGAGATAACGCGATGCTTTATCGCCTTGTAACCAGATCCTCGGGATTGGTGTGGCTGTGAAGGTACGGTAACTGCATTACCATTGTCCCTGGGTGTTCTCCTCCTGGCGCAGCAGGGGGCGCTGTGGGTCTGTCCTGTCCTCTCCGCTGCAGCAGTGAATTTGCTGCTGCGAGCGCTTTGCTGCTTTGACATTTAAAAAATAAACAAGGCTGGCTGTTCATTCCACGCACGCGTTTCAACGTTGCGTGCACAAGTTACAGAAGCTTTGAATGTTAAATGACGGCAATCGAATGGGATTATTACACGAGAACTAAAGACCCTGCGTTCCGTTGTTGCGATGGAAATGTTTACTGTATGGTACTGCGTTACTCCGTAGGTCACGCAGTCCTGTCCAGCCAATTAATAATGAATGCACTGCATGGCGTCTTTCATTCATTCAATCATTGTGTAGGGTGCCTACAGTGATAGTGAGTTTTTATATGATGTTAACTAAGCCACCCACTGCTTAGAAATATTCTAGCAAAATTAAATACATTTGTCTCCATGAAACACCCAGCCTTGTCTTTTTTTAAACTGGTCAAAGGTTATCTAAGGTCCTCACTCAAACATTCTGAGCACACTGGTTACACGAACGCCTGCCATGTCTATGCACAGGGGAAAATGTCCTTTTTCTCATCCATTTTCTGTTATGCATCACGCTTACGTACGCGCATGTTTTAAAACTTACTTTAAAACTCGATAGAGAGCTCTGACCATGGAACCAATTCTAAGATAATGTAAAAGTATTCAAGCCGAACTTGACATTTTTTCCTTCGAGTATTTGATTGAAAGGCTGTTAAAGCCACATTGTCAAACGGCTGTTTCACACACACGCACATCTGAACTTTTACAAAGAATTCACCAAGAGTGTGGCAGGGCAATCGCCGTCAAAGGTTTCGGCAAAAGATTGCCGAGTACCTGTCCGTCTCCTTTTACAACGATCTCCCCTCGTGCCTGTCGAGCCGGATGGTCCATCGCACAAAGTCGCCACAGGCTGAGGAGCGCGTGATGCAGAGCTGCAAAACTTCAGAAAAGCGCTGCCTGCTTTTGGGAACTTTTGGTTGGCGAAATTTGGGTTGCTCGCAATCATTTTAAAATCCTGAAATCTTCAATGAGGGTGTTGGTACTGGTTTTTATGTTTGAGTATCCTTGCTGGTGAATTTAAAATTAAAATGTTTGTAAAAAAAATGTTTTAATGAAGGTCTGGGAAACGTGGCTTGGTTTGACCTGGTCCCCCACCTCATGGGTTTTAAGGCCCGGCTCTCCCAAGTGTTTTCGGGTTGCGCCGCGCATTGTTGGCTCTGATGTCTTCAGGAAGAATCTCCCAGCAGCGTGGAGCGGAAGGTAAAGATGACGTCACGCCGAATAACGCGTGGCACAAACCAGAAAACACATCGGAGAGCAAATGAAGCACAATCATAAAAATCCAAGGAGGTGGTTTAAGGTCCTGCTCATGAGACCAATCGAGAGGCGCATAACTGGCCCAGGCATTGTTGCATCGACACCATCGATGTACATCACTTACATATAATGTAATGTTTTGGAAGAAGCATGGTGTTTGCCGCTCTGCGGTAGCCATTTCTTTAGAACAAATTTGGAGAGATAAGAAATAAACTCGAATTGCAACTGGTTTGTTTAAAATGAGCAGGGCCTGTAAATAACTTGAAAAAAATTTGGGGGCCAAAGGTACAATGTTGGTGAATTTAAGTTTTTGCAAATTAACTGCGCTGTTTTATAAATGTTATTGCGAAAGCAATGGCACAAACATGGCACATTTCATTACACGGTATACCTTTATATATTATAACAACTTATAGTCCATGTTCTTGGGTCTTACGGTAAAGTCACATAGATAGGTTCAAAGAAAATCGCAAAAATTACAAATTATTTTAACCTATCTACGTGACTTTACCGAAAGACCCAAGATTATGAATTCCTGCAGTCAGGAAAGCTTCAAGTCAAGAACTTATAGCCCCTTGACAATTCACTGCTGGATGATGTCCTCACATGCCATGCTGGATGGATAATTTGACCATATTTCACGCGGCTGGTCAATGCGGGGTTGACGTATTGGACGCTCTGCGAGACCGCTGCAGATATCACTCACCGCTGATGTTAGCCGTGGCCTGGGGATCGAGCACCGTTGCCACCGCTGGTCACCAATTACCATGCTCTTTGACGGCGTGGCGACCTTTTGTGAGCTTACGTTCACAGAACTGCTCTTGAGGGCTACGGTCATAGAGGGGCCTTCCCCACGCCCTTTCACGGAAGCTCGTAAACCTCAATGGAGATGTCCTTCAAGTTGATTGATGTTGCGGCGATGAAGTTTGTCTGCTTGAAGGAAGACGTGGCCAATCAAACAAACATCTATTGTAGATACAAACCTAGGTTGTGTACCAGGCCGTATGACGCAAGTTTTTGATATTCCTTCATACTAATAATGGCTCTAAATCATTGTCATATGCGTCACCGTAGCGCAGTAGAGACGTCATTTCATTGGCATGTTAGTTCGTGATGTCACGGCGATTCGGACTGGAGTTCCGTAATCACCGTCAACATTTATATCCGTTTATTCAATATCTGTTTATTCACAAATGGAGTTTCAAATGTATGTCGGATGGCCCAGCATTAACAGCCCTGGTACATTTATGCAAGAGGAGAGACTTTTGGCAAAAGTGGGGGGGGCAGGGGTTGAACCAATATTCGGTGCACTGTGTCAGCACAACTTGAGAACCCGAGTTCAAATCCAGGTTCTCCTCAAGTGCTGGGAGTTGGATGTTGCCCAGCCTGGTCACCAGTGACTGCAAACAAAAACCACCGTATTGAAATTTGGTTTTTCAATTTGGCTTGTTCCAGCTTGTACGACAAACACTTTTGCGTAGCACGGAGAGATGCGTTGTCCTGTTGTGGATAAAGATGACTTTTAGAGTAGCTTCAGGAAACTAATATTCTGAGCCTTGTGGTCTGCTTCCAGGGCTAATCTGTGACGCAGAGTGGTAGCCCCTGCTAGCTGCACAAGTTCCAAATGGAAATTTTCACGTCACAACGCCAATAGGACAAATTGTAATTTTTAATCGGCAGAAACTTGCAACAATGTGCAAAAGCTCTCCGATGTGTTGTTGGCTTGTTACCGCATGCTGTTCGGTGCGATGTGTGCCAAAGCTTCCAGCACGTCGAGCGAAACGTCGGACTTCGTGCCGAACAACACGCGGCAGGACAACCCCGAAAGCATATTGAACAGAATGGGATCAGAATCAGAATCTTTATTTATTTTCCTGGAATACGATGAGCTATACAGCTCTTTTTTAAAGATGTCCAGTAGGGGCGGGTAAGAAAATTACAACAACAAACAATGCAAAAACACGATAGGAGGTAAGAAAATCACAAAATATTAAAATCTTTTTTTAAATAAAGAAACTATTTTTATATTTGACCAGGTGAAGTCCATTGAGCTATTAGCTTCTTTTTCAGAAGCGACCTGGCCACAAATCACAGCTCAACAAAGTGGCTTATCGCGACAGCTCTTACAGCACAACCGCAAACAAATCTGCGCGGTGCCGCAACTCCGAAAAGCGTTCCATTCTATTTTCTTGCGCGTCCTCCTTTTCAACATCGGCGGCCGCTTGACGCGAGTGCCCGTGTGTCGAAGGACTTGACGGTGAAGCTGAGTCTCATCAAGACGGTGTCGCTCATCGCCCAGGCCGTGCACCCCTCCAACCTGCACTCCGCCTTCCAATTCGCCAAGAAACTCGAGCTGCTTCACCTCATGCAGGTGAGCAGCGGCGCTTTGAAACGGTGAAACCGTACCCCCGACAAAATCACCGATCGGAGATTTGCCCACGTATGGTATTGTGGATTCATATTCTTAGGTTTTTTCGGTAAAGTCACGTAGGTAAAAAATTGATATTAATAAAAGTAAAATAAAATAAGAATCACGACCTTTCGGAGGCAACACAAGCTTCCGTCTTCAGGTGGAACCATCACAGCACGATTGCTGTATCAAGTAAGATAAATTCCAAGAAAACCGTCCTTGTATATATTTATAGACGGTTCCACCTGAAGACGGAAGCTTGTGTTGCCTCCGAAACGTCGTGATTTTTATTTTATTTTTATTTTACTTTTATTTTAATTTTTTACCTACGTGACTTTACCGAAAAAACCTAAGAATATGAATCCTTGCAGTCACGAAAGCTTCAAATCTAGAAGTATTGTGGATTGTTAATCGAGATGAATTGCATCGAGTCTGCGCAGTCGATCCAAATTAAACAGATATAAAAAATACCGGCCTAATCGTAATTTGCGGGTTAATCGCTGTGTCAATTCATTGCCGACCGATTGATCCATGGATCGAGTAATGATGTGACGCCCCCTTAAATTGATTGACTAATATCAGCAAGATCGGTGTGATTCCATCGCAGGATAATGCACGAGCGCTGTCTATCTGTCTGCCTGTCTGTCTGTATAACATGGGGTTGGCTCTCACTTAGATAATGCATTCCAAATTACACTTTAGTGTAATGTTATGTTGCGATTACAGGCTTGCCCTTTAGAACACTTGCCAAATTGGGAAGCGTTGCCTAAAGGACACGGTAATTCAACTTTGTAAATAAAAAAAAAAAGGAATTCAAATAGATTGAACAACACACAGAGGTAGATTTGAAGTTTTCGTGACTGCAGGGATCCATACTCTTTGGTTCTTTCGGTAAAGTCACGTAGGTATAAAATAAATTAAATTACGACGTTTCGATCGCAACACAAGCAACCATCATCAGGCGGAACCGATACAGCAGGACAACTGCTGATTCCTAAATCAGTAGTTGTCCTGCTGTATCGGTTCCGCTGATTCCTAAATCAGTAGTTGTCCTGCTGTATCGGTTCCGCTGATTCCTAAATCAGTAGTTGTCCTGCTGTATCGGTTCCGCTGATTCCTAAATCAGTAGTTGTCCTGCTGTATCGGTTCCTCCTGATGACGGTCGCTTGTGTTGCGATCAAAACGTCGTGATTTAAATTAATTTATTTTATTTTATACCTACGTGACTTTACCGAAAGAACCAAAGAGTAACACACAGAGGTGTACAGTATTGCATGTATAAAAGCTTTATCCGGACCACCAGTTCAAGATGATTGAATGTGTGGCGATGTTGTCGTCTAGGCCACCGACTCAGAGTTGAGATAATGTTGCCATCCCAGCAGACACTGCTGCCTGTCGGGATAGCCGCATTCTCAACCCATTGAGACGGCCACACATTCAGTTCTGTTGAGCTGGGGTGGGCTGGATAAGGCTGTTCAGTGTGTTACCTGGGCACGTGACAGTCCGCCAACCTACAACACCTAGCAAGCACTGCTGGTCACCCATCCAAGCTTAAACTTGACTCAACCCTGTTTCCCTTCTGATATCCAACGATATCAGGTGCATTCAGGGTGGCTTGGTCTTGAGCAGCCGGTCTCTAACTAGAATTTCTCACCGTGAGTAGTGTCACCCAGGAGGAGGTTTCATTCCCATTGAGGGGGGGTCACGACTCGGGTCAGCAATAAATAAATAAAGAGATATGGCTACTATTTGAACGCTGCAATAAAATAATGTTACGTCCATCGATTGGCAGACCTTTCAAGTCTCAAGGCTACACTGTCTTGTATCGCAGTAACATTTACACCTTCCCTGGGCCTTTCCTGCGCGAGCAATTGAGAGTTTTCTTTTCTTGCCGCACAAAAGGTTTTTTTTTTGCATTGAAAAGATTTGAGAATCTTCATTCCCCTACTATTACCCAAAACTACGCTTCAGAAGGTCCATTTCCTAAACAAGCTCCCAGCATATGGAGCTGTCATGCCAAACAACAATGTGCATTACAACCGCTTGGTGCATAGTCCGTCCTGTGCACGTCTGCACATCGGGCAGTCCAACACCGCCGCGTGTTCCTGTCCATGGCTCCGTAAAGCACCTCCCAGCGTCGAGCCCTTAATTAGGAAGGTTACACCTTTGCTATAGCCGTCTTTTGTTAAATGAGCCATGCCAGTCCCACGCCTGGATGGAGGAAGAAGAGCTTACGATGGGCTTGAAAATTACACGAGTAAATACAAATAAAAACCCTTGCTGCATTGGAAACCACGACACGATGAAACTGAGCTATACAGCACAAACCGTGAAAACCTACGCAGTGGGTGTAGCGTTGAGCTCGCAACAATCGTGGTTCAATGTGACCCTGTTCTCCTTTACCCCCCCCCCCCCCCCGTCTCTTCCATGTGCAGGAGATGATCAAAGCTGAGCCGAGCAGCTCCCTGTCCACGCTAGTCAGGCAGACCGCGCTCACGGCGTGCTCTCACCTGGTGTATCCTTCGCACGCACGCGGCCAGGCCGAGCACCCGTTGCCTGAAAAAGTTTGGCGCACGGGCCACTTCTGAAGGTCCTTTGCTACGACGTCTGCTTAGGGCCCCGCTCCTCTATTGGGGAACAAACTCGGCAGGCTCTGGAAACTGAACGCAGCGAGTCACAGTAGCAGCGCACGTGCGATCGGAGAGAAGATTGCTTGACGGCAGGGCCGCCTTTATATTGTTAAATTGTGTTGCAGCAACGTTTATTTATTTCGCAGTGAGTGCATAGACCACAGTTTGGCTAAAAAGTAGCACGCAGATTCCAGTATCAAAGGTTTTTCCTTTTACTAACCCAGTATTAGGGCTGTCATTTCTGCTTTTGTAATGGCATGTTCAACCGGCTGCAAATTTGCACCCGGCACTTTTCATTACAGGGGCCCCATTGTATTTGGACGGGGCAGCCAAGTAAGCCGCTCGCATTCAGTTTGTGCCTTCCACATTCATCATCATTATCATCATCATCTTCGTCAGCCGTGATCAATCCACTGCTGGATGAAGGCTTTGCCAAGCCGCCACCACCTTTAACAACAATCCGTCCAACACTTGCACGTGAACCGATCCCATCGCTTCATCTCCTCGGTGGACCCCCCGCTTGGGCAGCACTCCATTCCTTTAATCGGTCCAAATGGTGGCCTCGGCAGAAGGCGTCTCTGCTCCCGTGTTCTCTCTGTGAGAGCGCCGTATCCGCGGAGAGAAAAGTGAGTAAGTGTCGTGGCGACGGTTGGGTTCACACCTTGACAGCGGGGCAGTAAGCTGGACCCCCCGCTGGCGGAAGTTGACTCGGTGGAGCTGATGAAAACCTGCTTGTACAGCGTGTACATCTTGCCTCCGCTCCCCTCCGACCACTCTAGGGACGACGCCGTGCCCGACGGGGAGAAGAAAGAGGTAGGTTGACCAGTGCATGGTGGTGACATGTGGATGGTGGTGACATGTGGATGTTGGTGACATGTGGATGTTGGTGACATGTGGATGTTGGTGACATGTGGATGGTGGTGACATGTGGATGGTAGTGAAATGTGGATGGTGGTGACATGTGGATTGTGGTGACATGTGGATGTTGGTGACATGTGGATGGTGGTGACATGTGGATGGTAGTGAAATGTGGATGTTGGTGACATGTGGATGTTGGTGACATGTGGATGTTGGTGACATGTGGATGGTAGTGAAATGTGGATGGTGGTGACATGTGGATGGTGGTGACATGTGGATGGTGGTGACGTGGGAGGGCGGAACACGGGATCTGGCCCGGCCTTTTGCGTGCCGAAAGTTTTATAATTTTGGGATTGGTTGAAGAGTAATGTTGATGTTACCATTTATTAGTTCACGTAAATAACTGTGTTTAGCGCACTGCGCTATGATCACAACTTGAGTTTTAATACTGGTGACGACTAATCATCGGGGGCGAGTGACATCTGAAATTGTCTTGACCTACTGACGTTGGCCAGAATTGCGAAGTATGGTCAAACAGCCCCAATGAATGACACGGTGTTGGGAGGACTTCATCGAGCAGTGGATCTACAAAGGAATACAAATTATATATTTTTATTGATTAATGACGGTCATAATTTAAAACAAATATTCTGGCCACCTCTGAGCCTCTACTAGACATCTTGGAATAAGTGGCAGTACCCACACTTTATTCCATCGCACATGACTGCCGATCCTGGTGTACACCTTTATAATGCGTGTTGGATTGAGGCTGGGGGAATTTAAGAAACCTGCACCGTTTTAAATGCCATGCCTTGAGATGGAATCGAACTGACCACCTCTGGAATGCTGCAAGTCCTGTGTGTTAACCATTACAACACTGTGGCAGCATTCCCACACCGTCCAATTAGCACGGTTGGCTACGTACGGTGCGAAAGAAGTTCGACATACAGTACAAATATACATCCAGATTGTATGAACAATTTAAAAAAAATAACCACCCAGTTCGTATCGGGCTTTTTTCGTTAAAAAAAATGTGGGCTCGCGAATACGAAAGCCAGATCCGGTCAAATCCCTCGGGACTCGGTGAGATTTCCGCCCCCCACCTTGAGACAGTGGGGGCCCATTTTGAGCGAGGGACGCCACGTGTGACGCGTGCTCCTGTCCCGCATGCCCGTGCGGCTGCTTGCGCCGCCAGACTCTCATGAAGGACACAGTTTCGGCGCTGCACGAGCTGCTTGTCGAGATCCTCCGCCGGGACCTCACCCCCGGTGGCCTGCAGACCGTCTTCAAGGTACGCAGTCGACGGGGCTCCGCTCATTACCGCCGTGAGCGGGGGGGTTGGGATATGGGTGCTCGTTAATTATCAGCGCTTCGTCGGTGTGCGGGGGGGGCCGCTTTGTGTACGCTCGAGATGGGACTTTGTGAGCCCCCCCACTCCCCCCCCACGCGCACTCGGTGGTGGCAGACGGAACCAATAAGGGTCTTATTAGAGTGCAGCGCGCGCTGGTAACGAGACCGAAGCGTTGCGTTAGATGACGCCCGTGTCACACGTGGCAGGAGTGTTCGGTGTACGTCTGGCGTCCTGCCTTTCCGTTGTGAGGATTCTTCGCAAATAACGTTACGTGAGCGTGGCTCGAGAGGTGATCATGAAGACCTTTGTAACGTGTCTGGGTTTCGCTGGGATTCACGCTGGCCCGAGTCTTGGTCACCTGCCAGGGCACTGTGCTTGTGATGAACACACAACAGCAACTGGTCATGATGCCAAGTCAAAAGTGTCTGCCTGCTCACATGAGTAAGTCAGCCGTCCATATTAGGGGCGAGTCTCTCCCATAACAGAATCGAAACACGAAAAATCTAAGTTACTAATTTGATGCGAAAATGTTTGAACGGTTTGTTGTACTGTTTATTGCATTGCTCTCAAACGAATTGGAAAAAAACGGGTGTTGGGGGGGGAGAAGGAAATCACGTTTTACCACTAACATGAGCCACCATTTTTCGATTTAAAGCTTTCGTGACTGCAGGGATTCATCTTCTTGGTTCTTCCGGTAAAGTCACGTAGAAGGGAAGTAATAAAATAATAAAAATAAAAATAATAAAATCATTATTTTATTATCTTTTATTTTATTATGTTTTATTTTTATTATTTTATTACTTCCCATCTACGTGACTTTACCGAAATAACCAAGAAGATGAGCCATCATGACAAACAAACCCGATTGCTGAGCAAAATTGCGAAGCGGTCGTGGTGAAACTGCTTGTGCGCTCGGTTCCCTGGCTCTTTACCGTGTGCGCCGTGCGTCTCTCCCGTGCGCGTAGCAAGTCGATGGCTGGATCGAGTCGGTCCGCGACCACGAGCGGGAGCGAGCGCTCTTCACCGTACACGCCCTGCTGCGCTGCTACTACAGCGGCGTCCGCGTCACGGTGAGCGCCGTCCCGCGGTGGCCTATGCCGACCATCGCCCCGAAACCGGGCGCACGGAAAATGTGCCATCGGAGTCGATCCTAAACCCTCGTTCAAGTCGCCCTCCTGCCCCTTGTTCGCCCCGCGTCACGTTCGGTTGTGCGGCGGTTGCGCGCACTCACTGTGCCGTGAACCCGGCGGCGACCTGAGTTTCTATTAACCATCACAGCTGACGTCGGTTGTGAGTGATATCCGATCCGGTCCTCCTCCCGACCCTCCCCCACCCGACTTCAGCAACCTGCATTGACCCACGTGATGAATTACGGTTTAACGAGCCCTTTGACCAACGTGGCGAGGCCTTCATCCGGGCAGCGCGGCTTGACACGCACGTCCTGAAATTCCGTGATGAATGGGAACGCATCGATACGCGTCCGTCTGGGCCAACTTTACACGGTTCGTGCGGAATGTTTGCCCGCACAGAGCATGGTGTCGCTAAGCAACCTGGGCACGGTGATGGGGCGGCTAGTGCCACGCTGCACTGACCCCGTGCTGTCGGTGCGCCGCTGCGCTATTCAGGCCTTGTACGCCATCCTGCGGATCCATCTCAAGTACGAAGGTAAGCGCCTCGCCCCGTCGCGACTGCTGCCGTCGTGAGCGCGAGTTTTTTTTCTCTTCATTGCATTCACGTAGTGGATATGTGCGGCAGCGTGATGGCCGTCCGAATGTGGGAAGTTATAATCGCAGCCCCCAGGGTGTATGCTTACCACTGCTGAGCGTAAAGACGCGTTGTTTAATGATTATCTTAATGAGAATCTTGCACTGCCACCCGTGATGTTTCAGATTTTTTTTTTTTACACTTCCTAATCATTCGTATTGTCTGCATTTGATTTTTTTTAACATGCGAAATTGATATTAATTGTTATCCAATGAATTGTCAGGACAAAAGACGTGCAATTATAGTTGCAGAAGGAAAAATACGTGTACACTTGCTTCCTATTTTCTCAGCGTCGAGGTTCACCAAATGACTCACTTTTTATCGCGTAGTGACTGTTTTTTACGCATTTGGTTTCTCATTAAACCTGTGCATATACGGCACCGTGAGTAGCTATGAGCAGGAGCCGTTGGGACACGGGTGGAGCACTGCACGGAACGTGCAGTCTTAACGATGGAATTTGTTAGCTGTAACGACTGTGAATGTTGTTGTGAGGCAATTAAAAAAAAAAACTCCCCTTGATTTTCGCATCCATAAATAAGCGACCGATTAAAATCTTATTTTTTTTACGTAAAGTTATATTTCCCAACTCTCATGTTTTGTCTCCACACTTTTGGTGAACCGTTGTTCGTTGGGGTCTGGCGAGTGGATGTGCTCACGGCTCAGAGGGCAGAGCGTTCAGATGGCACTGCTGAGATCATGCACTCAAAAACCCCACCAACTTATGTTTGGTTTTGACTTCCCTTTGGCTCAACTCCAGCTCTTAGAATAATATATATTTATTGAATTGTGAATTTGATCAGTGTAAACAGAGGTCACGTGGCAAGACCTCAGATGCAGCTCTGTGACGTCCGCTTCCATGGGCCGTTCTCTCTGTATTTGTGGATGGTGAACTTCTTTTGCACCATACATAGCCAACCGTGCTAATCGGTGGTGCGATTAGCGTGATTGGCCCTCGCACAAAGGTCTCCTCCACCACTCCTACCATGTGGAAACCCGTGTGGCTGTGTGTGCCAGGATTTTCCCCTGACTACAAGGACGATATGGTGGAGGGGATCCTCACTCTGAACCAAAGACTGGAGCAGTTGAACCAGCAAGCACTCCAGCAGGCCGGCTCCGACATCGCCAAGGTAAGCCCGTGACAGTCCTCCTCTTGACGTGGTGTAAGGATTGTCAGTCTGGCTAATGTTTTCCACCAGCCGCGACATCTCACCAAAAGTATAAAAAATGTTGATTAGCTTTGGCGGTGCTTTGGGATTCAACTCGCTACCACGACCCTGTCCTCAGCTTTCTGTTAAGCACACTGTGTGGATGATGAATGGCATGCATTCCCAACTCTCTCTTCGCATTATCCAATCATACACTGTTGTACACACACTGCTGTTCGCTCAATGTCTGTTGCTTTGCGAGTCGCATATGGCAATGAGGTGGTGGTGGTTGCCGAGGTCGTTACTTGATTAAAAGCTAAATTCCATCCAGGTGAGGTTCATGCCATCTCGACAAAAATAGTGTTTTGGAATTTGAATTTTTTGTTGTTGCATATTTTCGTAATATATTTTTATTGTACAATGTTTTATTCTTGAGTTAACATTTTAGTTTTGAAAAAAAAGCATGTGTTTGGTTTCACTCATTCCTCTCTGGAGTATGGTTGTGCACGTTCGTGATGAATATTGGTACTACTGAATGATCCCTTAGCGTTTAGAAAAGGGTGATTGTGTACGATTTACCGTTGTTTTATTTTAAGCATTGTGGAAAGGTTTTGTGTGGAGATCTCTGACCTTTCTTTCACAACCAACATTATAATGAAAGTGTCATTGCCGCCAAATTGAATACAAATGTATCATGACCCCGTCTGGTAAAAACATTGCTTGTCGTATACCAGAAAGTTCAAGCATCTCGCTCAGCAGGTTATTTTTCAGAAATGTCAGTAGGGGGGGATCCAGCACAGTCTAATGTTTCCGAATAATTCGAAGAGCTTACAAAGCTGGCGTACACCGCCATGGTGTAACGATTAGCGCACTGCACTTGCGATCTAGATGTCACAGGTTCGTTTCCATCTCCCAGCGCGTCAGATGAAGCAATGGGCAATTTTGGTAAATTCTCTATCTCTGGGCGCCACGGTGACGAGATGTTAACTACCTACGCCTGGTACGCAGGAGGTCGTGGGTTTGATCGCGACCCTGATGCTTGCTGTATATTTGGAGTCTACATGTTCTGGTGGTCGCGTGGATTATTCTCCAGGTCCTCTAGTTTTTCCCTCCACATTTAGAAATGTGCGTTTAGAGTTTCTGGCTGCTATAAATTTCCGCGTGATAAGCCGTTTTGGTGGGCTATCAATTGTGGTCAGGTCGCTTCTAAAACAGAGGTATATAGTTGAGTGGGTCTTACCTGATAACATAAAAATAGTTTTAGTGTGCTGTCCACCCAGCAGAATATATGGGTACACAAAAGTACATTTCTCGGCAGGCTGCGTGTGGTGGTGGTAAAGTGTGGGTACTCGCACCTCTTCCGAGATGTCTGGCAAGGATGAAAGGATAGGCCAAAATACCCTATGGAAGGGCCCTCTAGAGCTCCTTCTCATTGAGGCCCTCCACCAGCATGGGCATGTACCGGCAATTGCACATCCACACCTTCACCGCCTTGCTGAAACCCTGCCACTTATCGAGCGAGCGGTGCTTGTGCGCCTTGCCTTCCCCCCCCCCGCAGGTGCTGGGCAAGCGCGTGCCACAGGACCAGCTGGTGCCGCTGCTCACGGCGCTGCTCAGCAGCCTGGGTGACCACCAGGTCAGCTCGGCCACGGGGGCCAGCGTCGTGCTCAACGGCCTCATCCGCACGCGGGGGGCGGTCCTGGTCGATCAGGTGGGTTTGGCACGGTCCCTCCCGAGCCGCTTGTGGCATGCGCGCGTGCGGTCTGCTGCAGTGCCTCTGCCTGGTCAGTACCTGGAGCCTATGGGGCCAGGTGTCTGTTCTGGATGAGCCGACCCAATCCTCGCAACCACCCTGTTTTTCCATGTCCCCTCTCCCGTGCCATGTGATTTGTGGAGGTCGTTAGACGATACTTGACCACGCCGGTTAACGCGGGTCGGTGAAAGTGGGGTGATGTCGGAGTGTAGAAGTACAGCACTACAACAATGGATTGTGCTGCACTACCTTCTATTGCCCATCTCATAGCCCCATTGCCTGTAACACCTATCATGCATGGTGGTTGCCCATCCAGGCACTGTCCAGGCCTGTCCAGGCTCATCTCGGTTTAACATAAAAATAGCGACAATTTTTATAGCACTCATTACAGGGGGTGCCGATAAGCCCTTAATACGTTGGGATTGAGCATGATGACTTTAGATATAATTTGCCACTGATGTTAGCTGTGACCGGGAATTGAACTCAGGTCGCTGGGTTCATTGCACAGTGTGCCACCACTCTCCTCCTTAAAATGATACAGTGTGCATTTATAATGGATGATGTATTGTCCCTCAGCTCTTGCCCAATCAGATTATCTTACCAGCAGTCAAGCATGAAGCATGCTATCACTTCTCTGGAGTGTTTATAGGTTTGCTAGATTTTTGTTATGGAAAGTTATTATTTTTAATTGGATAATTTAAAATTTTTGACAAATTATGCGGATGCTTACCACCAATGGGGTGATAATGAAATGTCAGAATTTGATGGGTTGCGAGTCGTGACGTGTTGGAATTTTTGGCTACTTTTGTGGCTGTTTGCCTGTTTCAATGCAATAAAAGCGATCACAGTTTAACTTTCTGATGCAGTTAATGCTTTAAAGTAAAAGCAAATAATTGACATGGAGAGGCTTCTTCTTTCTCGGAATTAAAATCCATCACGATACACGTCACTCAAAACACTTTGTTTTATATATTTTAACGTCAAGTTTTGAAGCGTGTGTGAGGGCATCCGAATGCAATATGGGGCCGTGTGTGTATTGAGAAATTAACAATTTTACCTTATGCAGTTTTTATTTTTTACTCTCCCAATTCAATTTTTGCTTTGGATTTTATGTCCTGAAACGTGGCGAGCGCGGTTTCGTTTGTGGCTGTGCTTGAGCTGTCATTTGTGGCCAGGTCGTTTAAAAAAAAATAAGTTAATACTTCAGTGGGCTTTGCCCGGTAGGATGGGGATTGTTTAGTTTTATTTGTACGTGTTTGGGTGATTTGTTTACCTTTCTTGTACTTTGCACACCTATCGTTGTTTGTTGTATTGTTTGTTGTTGTAACGTTCTTACCTGCCCCTACTGGACATCTGTGAAAAATTACTTTATAGTTCATCGGATTCATCCAGTATAAATACATATTCTGTTTCTGATATATTAGTGACTTTGAGGATACGTTTGTGGCTGTGTTTGTGGCCATGTTTGTGGGTGTGCATGAGCACGCATTTGTGGCTGTCGTGTTTTGTTGCCGTCGCGTTTGTGGCCACCGTGTTTGAGTCGAGGTCACGACGGCGGTTGTTTACGCGACTGCGTTTGCGCGTGGTGCGCGCGCACTGGGCGCAGGTTGGCAGCATGCTGGCGGTGCTGCACCTCCACCTGCAGCAGGTGTCAGCCGAGCCCGTGCGCCACGGGGCCCTGCAGGCCGCACAGCTGCTGGCGCAGCACCACCTGCAAGCCGCGATCGCCGTCCTGCTCACCTACCCCCTGCCCTATGACGAGTGCGTTGCATGGCACACGCACGTCAAGTGACACGCACACGCACGTCAATTGACCTGTCAATTTCCACGCATGTCGAGCAACGTGCCCAGTGATACGCGTGTCAGGTGACACACACGTCCTGCGACGCACGCGTCACGTGACACACCACTCTGCGTGTGTAGAGCCGGGTCCACACCTGAGCGAATAGTTGAGTAACCAAATCGCCCTCGAAATCGCACGACTGAATTGGCTGCCTCGGCTTACTCGGTCGCATGTGGCTCGTATGTCACAGATGTCAAGTGACACACGCACACGTCAAGTGGCACATGTCACATGTCGCACACACATGTCAAATGACACACACCAGCATTACGTGCCATACACAACTTACATGCCACACACACAAACACGGCAAGTTCTGATGTCGCTCGAAGCGCAATGTGCTACCCCTTCTCCGCCACGTTACATGCCACTCGCACAAAGGCGTCACACACAAGTCAAGTGATACATGCCACGTGTCACATTACACACATCACACTGTACATACACATCACGTGCCACACACGCGCGCGCCACATGTCACACACACACGCCACATGCCACACACGCACGTCACGTGCCACACGTACATGCATGCCTTGCTGTCACACCTGTCGCCCGCTCATGCGCAGAGTTTTGGTTTGCGTCGTCCCGTTCATCATCGAGCTTTTAATAGGGCAGCTCAAGCAGCAGGAGGATTGGGAGATCTGGTTTCGCTCAAATCCCCCCTAAGCATCAAACGTGAGGATCCAGTGATCCAGTAGGTCGGGTGCCCTGAATGTTCGCTTGCTATAACCCTTTCAGCCCTGACTACTGCAGTTATTGTTTATTTTTACTAACTTATTTTTTTGTTGCCCCGCTTCACAATGCTGCTTGGTTATTGATTCATAAAGCTAGGAAGCATAGCTTTGGGAGCAAAGAAGTACAGAAGAGCAATCTAATTAGTTGCACTGCCTCCACTGCCTCCACCTACCCCTGCAGCTAATGACGGCCTGTTTGTGCGTGGTGATTTCCCGTCCAAGCACTGTGTGTACTCAGCCCTGCTTAGCTTTCAAGGTTTGATAAGATCACGCACACTTCGGTGCCTGTGAACACAGTACAGTCACAATAATAACTTTCTTCGGTCACCCGAGCACAATAAACTGTCAACACAAATATCAACTAATTAAATATTTGTATTGCTCAGCGCTGTTTTGTTTCACCAGCATGTGTCAGGATGTGTTATTCTGCGGGCGGCCGTGCGTACGACTTGGCAAGTAACCGCTTGGGGTTGCAACCTGGTGAGGCAACAAATAAACCTAATTATATCATTGGAAAAGAACATCCCACAACACCAGAAGCGGGGACCACTGCATGTGAATGCTTTGTTCTGAATTGTTTGCTATTACGATTACAGAAGTATTACTATGCGTTTGCTACAAAATTGAGACGTTTAATGTCCCGGGAAGACTTCGAGATTTCCGAGAACCAGTTAACCTTGAAAAGACGACGGAGTTCCTGGGAAAACCAGGGATGGTGGCAACCTTCAAGTGGCTGCTTCTCTCTCTGTAATGCATTGATCTGATGAGATTGTGCCCTGGTTGGCGGTCGTGCAGGCACGTCCAGGAGCTGTGGCGCTGCCTGGGATCGGATGCGGCGACCATTGCCAAGATCTTCTCCAACTTCATTGAAGCTCTGAGTCGGCAGCTGCCCTACCAGGAGAAGCCTGACCCTCGGAACAAGAAGCTGTCACTGCGATTTGCCACACTGCCGTCGCTAGCGGTGAGCGGGGAGCCAGTGGATGAGTGGGGGGGGGGTGGCGTGCCGCTTTTGCCTCTCAACTAGGGTTGCCACCTGTCCTGGTTTTCTCACGATCGTCCTCTTGTTGAGGTAGCTGTTCCTTGGAAATCTGTAGGTCTTGCCAGGACCTTAAACGTGCCAGTTTTTGTGAGCTGTGTAAGGATCAACCGCTCAAAGCAATGCATTAACATGCGGTTATCCCCTGTTATGCTGTTGCGAAATCTTCTTCCTAATGATATATATTTTTTGTAGCTCAGAGGTAGCAACCCTCGCCGTGAACCTCGCAATGACCCAGTGTCGGCTCTGCACATTGTTAACCGAAAAAATAACGCCTGTGACCACGTCAGTTTAACTCCTTTTAACGTTAATCCACTTATTGTGCATTTTTCGAAAAGAGACTTCCTGCTGAGCTCGATGGCCTTCTATTTGCAGCCAAAGTGGCACCCCGCCGGGCCTCGGAGCCGTCCCCGCCATCAGCCTAAGCCTTTGCCGTCTCTAGCCAACCGTGCCCGTTTGTGTGCGCGTGCGCGCGTGCGTTTGTGTCTGCGGCCGTGTCTCAGATAACGTGCGCGATAAAGGGCGTGCTCGCGATCCCCGAGTGCGCCGCCGTCATGGGCGGCGTCTACCCGCAGCTGTTCGCCACCCTCCTCGTGCGCCTGGGCTCCTCCGTTGGCCTGCAGCTGCCCAAGGAGCTCACGGCGAACCAGAAGTCCAATGGGCTGCCCAGGGTGGCCAAGCCCATGGACGCCTGCCAGTACGTGGGTAACCCCGGGGGTGGCCGGTGGGGATATCAACGTGGCCTGGGGACAACGAGAAGAAGTACCAACTTGTCTTTTTAATCTCTAGAAAAAGAACAGTCCATTTTGCAATGTAGATTTTAAAAAGATATATATAGTGTAACTGGTATTGTCCAAAACATCCACATGCTGAAAATGTTTCTTTAAATTACTCAAATTGGGTAACGTGGCCATCGACTGCAAAAACGTGGCAGGGCCCTCCTGAAAAATAGCTTCTTGAGGCACAGCGATGCTTTCCTGGGTAATCACACGTAAATATCTGTAAGTAAAACAATAAATATGTCCACGTGTTGACCGTTACGATATGGCAATGCCTGGTTGTTAGAGTTTTGCTGTGCGGCTATGTTGTGGGCAGCAGTGCAGTAAAATGCATTGTACTGGGCTGGATTATGCTCCCATGAGGTATGCTGCCCATCTTCACCAACTCGTACTGACCAGCGTGGTGAAGTATGGCCGAATAATACCCATGTCATGGGGAGGCCCTCATCAAGCACAAGAGGATTGACAAAATGGCTGTAAATGTGCAATAAATCAATTTAATTTCACTACCAGTAGATGCTGGGTATACAGTTCACATTTTGTTTTTTGTAAGTTATTATTTATTTGGTTAAATGTTTTTTCACGTAAATCAGAATTAATATATTTATCTCCCTCTGCCAGGCCCTTTCCGCAAAGACATTGACAATTATGGCCTTCCATTTATCTCTGTCCATGATATTACTTGAGAACTTTTGCATAGATAAAATTGCTCTTGTATTTAATTTGCTGGTTATGTATATACATCCTTGAAAATAAATGTATCCTCATTAACGGCATACAAGTGGATGCAGAAATGAGTTGCTCGTGATAGATTCAATCCAATCAAATAGAGTTATAATCAGGACATTACTATGTTAACAAGGTGTAAATCACGGCACACAACTTCAGTAGCGGCTATTGAGGAGAAATAATTCCATTTTACAAAACGGTTTAAATGAATACAAACAGGGCAATTTCGATTTGAATAGGTGTGAAGTAATGTTCCATACATGTTAATGGAGACCCAGTGACACGTGTTATATTTTTGATAAATTTTAACATCATGAGAAGGCAGAGTTTTTTATATTGATCTTTTCTTTCACATTTTAAAACCCTTTGAATGTTTTCCCTTTAAAAAAATATACACGTTTTAGTTTTTTCCCCAATATTATCCCAATCTTGCTTAGACCAAGTATCCATTTCGATCTCTCGCAGAGCAGTACAAAAAAATGTCACTGTCGGGAACAGTCCACTGAAGTGGCTACTGCAGTACTCTGTCAGAGATCCCTTCAAGTGACCTCTGGTGCACATAGTCAGAGGCATCCGATCAGCCACTGCGAGCAATGTTCATCGTGATGTGCCATCGTGCACAGCCGTCTACGAGACAACGCACGTGCCACCACTGTTACCAGGGCTGAAGCCGACACGGTACTTGACCTTGCCGCACTGCAGGTGCAGCATCGAAGCCCTGGAGTTGATGCTGAGCCGCGCCGGCAATGCCGACGTGGTGCAGGCAATGGAGAGCGAGCAGGAATGGGAGCTCATTATCGACGAGGAGAGGCACCACCAGGGGGTGGCTGCCCTGGCACGGTGAGTACCCCGGCGAGGCGGGTGGCTGGGTGAGTGGGTGGGCGACTGTATGAGGTAGGTTGGCGGGCAGGTGGATGGCTAGCTGGCTGGTTGGTTGGATAGCTCGTTGAGTGGGTGGCTGGGTGAGTAGTTGGATGACTGAGTAATTGGGTGGCTGGATAGCTTAGTGGCTTGGTGGGTGATTGGGTGAACTAGTTGGGTGGCTTTGGGAGTAGGTGGGTGATTCGGTGGCTGGGTGAGTGCCATACTAGACTGTGAGGCACATAACTGTGAAGCAGGGGACAGCAGTGCTGGTCATTAGGAGAACTGGAGCTGTCTCTCGTTTCCACATTCTAGAGAGCGTATTGTGCAGCAGATGGGCAGCTTTCAGTGACATGCATGGGCCTTCCGTGACAATACCAGCTGTCTTAACAATTCAAGCTGGACACTTAATACTGCAGTTGCCAGCAGCTGTGTATTAGTGGATTATATTTAGTGGTCTTTATCATATTGTGTTTGTGTATATATGTGATGCCAAATTTGTGCTCGCTAACAGCATTCGCTCCAGCAGTCTGATAAGGGCTTGCGCGGTGGACCCTTTTGGCGCGTGCGCGTGTGTGCGTGTGTGTGTGCGTGTGTGCGCTTGTGCGTGTGTGCGTGTGCGCGCGTTTGCGCGTGTGTGTGCGTGTGTGCGTGTGTGCGTGTGTGCGGTTAGCGCGCTGCGCTACGAACCCGGCGACCCGAGTTTGATTCCCGCTCACGGCCAACACCAGTGACGATTATCTGAACCAGTCCCGGGCCTCCCCTAGGTCGACTCAGCCTCAAATGAGTACCTGGTGCGGTGTGTAGTAAACATCGTCACTAGGGAGACAAAGGCGGTCGGGCGTGGTGCTGGCCACCCACCCCCTCGTGTGCCGTGCCGGCCTTCATAGGTGCTCGCTAACAGCACTTGCCCCTACAGTCTGTTAAGGCTATACGGGGGATCTTTATCTTTGTGTGTGCGTGTGTTTGCGTGTGTGTGCACGCGTGTTTGCGTGCGTGATCAGTGCAATGGCCATGTACGCGGGGCCTCGCCTCACACTCATCACCGAGAGCCTGGCGCCCGTCCTCTCCAGCGTCTACGACCGGCAGCGGATCACGGTGGTGGCCTTCTTCGCAGAGGTGCCGTCACCGCCAGTCTGCATCAAGCCACGGCGTGCTCGCCAAGCCAACAGAGGCTCCTTATTAACTGCAGCCGGTCGCAGCAGCATGGCCCCGCCAGAGAGACATCTCTTGTCCATTGTCTGTAGTCTTGACCCAAATAGCTTCATTTTCACGGTGAAGGTGCAGCCCTGCAAATGTCCTGCCCATCTTCTTGGTTCTTTCGGTAAAGTCACGTAGAAGGGAAGTAATAAAATAATAAAAATAAAACATAATATTATGTTTTATTATGTTTTATTTTTATTATTTTATTACTTCCCTTCTACGTGACTTTACCGAAAGAACCAAGAAGATGAATCCCTGCAGTCACGAAAGCTTTAAATCGAAATGTCCTGCCCATGTCACTGTTGGTGGAAGGGCTACTAGAGCGGTGCTGTTTCTCAACCTTTATCATTCCACGGCACATGAGCTTGCTCGATCTTGACGATACACGCCGCTTGTAGGTGGCTGCTGTTTACCCAACTGCGCACGAGCGACCGAGGGAGTTCAGAGGGCTGGGGAGGGGGAGCTTGATTGGCCACCGACCGACATGGCGAGTTCGTCTCTTCCTGGCGTACGAACAGCGAGGTTCCTACTCTCCTACAGTTCGGAAATTACCGCGGTGCACCTGGGACTTCTCTGTGAGGCACTCCTCTCTAGAGCGTATTTTAGGGTCTTCCACGCTGGCCAAACCTCTCTCTAGAGATGGAAGTTACCACACTTTACCCCACCACATGGGGCTTGCAGATCGGATCGAATAACTTCTATATATAGAAGCAAATGTATGAAATTTACTCGGAGGTGGCTGAATGGGTCTGAGGTCGGAGCACGGAGCCAGCAATGCCGAGACCCTGAATTTGAATCTGGGCAGCTGCCCATGATTCAACTGGATTTTTAAGTGAAGTGAGTTCATGGTCTCAGCTGGGCCACCAATGATTGCATAAAAATAACATGATTACATTTTTTTTTCTTCTTTATTTGGTTTTTACAGCTTTCAGATGTAACAATTTTGGCTTGCTTGAAATGTGATGACCAATTTTTTCAGGCCATAAAAAATTAGAGGCCTGCTACGGTGACTTCCGAAATAGTTTTGTGACTCCATCTTCTCCCCCTGTTTTCTCACGCAGGATGGTGCACTGCTAGCTGCATAGCTCCAAGTAGATTTAGTTTCGTCTCATGACTTAATGCCTGTGACATAATTGAAATGTATTTGTGAATAAGCAAAAAGAAAAGAATAGATATAAAAAATCTCCTTCATTTTGGTATGCCCGTCATATTACCAACACTGCATAGCTCCACATTTGTTTTTGGGTTTGGCCACGTGGTAGTTTGATGCAAAAATGTATTGACATTCACCCTCCACCACCCGACAAGATTGTCACGTTTACAGAGATAGTATACACATCCATTTTCTGAGCTGTTAAGCTCTGCGCCGGTCGCTTAAGACTTTTCACGACCGAATTCGCCATCGGCACGTGACGACGACTCACAGAAAATGCCCTGAGCTTCGTGACAATCTTGTCGGCGGGCCATGGAGGGTCAACGACAATGATTTTGACATGAAATTACCATGTTGGTTTACCCAAAACAGAGATATAGATCACTGTATGTGCTTATGGTTTGTTTTGGCACATTCACGATAGCTAAGTTATTTTTAGGAAGCAGTGTATGTATTGATGTTGAACTTCTTTCGCACCGTACGTAGCCAACCGTAATCAACGATGGAAGCCCGCTGCATTTCTTAGTGCAATTCGAAAACCAAAGACAATTCGACTTCTCCTTTGCTGTTCCAGCTGCTGAACCACCAGGCAGTGTCCGATCTGCTGCTGGTGGACGTGTTGATGCACAGCCTGCTAGGACGACTGGTGGACAACTCGCATGTGGTGCGCATGCTGTGCATCCGTGGCCTTGGCAACATCGCGACGGGCGCTGCGCACAAGGTACGTGGGCCACCGGGCGGGGGCCACGGGCACAGGGAACTTTAGACAAAGACAAAGATCCCTGCAAAGCCTGTAAAAGGCTCTTGGGGAAAGTTGTTCGCGAGCACGTATTGAGGCTGAAATGGCGTGCAAAAGGGGGTGGTTTGGCCACCACCATGTTAGGCCGCCTCCATCTCCACCAGTGCTGATGTTTTACTCATGGCACGGGGTTTCTCATTTTAAGAATAAATCAACCTAGTGGAGATCCAGGACCGGTGCAGGTATCACTCGTCACCGATGTTAGCCGTGGCTGGCATTCGAACAATGTGTGAATTATAGAGCACTAGCTTTACTAGCCGGCTTTGCCCGAGACTTGGATTCTTGTCTTGGATTAATACGCGGCCGACGAGGAGGGTGGGGGGGGATGCGTGACGTCAGCAGGCACACTGCGTGATGCTGCCTCATGCAGGTGACATCACAGATGTGACGTCACCGCTCACTTGCCGTGCAAAATATATCCATTTTTGCGCTCCCCCCCCACCCCCCAAAATACAAAAGTCTATTTTATACTTTTTGCATTGTGTACAGTCTGGAAACTACCCACATGCCAAATTTCAAGTTTGTAGCATGTTGGGAAGTATGCTAAACATTTGAACAGACACACATATTCACAAATTTCCCTTTTATATATATAGAAGAAGATTATGCCAGCAACCGTTAAAGAGAAACCATTCCAGTTTGTAAAATGGTTGAGTTATTCAACTTATTTAAATAATGTGGCAGTGCAATTTTTTTATTCGAGTAAGTACATTCTCTCGGGGGATGCTGCCGTGGTATCATTATTAACGCGCTGGAATTGGAATCCAGAGACCACCGGTTCAATTCCACCTCCCGGCTTTGCAGTTGAGACAAATGGAGCAATGTTCTTAAATAACTACCCTCCCCGCCTATGTTTACCCAGCAGCATAAATGGGTTCGGCACAGTTTGTCGATTGGCAGCTTGCATGTGGTGGGGCAAGTAATGTTACTTCTTCCAACACATCAGGTTGGTGTGGAAGAATGTGCCATCATAAGCTTTCGACAGGGAGATCCTTCTACCAGTGGTGGGGATGAGCAAGCAATTGCAGGGATGCATTTTTTTAATTCTTATACTTGGAAACCCGACATACTGGCATCATTCCTCACACGCGCGACACTATGGGGGTCCATGCACGTCAGGTTCACAGGTACTCGACGACGGTGCTGTCGGCGCTGATCGCCGGGATGGACGATAAGGATGACCCAGATGACCTCATCACCCTGGAGGCCATGTCCGGCCTGTCCAAGGTTCTGGCGCGCGTCGATGAGAGCAACGTGCGTGGAATCCTCATCAACATCGCTCTGCGCATCCGTCCCTTCTTCGAAAAGGTCAGGGGTTAATCGTGTTAATTAGGGCGGCTACGGATTAGGGGTTTTGTGTTTTGTTTGTAATGAACGTTCTGGTTTTTGACATCCCCTACGGGCGTGGGGTGGGAAGCGATAGGGATATTGTGTGCGGCATTACGCAGCGAAGGCGTGACTCGTGCACGCTTTTTGGTTACTCCTGCGGTTTTGAAAGAGCATACGAAAACAATGCAAGGGAGTAACAAGATTAAAACATTGATCAAGTTGGTTTGATTTATTGGCCAATTGATTGCTTTGTTTTCTGACAAAATGGCTGGTAGCCGGCTGTCGCTGCTTGTTTGTTCGTGCGTCTTGCCTCTTCGCGTGACCTCTCCGCTTGCCGAAATCGCTCGAATGATTAAAACAATTGGAGTGAAATCACAGCGTTAAATGTCAATAGAGCCAATTAAGTTCTCGGCGAGATTGGAATTTGAAAAAAGGAAAATTAGCTCTGGCATCTGGGCATTAGGCAGCTGCTAAAGCAATGTGCGTAATTGTATTCAATGTGTGCCACGCAAAACATGCCTGCAAATGCACTCAGGGTGAGATAGGATATAATAGTCATAAGCACTCTAGGAGTTTCTGTGTGTGTGTGTATCTGAAGCCATTTCAAGACTGCTACAACAAGTGATGGCTTAGATTAATAGTGGATAAAAAAAACATGATAGGTGCATTGATGCTATGTGGAATGTGTGGGGTGTGTTGAGTGTTGTGTGTTTGATGTGCAGAGTGTGGGGCGCAGGGCATCTGGTGTGCTGTGTGCGATGTCACTGATGTGTTGGCTGCGAGAGTATTGTGTTTGACGTGTGACATGATACGTGGTGTGTGATGTTGGATCCACGCAGCTTCTGTGCGGTTGTGTAATTCCTGCTGTGCGGTGTGTAATACGTGGTGTGTGAGATGTGTTGTGTTTTACGTGGCATGCTGTGCGTGATATTTGGCTTGTTGTGCAGTTTCGTAACGCGGTGTGCAACATGTGATGTGCTCATAATCAACGTTTTTGGGTTTAGATCACGTTATTTATAAATGTGTCGTAACCCTCTACCACCCGACACGGCCAATTAGTAAAAAAGTGTCACGTTGATACGTGGTGTGTGATGTTGGAAGCCTACGTGTTAAAATGTGATGTGCTACGTGTAAATGTGCCGCGTGTCAAGTCAGTTTCATTTGTTTAGCCCGGTGAGAACTCAAGAGGACCAGGATGGTGTCCACTTGCAACAGTTGCCTTGCTCGCCCAAAATGACAAAAGTAAAACGAATTAAAATCAAAGCACGGAAATGAAGCGAATCGAAACAAGGATGGTGTCCCAACGCGCAGGAGAAGGAGACCGTTCGCGCCGCCGCGTTCGTGCTGTTCGGGAACCTGTCCAAGTTCGGTGATGGTGAGTCCCGCGGGCAGTTCTTGGAGCAGGTGCACACCAACCTGGTGAGCATCCTGCTGCACCTGAACGACGAGCACCCCGACGTACGCAAGGTGAGCGAGCGGTGGTCACGCGAACGTCGTCGCCCCGTCCCTCTCGCTTGCTCCTCTGTCCGCTCGTGATTTTCGCTACAGTGCCCCATCATTCATATCTGCTCCTGTCTCTTTTGATTGAAATCGGAAAAGCAAAACGTGTGCTAGTCAGCGGTCAGGTTTTAACTTTGCAAAACAAAATATCTCGCAGGACTAAAAGAAGGGTAAAATCCGATGGCAATCCAAAGTGGCACGATGAACAGAGTAGTGATTGCTTTTTGAACCTTAGATTATAAAACATAAATATATGAGAACCTTGGAATGTAAATATAGGGACTCCTCTGAAGCCATTTCACAAGCACAGTTGAACCTGTCATGTTTGCCCGTGTTGTCAAGGCAACGTCCGTCGTAAATTGTCATCTGTAAATGCAGAATGGCTGCTTGCTATCGCTTTGTGCCAAAAATAACAGTTGCCCAAAAACAATATGGAATTTCACCTTGTGAAACATTGTATAATGATGAGGATGACATATTTTTGCCTTGTATTTGAAGCATTGCCGTGTCGTATGATTTCGTTGAGAACTACCGCCCTTGTGAAAGTGGCCGAGCGAGAACACGTTTTCCGCTTTGTTGCAGAGGATGTTCGCGGTTCAAGCTTTCACGGCTGTCCTGGTTAATACCGCGGGTGTATTAACCAAAAAATACATGCAGTTTGCTTCGCAGTGGACGCTAAAGATCCCGCAAATAGCCGGCCATGTGCACCGGCGTCACGTTCGGAATGTGCGAAGGTTCTACTCGCTAATGACCTCCTGGACATCCGTGAAACGGAGCTCTACATCTCATCAGATTCCTCCAGTATAAATAAATATTCAGATTCTAATAATTGGGTAAAGCCAGGAAGCAACATCGCCCCCCTGCAGTGAATCTTCTGCAGACTATAATCGCCTAATGAAACATGACACACTTTCTTGATAACATCGCGCTATCAGAATGGCACTAACAGCGACTGTACTAACGCTTTGATGGTTGTGTGCCCGTGGCCTTGACGCGGTCCCTGTGCCATGCAGGCGTGCAAGTTTGCCCTGCGCACGATCGGCTCCTTGCTGGGCTCCGAGGCCATCGGCACCATGTTCCAGAAGCATCTGCTGGAGGATGCAAACCTGCACTACGGGGAATTCATGAACGACCTGGCCAAGTACATTGTAAGGCAGTGCCGGGGCAGCCTGCAACTACGCTGACGGCTTCACGTGAAAATAACTCGGTGCTCGTTGCGAGGATGAGGCCGGCATTTTTAAAAGGAACGTCATGCACCCGTTAATCTTGCATGCAATGTTGATCTGGCTCCTGGCTCATTTGTCACTAACCCTTGGTTTGAATCGGAGCACTTTGCCCGAGATTATTCCCCTGCTTCTCAAGTGTAGTGAGTTGATGGTCCCAGTACAGTCACTAAGGGAATGACTGCAGAAAAAAAATCGTGACATAAAATTTGGGTTTTCACTTAATTTTCCTGAATTCCAGCTCTGAGAATGATCAATGTCGGGTTTACAGGCATGCTTACACACGCGTTTGCAGCGGAGTGTGCGGCCACGTTCAAGTTTTAAGTTTATTTTGTTTAACCAGGAGACGGCTCAAGTGGCCAAGATAAATCTCTTTTGTAGGCGTGACCTGGGTCACCAAAAGTGACTAAAGAAAAACAAACAGAATGAATATTCTTGGTTCTTTCGGTAAAGTCACGTAGAAGGGAAATAAGAAAATAATAAAAATATAAAACAATAAAAATTATCACGACGTTTCGACTGCAACACAAGCAATCATCATCAGGTGTGAAATCCACAGCAAGAAAATTTTAAAAAAGTGTCGGTTTTTCCTAACGTCAGCACCACAGACAGCGATTTGGCAGTTGGTCAGATGGACGAGTCTATCTATGTTTGGAAAAGAGGAGGGGGGAGAGGAAGATAATGGAATGCGGTCTGAAAGTTGCTGTAAGCGTGAACACAATCAATTAAGACCCGAAATGGTTTATCAAATCTTTCCAATGATTGCTAAGCCAGAATCCATCTTCTCGGTTGAAATTGTCTCTGTGTTTGTATATGTGGATAGCTTTAAATCAAAAATTAAACAGAATGAAGTACAGCAATGAAGCGCACAGAAATCAAAGCAAAAGCAAGCGTGTCACACGAGAAATTTAAAACACTACACAAACACAAACCACCGTCAAATATTAAACTCCCTGCATTGCAAGTTAGCTCGGGCAGGTTAAGTAATGGCGCTGCCCCATAACATGTGGATGTAAATGGTCACGTGAATGGTTCTCAGAAATAGTTCTGTGAATATTTCCTTCTGCTTACTGCTCGCACAACACACACTGATTTACACTTCCCTGCAAAACCTCTGAATGGATGCTTCTCTTGGCATGGAGCCAGCGGCACAAGTGGGGATAAAGACAAAATCAAACATTTAATGCAGTGAGCACAAAGTCGATTACAACTTCATTTACGGTTGTGCCAACACCTGTAGTGGTGGCTGTTGATCCCAATCGGCAATACGTGGATATAAACTCCAAACGACTGATGACTCATACCTGTGCTCTTCCTTCTGAATGTCCCTTGTAAAAGCTCAATGACCTCGTGCAAACTCCCACCAAACGTGCACTTCTCCGTGACTCTTCGAGTTTGGTGTCTCATTTAATTGTCCGCATCTTTGTCGCGCGAAAGCTGCTTGTTTATAGAGTTGTAATAATTTTCCTTGATTCTTTTTTTTTGTTTGCAGATCAAGGATTTTCCCGACAAGGTGAACTTCTACTTGATGAGCTGCGTGTCGTTCTTCAAAAGCATGTGGGCGGAAATCCGCGGCAATGCTGTGATGCTTGTCGGTGAGTGGACAGCGTGTGCTGCTGGGAACGGAGTGAATGATGGCAAGAGTGACCTTTTATACAATGAGAAATACTTTTTTACAACAAAGCCGCGATGAGCCTCAACACTCTTTTTCAATAGGATCCTGCATTCTGATGTTTCTGCAAATTCCTCATTTAAGGGTGTTTTTTACTCTGCGTGGGTGGCAACTGGGCTACCCGGCGAAAACGCAAACAAACGGTTAGCTGGGCAGGTGTGTCGCACGCCTGACATCCACCACTGTGGAGACGAGGGTTTGTGGATTGCACAAATGTTGTGAAACTCCCTTCCCTGTGGCGTCCAGGCCGGAGCCTGGCTTGCCAGGAGATGGTGGGATGGCAAAGTGTGGACTAATATTATCTCTCCCTTCTGTATGGGAAAGTGTTACCTCCTCTCACACGTGTGGGATTCTTCTGGTGCTCCCCTTTCCTTCCGCATGTGAACACACTCATTAATTGCCTGAAAACATCTTAATATATAGAGAATTGCAGAGCTTGGGCAATTGTCCAAGTCTGTGTTTCCACACCGATTCTGAGATGCAATTTTCATGAACGACGTTATGCAAACCAAACTTTATTATTCAACGTGGGTCTATGGACCCACTTGTGGTACTGACATATCCTGCCCAACTCAAAGTAGGATTTGAAGTTTCCTAACTCTTGGTGATCCACCAACCCTCTCCTCCACAAGCTCTCTCATGGGTGTTCGCTCTTAGCACTCACCCCGAATCTGCGTAGGTTACACGGGGTGGGATCTTTGTCTTCGTGTGTGCCTGCAGGCTTCTTCCTGGGCAACGTGGCGAATGAGACATTGCAGAGCATCTCGCTGGAGCACGTGTGCGGGGGTGAGTGTCGCACGTGTGCGGGGGTGAGTGCCGCCCATGCCGATGCCACATCAAGCGCCGGCACACGGCGTTCCGTCTGCGCCATCCGTCTCAAACGCTGCGCCGTGCGGCCGCCGTCGCGCGATAAAATTTTGTCTGCCTGATCGCTGGCGGGCCGGGAGTTGGGAGTGTCGGTGTCTGCATGGCAACAGGGCACGGTCCAATTTTGGTGCCAGGGTGGCAAGGGTAGAGAGAGGAAGCTCAGGCAGTGTCAGGCACATGTTTCGTCACTGCTCTAGCAAATAAAAAAAATGTGTACCGTTGATAAAGATCGGACCAAAACTAAAGCATTTAATGAATTTCTCCTGCTTTCACGTTAAAACCAGCTGCACCCACATTAGCACCGAGCGCGTAATTTATGTTTGCAATATATAGATTCACATTGCTCGTGCTGAATGTGAACGTAAATTAATGTATCGTGTGTCTGTACATGCATAAAATAAGACCTAGGCTTTTCCCTGTGGACCAACATTCCCCTCCTAAAAGCCGGTTCCGTCGCTGCCTGGCAGTTATAATTTTATTTTATGACCGTCTAATTTGTAGCCGTAGTTCAACTCGTGCCTTTATTGACGCAGCGCTGTGTATGACCGCCTTGTGTTTTCCCAGCTGTGATTATTTTGCTCAAGGATCCATCCGCCGCGGTGAGAACGAAGGCAGCGGAAGCGCTGAGTCTCTTCCACACGATGTGAAAGCTCCCGAGCTTGAGTGCGAGAACTGCAAGTACGTCTTGCTGCGCGGTTACGAGTTCCTCCTTTGGAAAAAAGGGGGGAAAGAAAAAACCCAACGGCAAAACATTGCGGCGTTAACGTTGGCCAAAAAACCCGGTAAATTTCACAGTCGAGTTTATTATAAATATAAACAGGGTAGCGGTGTTAACGCGCACGAACGTTGTTTTATCAGGCGTGTTTGATTTTGGGGTTGCGGGCAGGGTGATTGATTAATTTGGCTCTGAAGTGACTGTTTATTGCAACGTCATTCGATTCACCGTGTAGCTCGTTTGTTGTTGTGCGCAGCTGCTCGTACGCTTACATGGCAGCTGAAAATCCCGTACGGCCTGTTCTGTTCTTTTTCCTTCTGTCCTTTCTCTCGTGGACCAAATTACGGAGGATGTGTATCAGCCCCTTTCGAATTATGCGGCAAAATTATAGTGTGACGCTCATGCCAAGTCTGTGTTGTTCCTGGTTGTTTCCATTGGACTTCGACAATATCATGAGGGGTTGAATCGCCCTTATGTTGGGTATCAGATCACCGACATCCTGTAGCAATCATTTAAGCCTTACACCTTTTTTTTGTACATCATGTTCATAATAATAACTCGTGTCGCTCGGGCAATTTTTTTTTTCTCACGTGCACATTTGAATGGAACGAGACTGCATGGGTCAGTGCGCGAAGGAATACAAGTCTAATGCAGTGTCAGAAAGTGGCGTAACGGAATGAAATAATCTAATGCCTTGACAGACAGCCGTGAGATTTGTAAAGCTACTACCGCCGTCCTTACTGATGTTCAATGGCCTGGCAGAGAATGTTGTGTTCCTAAGTTATTGATGCTCAGCTGAAAGAGCCAATGCGTGGGTAATATGCTTATTTAAAGCTGGTGAGCTTTTGTAGGCATTCATACCTGATGTGGGAGTGATTTAAAAACTGTGTAACGTCCAATAATAAGCTCGTACGTTTGTCAGAAGAAAACTTGTGCGCTGTGACACATAATTGTACCCTTGGCTCGATGTAATTTGATGATTGTGCTGATTTGTGAATTCCGAGTGAAGAAATCGCAAAGTCTAATATGTCACATGCGCAATTGGTCACAGATCCATAGTCCGTAATGCAAATCCAGTCGGCGCCACATGAAGGTCATATGGTGGGGTTGCGAAAGCAATGGGCGTGGAAACATCAGATGGGCCAATCTGTTTCCAATGCCGACCCCGTCTGCCGGGAGTAACACAAGAGAACGTGTGTCGAGGGGATGCGCAGTCAATCATGATGCGAGTAATCTCGACCACATGGCTTTCCCAATACAGACGCGCGCACACGCTGCAAATGAAAGTCCCGCTCAACGATCTCCGAATCAGAAGTTGCGCTTGCTTTGGAGACCCGCTGTGATCGAGAAAACTCGCCCACGATCGGGGCGCGCGGCATCGTGGTATAAGCTTGGCGCAGTTTGTGGTTTGGCGTGGGAAGAGTCTTTCGGGGTGGTGCGAGTGCTGCGCCTCGTGCTGAACAGTTTGAGGAATGCGTGCTGGTCAAGGAGCCTCGTTAGAGAGGGCATTGCATAGGAGGGGTGGAGTGTTAGTACGGTGGTTGTTGCACCATGCAATGAACCTGGCAACCTGAGTTTGATTAATGTCGGTGGTGAGTGGGATCTGAACTGTTTCTTAATCTCTCCTTCACCAACCCGCTGTTTGACGATACTGTACTTCATCCCACGCTGATGAACCATGTTCAGATATCCCCCCTTTCACACACGACATGGTGCAGGCACATTTGATCCAACAGTGGATTGACAAAGGGCTTGAAATGATTATGGTTGTTATTATTATTGTAATTCCACTGGAATGGGGTGAGTTGAAGGCAAGCTTGGGGGCGGGATGTTGGCAAGCTGGATGGGAACACAGTTTGCCCGACGGTCAGCGCGTGGGCGTTCCTCTCTTCAGACTGCTGCTCCCCCTTTCCACCGAGGAGCCGTGTGCGATATGATGTCCCTCTCGCTTGGACGTCGGCAAAAACAAATATCCCAAAGTAAAGTGAAAAACAATTAAACTTCAGTCTGCGTCGCCACTCCAAACATTTGACGGCGTGCAAAAGCAGCCGTTGTTTTGGCTCCCAGGCCCTCTGACCCGCACTGGCTGCTGGCCCAATTATAACAAGTTTTTTTTTTGTCTGAATAAATTGGAGTGTTGCTAAAATTATAATAATGCCATTGGTGAAATGGTTAATGAACTGGTCTGTCAGCTTGTTAAATATGATTTCGCATGGATAGTGAAGGTTACGGATGTTATTTTTTTGTAAAAAAAAAAAGGTAGCACTAATGGGAATTTTTTCTGGTCTTTGCACGTTACGTACACCTCGCTCCCCTCTCTCTCCCCCGGAATTGCCGATGGCTCCACTCAATGAGACGACAATTTGTGGCAAGTCCAAGTTGGGATTCCTGCGCAAGCAGACACTGAGGACAGTTGGTTGGAAATAATTAAAATCCCCTGGGTGGGAGTACTGACTGGGAATAAAACCCACCTGTTCCACGGCCCTATTGATTTTCAGTGTCTGTTTTGTAAGATTACATATATACCCACGTACACACGTGCGTGTGTGTGTGGGTATATATGAGTGTAATTATACATGCTGCGCACACATATATAATTAGTCTATTTTGTGTATAGACATTAGTTTATTTATGCACGTGCCTATAATTGTTGTGCTTGTGTAATAGCAACTGCCATCACTTGGTGACGAACAACAACTGCCGTCCGTCACTAAGTGGTTGGCAATGTCACCAAGGCACTTGTGCCAGGCTAGGTGCACTTTGAGGTACGCATAAATGTGCAAAGTGTGTATATATATACATTTATACACACTTGAAATTTGTATGATGTAATTTGCATAACAGTGAAATTCTGACTAGGCAGGAATGTCAGCGTTTGTCAAAACTAAAAATTATTTCCAAAATACAACCACGGTTGATTTCCCCAGAAAGCAGTATGCATCTTGTTGACCCTGGATTTGAACTGATAACCTTCTGATTGCGAGCCGCATACTCTAGCGTTGATCACGTAACCTGATGGATAAAAATGGGCTGAAGGTTAGCATTTGTATCTTCCACAATGTTACATGTGTTCATATTTTTTTTATGTAATCATCTCGCTTAACCCATGGCCCTATTGAGACAAGGTTCCATGAAATTCTCAAGTATGAAAAGGCTTTTGAAGCTATACATTTGTTATTTATTCACTTTTTTTTCCTCATAAATTCCTTGATATGTAATATGAAAACACTGCTCATGCTGAAATGTCCATCGAGGTACAAGTGGGTGTGTGTGTGTGTGTGACATGATGAATATGTATTCTCAGCACAGCTTGTCTGGCTGCGAGTCTTAAATATGAATAGGCAAGCTTGGGCAGTAATATAATTATACAGTTGTGTGGATCCAGACTGGAGTTGGTTAGTCATTTGTTGGTCATTATAACTCTACATAATGGAATGTGCTAGATAGATATTTTTATTGACACACGGATGAATTGGTTGCCTTTGTGCGAGTGGGAGGTTTGGAGTTGATAAAACGGACGGGCGTAAATAATGGCTCTTGACTTTCACACAGTTTGTGAAAGGTTTTTTTTGTGACGGCATTGTAAATGCATCACCAAGTTACTAAATGTCCAAGCTGTTCTAATTTAATTTGTCATTTCATCAACAAAAACTTTTTGAAAGATCGCAGACACTCGCGTGAATGCCAAAGCCATGGATCCAGCAGGGGCATTTTAGGGCAATCGTTGCGGGCAACCATCATTGGCAACCGTCGCTTGCAACGCATAAACCATGAGCAGACTTCGGTAAGCTTGGTGGGCAACTGAATGAAGGGACAGAGTTCTCTCTCCTGCAACCCACAGCGGTGTGGAGCTGACATTGATTGGTTGAGTCGACTCTGGATGCCCGTCATGCCCATCACACCACATCTCACCACACATCTCACCACACATCTCACCACACTTCTCACCACATCTCACCACACATCTCACCACACCATCATAGCACTTAACACTCTCTATGCACACCACATCACCCATTTTATCCACATCATCCATACACCACACTTTATTCACCCCATCACACCACATCACCCCCCCCCCCCCCCCCACAATCATAACACACCATCACTCTATCTCTCTAAACCAGTGGTTCTTAACCTGGGGTGCACGCACCCCCTGGGGGTGTGAGATGCCCGTTCTGGATGTGCGAGACATACCAGATGTTTTTAGAAGGTAAATCGAAAGACAAACCCTTGGTACTTATAAACATTATCCATTGTTTTACGACTGAGAACCAAAAGGGTGCAAGGCTGCAGTAAAGGTTAAGAACCACTGCTCTACACAATCATAGCGCCATCAAACCTTTCCAACACCGTCAGACCACACGACCACCACCAACAGCACCAACCGTCCACACCGTATCGTTCCACGCCCCACTCGTGAGGCCGCCGTTCTTTTCCAACGAGGCGAGAGCGCGCGATATCGGTCCTCGATGCGAGCCCTGCGATTCTGGTCGGAGGTCGGAGGTTGCTGCGATCAGATTTGCTCAGATGTTGGGCGACGAGATGTCTACGAGCGGAAACGCCACGGCGACCGTCGCCCCCCAAACTCGCCCCTTGGGATCACGGCCGCGGGGAGCCCGCGGCTGTTTGCCGCTTGACGGAGGAGCGCCGTGCAAGCGCCACTGTCGCACAATCGGTTTCCTGGCGCTGCGTGGCCTTTATTACCGACGCCCATGCTTGTCACAGCAACTCCTGTTTTGTCAACAGAAACGCGTTGCACTCAATCCTGGACGTTGCTGCGCTTGTTCTACTCAGTGGTGGTGGACCGCTGCTTATTGAGCCACGGAGTGTGGCTCGGGGTTAAACGGCTCGAAGCGATTGACACCTTTAAAGCAGCCACCACCCCTTCTACAGCTCGGGCATGCGGCAGTCCATTCATCTCTCGATGCCAACGTTTTAATTGGTGATGTGAAGCCTATTTTTTCCATATGCATTTGGATTAGCTTTGATCCGTAACTTTAGAAAAAGGATCACATTTTTTCGAACACAACCTGATCTCAATGACTGATGTATGAATTTGCTGCCCCAGTGCTCTGCTAATCCTCGTCTATCGTGACCGCGGTGGTGGGGGCGGGGGTGGGGGTGGGGGGGAGTAGCTGTGGAGCGGTTTCTTGCTTGTGTGCTTGTGTGGTCTGGTTAAAATGGTAACCGTTAGAAACCTTAAACAAAAAAAGCTGTAAATTGTCAAATATACTGTACGTTATATACCCGGGTTTCGTGATGTCATGCTGTTTACGCCATCGGTTAAACGTTCGGAATTGGGGTCGACGGTCTTGAAGGTTGCTGGGTGGCTGATTTTGATGCACTTCGTTTGCGTTTGAGAGCAATGGTCTTTGCAATACACTTTAAATAATGTACATTACATTCTACGACTGTACTGAGTTATAAGCATCGTGTAGCGAATGCGTACTTGACGCCAAAAAGAAACACAATCATTTTACGATGTAAAAATAAAGTTATATTGGGACATTACCATGATGACTGGTGTCAATCATTTTGAAGATATTTGCGGATGTTCACTGCTTGCTCAGCTTTGCTGCTGCCGAGGTTTTCGTCTTTGCGCTTTACGGCTCTCCCATGTGTTTTCGAGTTGTACCACCGACACCATACGGGGGCAAAGTGCGGCTCAACCCAACAACAGCGACAGCAAAAAAAACACACAGCGGAGAGTAAATTTAAGCATCGTGACCAGAATTTGGCTTTTTGTATCAATTCCAACTTCCTGGTAAAGGAGGGGACCCACCTTGGGCAACGTGCATGCTTGTGTGAGCGTGATGGCGATGCATCGGTCGTTTTGTATCTTCCCAATTGACCGGTGGGCCACAGTCAACAATGTGTGTAAATCGTCGCAGATGCTCCGAGTGAATGTTTTTTTCTCTGGCGGCAAGCGGCAAGGCAGAGGGAGAGCACAGATGAAAGTGGTTGCGCAGTCCAGCGGAGGGCAGTGTTGTGTCACGGCACGCCGTGAATGTACAAACCATGCTCGTGGATAATAGACGAGGTCAAGAAAAACACATCTCTCTCTGATTTTTTTGCAGAACGGAGGACGGAGTCTTAATTTAATAACAATTTGCCTGTTTGACGCCGTAGGCTTTCGCGACCAATGTTCATGTTAAAGGTGTTTTTTGGGTTAGATCGTGTAAGTATAAATATGTCGTTAAACCCGCCACCACCCGAAACAGCCAATTGGTAAGGTTTGTCACTTAAACAAAACATGCTAATGAGTTTCTACTTAAGCCTACCACCGGTGTGTTTACAATTCACAATTCTGGCAAAATCTTCCGACGATGCTGTATGTAATTGATTACCTGCGAAAACGTAACGGTACTGAAATTGTTAATGTTGTGGATTTACTCTCCATTACACCGGTGGGCTGAAGTAGTAACTAATTGGCACGTTTTTTGTTTACGTAGCAAACCTTACTAATTGGCCGTGTCGGGTGGTTAGCTGCTTAACGACACATTTATATTTGCACGATATAATAAAAACATCTTTATTATAAACAATGTGCTTGTATTTCATTGTAGAAATGGCAGGGTTGTTCAGCTGCGTGTCCAGGTGTACGGTAGAAATGTACCAAGGAGCAGCAGCTACTGTGGGTGTCGTGAGTGTCTTGACACCTCCCGAGATTTATACACATGGCTAAGAAACGCTCAACATTCCCGACAAAATCGTGGCATAATTGACTGTATTTTTGTCCATTTAACACCGTGACATAAACGCTGATTATGCTGAATGCGCTGAGTGCACAAACAGTAGGCACAGTATGTAGTCGGTATTCAATAGCTGTGTAGATTTAACATGATAAAAGTAAGTTGTTTCTTAGCTTGGTATGAGTTTGGTTTGGTTTGTTTTGGCACAGATACAACCCATTGGAAAATAAATGTTCATTTTTGATTGGGACCCGATTTACAAAAAAAGCGTGAACAAAACAACCGAAAACAATTGTACACAGTGGTCAAGTTTCGAATGGCAAGGTTGTGCATCAACACAGTACTACCGGCACAAAAATCACAAGGCTCGGATAATGCATCACACGCATCGTCACATGATATCACAGGAAAACGCTCCACATCACGCGATATTGGGTGCAAAACAGTGAAGTAGGAAAGATCGTACAAACAAAATCTCGATTACTTGTGAAATCAGAATAATGTTGCAGCTTTACACATTGTGAAGTTTGGTTGTTGAGTTCCTGCATGTGGTGGTATCTTACTTATTGATGGACTTTTTCTAAAATTTATCTTGGTGCACTTTAACAATAAGGGCATGACTCGATCAATCTTAGCTGGTCACCTAGTTGCTGGTCATTGCTGCCTCTGTTATGCTTTCAGTGGTGGTGCCCTGCCACTCGTGTTACTGCTGCACCGTTCGAGCCTCCCCCACTCGATTGCCAGCGACACCACGGCCAACCTCTCTGGAAAAGCTATCTGATATTTTCTGCTTCCCAGAATAACGGATATCAAAATCCGCCCGAGTCGTTAACACTGCGTTGCTTTCACTGGGTTTAATGCAACGCATGCTTCGGCCTGTTAATGGGCACTCGAACAACTCGAAAAAAAGACGAACAAAAGTAAAAGTCCCCCCCTCCCCCCAAAGTTTGTAACCGAGGGCAGCTGCACTGAAACCCAATAGGGAAGGCGTCAACGTCAGTGATACCGGAGCGGCGGCACACTACGTCCGAGCGGGGACATCGTCGTACCACAGCTGCCACGGACACCACAGCGGCCGCCCGAAGCTACTGCTCGCCCGAACCCCGCCAGCCAGCCCGGCCGCCCGTCCGTCCGTCCGTCCGTCCGGCCGGCCGAACGATAATGGAGGCCCGTCTCGCCGTCTGCGCGGTCCTGCTGCTCGCGGTCGGCTACGTGAAAGCCTTCGGCTATGTGTCCGGCCCTGGTGAGTGAAGCGTTGGCTTGCTTGCTCTGTTGGTGGTTGTGGTGGTGGTGGTGGACTTAAAACTGCAACGTCGGTTGAATGAGGTGTCGTCCAAAAGTGTTGCAGATCAGATTTTAGTTAAGCACCGGCGGGTATCGAAATTAAATGTGGTTTCCATTGGCAGCGGGGGAATATAACAGCCCAGATAGACATTGATTCTGGGTCACGGCTAACTTCAGTGGCAAGCTGAACCAGAATTGACCCTGAACACCCCCTGTCCACTAAACCACACCGACCAGCATGGTGAAGTATGCTTAAGCAAGCCCCGTGTCTCATACGGCACGTGGAGGTCTTTAATCAGCAGGGAATGGACAGAGGGCTGTACATTATAATTCATTACAATTCACTCGTTTAAATTTACATCCCCTTATTAAATCAAGAGTATTGAGTCAGCAACCTCTTATCACGCTACTATCCAAAACAACCGCCATGTCTCTCGCCATCTCTGCACATCGCCATGGCGGGGTGGCGCAGTGGTGACACGTGTGCCTCAAAGCGGCAAAATCCTGGGTTTGACTCCTGACTCGGGCGCCTTTCGTCGTGAAGTTTGTATGTTTGCCTGTGGTGCATGGGTTCCCTCTGGGTTCTCTGGTTTCCTCCCACAGAAACGCCCCCCCCCCCCCCGCCTGTAACATTCAATGTCATTTGTATTGGCCAAATATCCCAAATGCTTAACAGTTACCTGCAAATCACGCATATTGAATTAAACATAGTGACATCGCCTCCGAAAATTTGGCAGTCTCCAGAAATAGAGTCGCGAGACTCGGTGTCTTTCCTGGTTTAAGATTTTTTTTTTTAAATAACCGACCGGCCACCCTTACCGAGACCATCTCACGATGATTACAAAAAAATAGTTGCCAGGCTTCAGAATAACCCTCGCGTTGCACGACTGCTGACACGGCTTCCACAACTAATTCGAACAAAATGTCGTCGTGCTGGGTGCGCTCCGTTTGGTTTGGCAGGAAGTTGGTAATGCTAAATTTGTTGATGGTGTCTGAGATCACAAATCCCAACCGTGGTGAAAATTGAAACGCAGTTAAAATTCATAACAAAAAAAATTACCTCTACCAGTGTCTTAATTATTCGGTTGAAATACTAACTAAACAATTCTGTTATCAATTATCCAGTAATAGCCTGCCCGGTAATTGGTAAAACTACTTAAGTTGGACCAGGCTATGGGTTATAACTTCCTCATTGTAGCTAATAGCCGGAACAGTGGTGTGCGGTTGAATGGTACACATTATACCATTACTCTCAAACATTAAGGTTAATAAGAGGTTTTGCCTGCCGCTACTTATAGAATTAAGGTTGAGGCTTCGTGTTGAGTAAAAAAAAAAATCCCATTAAGGTTAAGGTTAGGTGTGTTATTTTAAAACTGTAATTACATATGTTGTAACCGCCATACGTCACGCTCTCTCCTCGCACACTTTCATCGCGAGCGCTTTTCCGTTCGTTATCCCAAGTTGTTTAAACCTGCGGCAAAGGATCGTCAACTGGGATTCATTTCTTTTCATTTTTTATCCATCCCGAAATTTTCAGTGCATCCTGGACAGCACACGACGAAAGACCGTTGCTTTATTTCAGCCGGGTCTGCCCCGAGCCTGGAATCCAACACGCTGGGCCAACGTGCCAATCAAACTTAATTTGGAGCTTTCGTGACTGCAGGAATTACTCTTAGGTTCTTTCAGTAAAGTCACGTATAAAGAGAAAATAATAAATTAAATACTAGCATACAACGTTTCGATTGCAACACAAGCAATCATCATCAGGTATTAATGAAATAGAAGCACAAATCTAGTTTACTTAGAAATGTAATGTAATACAACAGAGAGTCGGATAACATAACAGTCAAATACCCTACCTGGTTGATTACGTTCTCGGGAAGAACGTAATCAACCAGGTAGGGTATTTGACTGTTATGTTATCCAACGTGCCAATGTTGGCCAGAGCAGCATTGGCACGTCGACTTGGGATCCAGCATTGCCTCTCGCTATCACCGGGGCTACTTAGTCACGGGAAATATTCCGTGAGGGTGATGCTAGTCCTGTTGACTGCGATTTGAGCTGTTGCTCTGGAGACCGGGAGATCGTTGATCAATGTCAGGTCCGCCGGGTTGATGGCATTAGTGGTGATTTTTCATTTCAACAGAATAGTGGGCCACGCGAAAGTTGCCGTCTTCCACTCCAAACGATGATAAAGATTTTGTTGGAGGGGCAAGGGAAATCTTTTTAAGAGAGACGGTAACTCACTCTCACCGCCTTCTCGTCCCCGATAACACGATGAATTGTCAGAGTTCAGCGCCGCGGTGCGAGTCGTTTAACATAGTGGCTAATGGAGAGTGCCTTGAGTGGCTGGCAGAGGTGACATGACTGACCCCGTTAGATACGTGATATACGAATAAAAAAAAACACTTAAATTCATATTCGCGTCTTCATTTATGGTGTTTTAAAAAAAGCAACAGGCTACAACTGTACTTTTAATGTTGTAAGCCATTCCATCTGGGTAGCTGAGTGGAGTCTGCTAGTCCCTTCAGAATGCACCCGTTGTTATTGGGCAGCCATCAGTGATATGCCTCTGCCTGATACGCATACGATTCGAGGCAATGGAACTACCATCACCACCACCACAATGTTATAACAAATCGCGGCGCGAGATTAAAAACCTGTGAATCAATGCGCTGTTAGACCTGGAGGGTTTTGTCTTTTTAACGCTCTTTAGCTGTGATCGGCGCATAAAATCTCCCCCTCCCCCCACCCCAAAAAGAAAAAATCCACGCTGTCGGGGTGCGATATCGCGCAGAGCCCCCCACACAGAGCCCCCACGTGCAGGCGGTGTGGTGGCTCTAATGAGGCGTGCACGTGGCTCTAATTGATGGAAGGCACCGGGCACACAGCGAATTCCAAATGAGTCTGTGGGGCCGGGTGGTGGGGGAAGTGGGGATGGGGGGGGGGGCAGCTGTTGGGGACGGTCATAATTTTACTGGCGGAGTGAGTGATTCCGAGAGACGGGGGCGTGGGGGAGCGTGAGGGCATCTCCCTCTTGGGTAGTAAACACTACAGACAATGTCTCCGCCGTTGATGCAGAGTGGAAGCATGTGGGGGTGGAGGGGGGAGTATGTGGAAGACAGGTCGTATTATTTTCCAGCAGGAGGCTGTGGCACCCCGCTGGTGCCACTCCGCTAGTGCGGCGGCCGACGCGGGTCTCTGCGTGAGCGTCTGTGACAGATGGCTACAAGAGTTGCCCCAAGAAGTTGCTCGAGAAGCCGTTCCAGAGGGGCTGCGTCAACGACGAGGACTGCCCTTCTTCACTGCACAAGTGCTGCGTCTTCGACTGCGGGCCCGTGTGTGTCACCCCCGTCATAGGTACGAGCTTCGGTTGGGCTACGTACGGTGCGAGAGAAGTAAAATAAAAAGACAGACACCTCGGAGAGCTATGAAGCACAAGCACGGAAGCCTACGCAGCAGCAGCAACAGTATTACTCACCCACTTGATTGCTACAATATGGAGTCTAATCAACCTTTTATGTCCACCTTCTAGCCACCGTAAGGGTCATTCTGCTTGAGTCAGCTGCTTTGTCATGGCGCTCCCCTGTGATCTCGGTGACCCAGCTCACTGAGCCACTGAGAGGCGAAGGTTGACGGCATGCTGTCACGGCCATGTGGAAAAGCCCTTATAATAATTATCTTTAAACCAGGAAAGCCTGAGTCTCAAGTTTTTTTTTCGGGGTGGCCTTGATACATTGGAATGCTTGGCGCAATTCCAGTAATAGGTGTACGGCATGTTTTAAGAAACTGTAGGACCGAGAGAAAACCCATCGTGCATACGAGGAGGTGGTAACACTCAAATGTCTGCATACATAGATTCAAGAATCCCGTTGACCGTGCAGTTGTTTCCTGGCCACCTCGCAACCCGAGCCCACAGCACTTCGTATTCCTAGGCAGTCTCCAATCAAAGTACTCAACAGGCTAAATCAAACCTGCTTAGCTTTCCGGCATCCGAAGGTCGGGCACGTTGATTTGGTCGTGTCCGGCTGGGTTTGCGTCATCCTCTTCGTGGGTAACAGGGTGGTGTCCGAAAGGCGCTAATTGGCCTCTATCACGCCGAACCTTTGACCTGCCTGCACACAAGCACAAAATGCACGGTGATAAGGTGGATAATATCGTGCACGTTTTAAGTGCGTTATTTTCACCCGCGTGCAACAAAACAAAACCTATTAACAGCAATCTTTATGTAGCGTGCCTTGTTAGGGCCAGCAGCTTGTTTATGATGAGACCGTCTAAAGGAACAAAATTGATTGGTATGACCTGGAACGTGACATCGAACGGGGGAAAGAAAAAAAAATCGCCATCGACATCCCTTTTTAATGGGTACACATTCTCACCTAATTACAATTGTCATTGACCATCACGGGGGCCGAACGATGCTGCAGGCAAATGCATGGTGGTAGGCAGTGTCATCGTTATTACGACAGGCGTGCGTGAGCCAAGGAGATCATTGTGGAGTTCAAATGTGGCTGAGAAGGGGTTTAAAAAAAACATTAACGCCTTTGGCTTGTTGCACCCTCTCGGCCCCCCCTCCCCTCGTCCAAAACATTGACCTCCCCTTGGACGAATCAAACGAAGCTCCCTCACTCCAGCGTAGGTTTTTAAATCCTTTATATTAAGTTCGCTTGCTTGCTTGCGTGCTTGCTTGCTTGCGTGCTTGCTTGCTTGCTTGCATGCTTGCTTGCTTGCTTACGACTGTGCAAATCTTTCGGTCGTTTTTTAACCCACTTCCCGTGATCCAATCGAGCTGACATTTTGCACACAGACTCGTTGTGCGAGACAATTAATGTTCGTGAAAAAAAATTCCAAAATTTTACACTGTTTAGGGAAAACAAATTAAATATTTAATTACCAATTGCTTAATACTGGCAGACAATCATCTGACCCATAGGTGGCAGCCATCTCAAGCCAGAGGACGAGAAGACTCTAGCCGCCACGCATATAAAGGATTTATAGTGAAAAACTTTGTTTTTACGGGTTTACTTGTTTCCCAGTTGTGAATCCAGGAATTGAAATCCGGAGAGCGATTTGAGCTCCTGACGGTTGTTTTCTCGCGCGTGGACACGACACGGCGGACTTTATGGAGAGAAGCACGTGGCGCGACTCTCAAACACGAGCACAGAGCGAGCGACTGAACTGTAGGATATCTTTTCATTTGGGTAAAACCCACTGAGCTGCATTAGCTCTTTATTGAAGGTGACCTAGCCACGCATGACGGTGGGAATTCATAGTAGCCAAGTAATCTAAACACGCATGTCTCTTAATGTGGAGGGTCAAAACCGAAGGACCTGGAGCACAATCCACATAACCACGGAGAGAGAGAGACACGCAAACTCCAAATATATACAGGCGTTGGGGGTCGGGGCTCGAACCAGTCACCTCCTACCTACCCCGGCGAGGGAGATAACATCTCGCCACTGCGCCGCCTCGAGGAAAGCCCCCTTGCTGTTCGTGGGAGAGGCTTCACAGCCGCATGTTGTGTGTCCTGTGTTGTCCCCGCAGTGAAGTTTGGCGTGTGCCCGGTGCGCCACGGAATGGGTATGTGCGCCGAGTACTGCACGGATGATGTGGAGTGCCCCGGCGAGGAGAAGTGCTGCAGCAATGGCTGTGGTCACGAGTGCATGAAGCCCCACTTGGGTAAGTAAGGCTGCCCCTAACGTCCACTGGCCGGTGAGCCGGTCTCAACGGTGGCTGCGGGAAAAACAAATGCAGGCTTGGGAACGCCACATTTCATCAACCCCCCCCCCCCCCATCAATGGAAATGAGACCTCCTCCTATGTGTCAGTACTGACGGTGAGAAATGCTGGTGAGAGACCGGCTGCTTGAGACCAAGCCACCCTGAATTCACCTGATGTCGTCGTATATCAGAAGGGGAACGGGGTTGAGCCGAGTTGAAACTTGGATGGGTGACCAGCAGTGCTTGCTGGGTATTGTCGGTTGTGAAACTGTCACGTCACCAGGAGATCCATTGAACAGCCTTATCCAGCCCATAGGCTCAAAATAACTGAATTTGTGGCCATCTCAACGAGTTGAGAAAATGTGGCTATCCAACAGGCAGCAGGGTCTTTTGGGATGGCAACATTTCCCCAACTCTCTGAGTCCGTGGTTATAAACGGTAAGTGGTCAGACGTTCTTGATATGTGCATGAATTTTGCATATGCAATGCTACCGATGTTCGTGTGTTGTTAAATCTTTTTTGTTTTTTTTCTTCCATTCGACACTTATTATTCTGTTTTGATGGGTTTCCTCCACTTTTACAGATTCGAATCTCTGCGTGTTGTTAAATCCTAGTGGCAGTGATGTAGCGTGGTTGGCGTTGGCCATTGCTACCAGCAATGACAACGAGACCTCTGTACAAATACCCTCATCTGGGCCCCTCTGGCCCATGACCGTGGGGGCGCAGGTTGCAATTCGTCCGCGAGACAGGGCATCTTGACAGCCAAGTTTGGATAACATTGGGTAACAAAAAAAGCTAAAGGTGCAGCCCTGCAATTGCTCGCTGGTGCCACTGCTGGAGAAAGGGGCCTCCAACAGAGGGAGTCACCATAGCCCACCCCTCGAGGTTGTTGGTCTCTAGAGCTTGGGTAAAAAAAAAAGTAGCGGCCGGCCTCGGACACGACCAGTTTGGGAGGTGGGGGGTAGGTGAGCTCGATACCGAACCCTGCCGCTTCTGCGACATCCACGCACGGGGTGCTGCTCCCCCCCCCGGTCGTTATCTTTAGCTGATTTACAGCAGCGGCACGTCACGTGCCGGGCAACAACAGGTGCTATTTCTAAACGCGGTGCCAGCGCTCCGCTCGCCCGCCCACACCCGTCCGTCCGCTCTGCACGTTGCGCCGACAATAGCCGCCTTTGTGATCTGCGAAGCTGCCGCTTTGCGTTGGTTTTGGTTGACGTGAGCAGGGAAGGATGTTGAAGCGGCTAATGGAGAAAAAAACATATAAAAGAACCCTTTCCCCCCAACCAGTTTGCTGATTATGCCCCACGATGGGCTAGAGAATTCGTGGCCGTGCCACGCGCCAAATTGCATCTGGCAGCTCGTTGGCCCCAGCGCTTGAATAACTCAGTGTGGCGTCCGCACCAGAAGCTCGGCCGCTAATTAATGTTCTGAGACTGCCCATTGGAGGAATGCCACCTCCGGGTCTTTTAGTGCGGTAATTTTTCCGTGCACAGGCCGTGCCACTGGAATTAAATGTCTTATTTCTGGTTTGCGCTGTCAGCATTGCTTAAACACAAATATTGTTCACAATTATAACACAACCTTCCCGGAGGGGAATCTCAGTTGCAACTCACACGTCCTTCATTTGTTCGGAGGAATTTGTTTTAATTTTCCGCGGTGGAACGATCCCCACCTTGCTGGAACTTTGCAGAGAATTTTCACAATCCAGGATCAATATTAAAATTGCAGAATTGATTATTTTGTATTAGTACTTGAAAATGGTAGCCAGCTGTAGTGGCTGCAGGGGTAACATGAAGATGTAGAAATGGAAAAACACCAATTCTTAAACTTGTGATTCAGTCATGTATCATGAGCTTAATACTGTAATAGATGAGTCGGTGCATCATTTAACTGCTACTGTTAAAACTCTACCGGAACAAAATTTGAGTGGAGTGGAGGCTAAATTTCGATTTAAAGCTTTCGTGACTGCAGGGATTCATCTTCTTGGTTCTTTCGGTAAAGTCACGTAGAAGCATAGAAGTGACTCTCGGTAAAGTCACTTGTACGTGACTTTACCGAAAGAACCAAGAAGATGGAGTGGAGGCGTACATATTTAGACCGCTGCTCTATGAAACAATTGAGTTCAGTTCCCGGTCGTGGCGAGTGGTATCTGAACTGGTCCTGGGACCACTTCACCAAACCTCTACTGATTGGCGTGGTGAAGTATGGTCATACTGCCCCCATGATTTCATCCCTCCATGTCTGCGGTGGACATCCTCTTCGGTGTTTCCCACTCTTTTGGCTGCCACTGTTCAAATTGCCTCCCCGGCACGTAGAGCACAACGTTGGACATCGCGTGGAGCAACCCGCGTTACACCCCAAAAACACGTGGGGCAGCTAGCACTATTATTATTATGGATGCAATTCTAAATAAAGTGGACAATTGTTACGTGGCGGGTGTGGTAACAGTGTGCGGTGGTGACCCAGTGGCGAGATGTTAACTACCTCGCCTGGTACGCAGGAGGTCGTGGGTTCAATCCCGACCACCGACGCTTGCATATTCGCGAGTTTGCGTGTTCACCTCTCCCCGTGGTCGTGTGGATTTTTCTCTGGGCCCTCCGGTTTTCCCCTCCACATTTGGAATCGGCGTGCGCTCAGAATATTTGGCTGCTCTAACTGCCCACGTGCTAAGCCACTTCGTTGAGCTATCATCTGTGGACAGGTCGCTTCTGAAAAAGATCTGTATAGCTCAGTGGGGCTTTGCACCTGGTAAAATAAAACATTGTTCTTTATTATCATTTGTCTTCTTCCTCTTCAGTGAAGCCCGGAAAGTGCTCCCAGCCCAAGACGACGGGGATGTGCGCCGAGTACTGCGAGCACGACGGAGACTGCAGCGACGATCAGAAGTGCTGCCAGACCACTTGCGGCCACGCTTGCAGTGACCCCTGCGAGTAGCCCTCCTCCCCCTCCTCCCACCCCCACCGGCGGAGGGGATTGGAACCCCCCTTGCGGTCGGGCGCATGGAATTCCCCGCGCGGAGTTTTTCCTCCTCGGCGCTGCGCGCACTCACGGCCGTATTTAGGATGTCTGTTACCCCTGGGGGACGCCAGAGCAGAATGCGAAGAGTCCCTCTCTCTATTCTTAGCTAGTTCATTGGGAGCACCGCCGTTATCATCGGCCGTCATCGATCCACTGCTGGACGACGGCTTCGCCAAAGTCGTCACGGTTACGCACGGTGCGAAAGAAGTGCGATGTACACGCGTCCCTTGTGGTCCCTCGATGCAAACAATCCACCTCGCGTCCGCGCCCGCGAGCTTTAAATCGCTCCAACTACACAAGTGGACGTTCTCTCGGATTCGTTCCATGACCGAGACGCAAACTCCATGAATGTTGTTGACCTTCGGTCATCATCTGTTCGAACGACGTGTCCTTCCGGAGCCCACTTAGTTTGCTTATCGCTTAGAATGATGTGTTTAACCTTGCGCGTGTGTTCTCGCGTCCGTGTATTCATCTTTTTTTTGTTGTCAGCACGATAGGAGAGGCTTAATCTATGTCAGTTGGGGGAAGACTTGGAGGACGAAATGTAAAAGAACTTAATAAACAGAAATTAAAAAAATGTGATCGTTTATATTGTTCATCAAGATGTCATCACGCCCAGAACTGTTGATGTCACCGCATCTCGCCAGCGCTCTCCGCCAAAGCTCGCAGCTGCCACACAGCTGACACGCGATCTCCAAGATTTGCCGTAATAGAATCTCACCGTCTGTTCGTAGGTCTTCCCCTTGGTCGCTGGACTCGTGGAGTCCATGTATTGGTCATGCTGCAACAATAATCATCATGCTCAAACAATAATCATCATAAACAGTCCCTCTGGAGATGTCAGCCGCCGGACAAATGCCCCGTGTGTCTCCCCTACACCTAAACCCGGCCCTGCGTGCACCTGCGTTGCATCGTGTGTCACTGTGTGAGATCACGTGCACCCGTGTTAGATCGTGGACTAAGACAGCCTGCCGCTGGAGATGTTATCAGTCGGGCCATGTGCAATGACTGTTGCTGCATTTGCGGCATGTGCTGTCTGCAGACTGCGGCTTCAAGGGGGTTACAAGCCTGCTGCGAATGTGTGGGTGCATGTGTCTGCGCGTGCGCGTCTGTGCATGCAAGCGCGTGCGTGTGCAGGGAGCGGTAGCGTGGTGGTTCGCGCACTTCACTATGAATCTGGTGACCCGTGTTCAATTCCCGCTCACGACCAATAACAGTGGTGAATATTTGAACTGGTCCTGGGCCTCCCCTAGGTTGACTCAGCCTCAAATGAGTACCTGGTACGATGTGTAAACATCACCACCAGGGAGACAAAGGTGGCAAGGCGTGGTGCTGGCCACCCACCCCCTCGTGTGCCATGCTGGCCTTCATCGGTGCTCGCTAACTGCACTTGCCCCTACAGTTTCTACGGGGGATCTTTGTCTTTTATATGTGGACAACGGTAACATCGTGGTCATCCCACCACACTACAAAACCGGCAACTGGAGTTTGATTCCAGGCCATGGCAAACATTAGCGGTGAATACGTTAACCAGTCCTGGGCCTCAACCTAAGTTGATTGAGCCTTCATTATCTGGGGAGACAATGGTGGCCGGGTGTGGCGTTGGTCGTGCCGCTACATCATGTGCTGTGCCGGCCTTCATAGGTACTCAACAGACAGCATTGGCTACAGCAGCCTGAAGAGAGCTTTAAGTGGATCTTTTTCTGTGTGTGACGTGTGCCTGGGTGCTATACTGTTATTCCCTAAATAGTTTAATTTTCAGTTGCAGTGATTTTTTTTCCCTTTTAAAAATTGTCACGTCAATCTAGATGTGGGCTGTGTTGCCCCAAATGCCAGAGTGACATCAGAACAAAAAAACGGAGCCAAAAGAGTGTATCTGTAAGCGTGTCTGTCTATGTGTCTGTCTGTCTGAGTGTCTGTAAGAGTGTATGTCTGTCTGAGAGTGTCTGTCTGTCTGTCAGTGTCTGTTTTTAAGTGTGTCTGTAAGATTGTCTGTCAGAGTGTCTGTGAGTTGTCTGTCTGCCTCACCTTGGTTCAACTTGGGCCAGCAGACAGGCAGGCAGAGCCATGTGGGCAAGGATCAGCATTCGTGTTCTTTACACTGTGGCTTATAAATAGCGGTGTTTGTAGAACTCTGAAATCTGATGCAATGGCAATTTAGTCTCTAAATAAACACACGTAACCCTGCCAAGTGCTACTTATCTAGAAGTGTTTTTTTATGTCTTTGTCGTCAAGTAACATTTCTTTTTGCGGGTGACATGGCTGAGCCGATAGCGCGTCTGCAACGTCGTTTGCAGAGGTTTCAAGGTTCGAACCCAACAGCCGCCCCTGGTTAACACTGCGGGTGCTTTGAGCACGAGTATTCGTCGTCTGCTTCAAAGTGGACGTTCCTCGGAAAAGGTGGCGCGCTAAAATGTTGTCGGTGTCACGGTCCAAAGTTGAAAAGTTCCTCGCAAATTCCTGTCTTGGATAAAGCCTCACAGCTACATTGCCCCCCTCTCTCCCCTCCCCCCGCCCTTTTAATCTGTGAAACATAGCGCCTTCGCGATAGCCTTGCACAAGGAGAATGACAAATTCCACATTTACCAAATTGTCATTAGTAAGTGCATAAGTTGTGGCCAACTGGTATCTATGAAAGGTCATTCAAAGGTCGGGGCTTGGGGAATGTGGAGCGGTGGTGTAGTGGTTCGCGGCGCGAGGAAACAACCACATGAGTGGTGAATTATCTGAACTGGTCCTGTGCCTCCCCTAGGTTAACTTAACATTACATCATGACCTGGCGCAGTGTGTAAACATCGGCACTGGCTTCCACTAGCAACCCCCTTGCACGCCGTACCGACCTTCATGGGTGCTCGCTAACAGCACTAGCCCCAAGTAGCCTGTGTGGGCGATGTGGGAATGACTTTGAATTTTGGTGTTGGGCACACGATGCCCAAGCAAACTCTTTAGATAGCACTCGCTGCCCATGCACGGGCAGCTATTAAATGTGGCCTACCTTTCTTACATCATTGAGATGAAAATCATTGCAAAGATTTTCTGCTACTGCATAACAATGAAGCACTCATTGATTTGTATCACGCAGTATGAATATCATTTTTTTAATGACATTCTAAGGGGACATTCTTTGTTCACAAAGCACTTTGATGGTGCCCTCCCATGGGGCCAAGTTTCTAGCTGGCAGTATATACCGTATATAAATTGTGTAAATGGGGACACCGCAGTTAGTCGATCGACAGCTCACGTGTGGCGGTGTCTGGCCAACTTGGAAGGGCAGACCAAGTAACATTCACAATTCTGGCAAAATTGCCAGACGATGCTGGGGTGTAATCACCGGCGAAACGTCACGGAACTCAAAGTGTAAATGTTGTGGATTTACTCTCCAAACACACCGACCGGAGGGCTGAAGTAGCAACGGTTTTTTTTTTACCGTGACAGAACTAATTGGCTGTGTCGGGTGGCGGGGGGTCAACGGACACATCTACACTTACGCGATCTAACCCAGGAAAAAATTATCTATGACAAATAAAAACCTCCTAGAGCTTCCACTCGCAGAGACCCTTTTAAGTCAGCAGTGGCATGTGCGAGCAGTTCCAGCACACACACTTTTGTTACCTTTGTATTTTCAGCCGAACATTGCAACCTCCCGCTGGAAAGTATCCTTGTTGCGGGGGTCTTTATCATAGTTGAGCTGACAGCTCAACAACAACAATAACGCAATTGCCAACTTGATGAGCCAAACAGCATCTGTACTGGTATTGAGTGTTCTTTCAAGCTTTAATCACGATGAAAGACTGCATTTTTCTTTCTTTCAATTGTATTACCAAACCAGTCAATCTATTCGTAGGAAGGGGAATGATGGATTGATTTTTCTTCCCACCCCCCACCACCCAATGCAAACTCATTTCCCTATCATCCTCGACAAAAGTTTTCTTAAAGAAGATCTGCTTCGCCGGAACGAAATGTCAAGTTAACCTTATTACATCGCGTGACAAGCTCGCAAATGTGGGGCTCCGTTTGTTGTTCTCAGTTGGCCGGACGATCTCAAAACTTTACTTGCGGCGGGGGCGACGGCCTTGCAGGCGTAATCGTCGCCGCAATGACACCCCAACCCCCCCTCCCCTTGTCACTCAAAATCTGCAGCGGGCATCCTCGACTACGATGTTAACTCCCTCCGCCCTTTTTTTCAAACAGTGGTCAGAAGACTGATGCAGAATCGCACTAAAAGAGGCCTCTTAACAATTTCACGTTTTCGCTCTGGCCAACTGCTGTCCGTCACGTGACAAAAAAAATCACACGCACACAATGAGTCGGATTTTCAATGTGTTTTATTTTTGTGTGGGGGGGGGCGGGGGGGGATTGTGATGTCTCTGACGTGTCGCTCTCCGCTTGCTTGGAGCTTCTCTTCAGGACCTGAATGTTGTCGTTTTTTACGGGTTGCAAAGAAACACCCAAGAGAGGTTTGGTGGGTGGACTACTGCAAATGTAAATGTAGTACGTCCCCTGCACTGCCCATTGGCACGGTCGGCTACGTACGGTTCCTCCAAAACACATCGCGAGAGATGAAGATCAAAACCACAAAGAGCTCAGCAGTGGTCCACAGAGAAGTCCACCATTAAATGATTTGCTGAACAACAACAAATACAACTTTTCGATTTAAAGCTTTCGTGACTGCAGGGATTCATCTTCTTGGTTCTTTCGGTAAAGTCACGCAGAAGGGAAATAATTAAATAATAAAAATAAAACATTATAAAATATAATTCTCACGACGTTTCGGCCACAACGCAAGCAGCCGTCCTCAGGTGAAGAACATGTCTTTCCGACAGACCTGTTATTTGCAGTAGGTCTTTCCGACAGACCTGTTCTTCACCTGAGGACGGCTGCTTGCGTTGTGGCCGAAACGTCGTGAGAATTGTATTTTATGTTTTATTTTTATTATTTTATTATTTCCCTTCTACGTGACTTTACCGAAAGAACCAAGAAGAAGATATGAGATCATTTGCAAAGGTGGCATCCACATTCTTGATATCCACAATTGCCAAACGTACCATTTCCATGAGCATGTTAAGGTCGAGTTGTAACGCTTCACCACACCGCTACCCTCTTCACCGCGGCAATTCGATAAATTGTCATCATCTGTAATCGCAGTTTCAGTTGAGAACAAATTCTTTCTCACAAGAAAGTAAATGTAACGGCGTCTCGCTGCCACAGGACTCATGTGAGCCCACGCTGTATCACATATACGAATACAAAGATGAATTTGTACACCTGCAATCCATCGTTTATTGTAAGCGCAGGACCAATGTTAATGTATGAGCCGACAATGCATCGTTACACCTCCGAAAGGGAAAATAACCCAAGGAAAAACACGAACGAGTTGCAAAGTGACACGATAGCTAATTCATGAATCTGTATTGAAATCTCAAAATGCACGCTGCACTGCAATAATATTGTCAAAAAATCTCAAAAATGTTCCTCCACAGATTTTGCATAGCAGATGAGGGCAATAAGACACTCAAATAAAAACATTCACTTCGTACTTAACACATCTTTATGAAGAGGTTAGCTGATAAGATTGATTAATTCTCCCAGGGTCTATTCAGTTGGCTACACCTCTCTGCTGATAATCGTGAAGAGAAGAAGCCGGCGCTATGGATGGGCATTTGCTTCGATTATATAACGAGCTTCCCCAGTAATCTATTACTTTTCTCACTAATCGATTCGTCGAACGATTATTATCGATTATAGACAATAAAAACAACTCAGCTTTAACTGAATGTTGGTTGATAAGAGGCACGCGTCCGATTTACCCCAGCACCCTGACCACCAGTACAGGAAGCTTGATGCGTGTGCCACTGGGAAATCTTTAGAGGAAGCTCATGAAGAACGCCGCTACTGGGCAGTTGGAGGCCAGTCGCCCTTCCAACAACAAGAAATAGAGACAACAAAATAGAGCTTTAGTGAAATAAGTGAACAGAGCTGCAGTTAAGACAGACACTGGTTAGATGAATTGCCTTGTTTCTGTTATTTAGTTACTTGTGTTTATTCGGATTTGTGAAAACTACTGGACTACTGGACATCTGTGAAAAAGAGTGCTTTAGCTCATCGGATTCCCCCGGGATAAATAAATATTCTGATACTCGGGGCGGCTCAGCTTTTGCTCGACATGCGTTGGCCTCGTGCGAGCCACTTGCCCGCGTGCACGTGGCTAATCGAAGCCCTCCCGCGGCCACTTGAGCATCTTGCAGAGGTCGCGTTTCCCGCGGGCGCGGGGGCCGTAGTGGTCGAGGGGCGGCCCTGGCCCATCCAACTGCCAGCCGATGACTCCCTGCGAGGTGCGTGGTAGACCCACGGGGGCGGCGTCCACCACCTTGCATGGCGAGACGTCAACAACAACAACGACAACGACAACAACAACAACGACGAGGTGACAACAAGGGATGAGTTGAAATCCTAGTTGAGGGATGAGTCGGCCCATCATCCATCCGGGGCCATTAACCCCGAGGGAGGGTTTGGGGGGACAGCCAGGTGGGGGGGGGGGCTGGTGCTGCCGGGGGGTGGAAGGGAAGATACGCGGGGAGCGAAAGGAGGAGGTGGGAGTTTGGGGGGGGGGGGGGCAAGGGGGAGCGGTGCCCAACACGGCCGCCAAACTTGTCTTATCGATAGACAAAGACATCCCGCCGTCATACGATGCTAATTTTCTGAAAGAAATTACTTTGGCTTGTTACTTTCTCCGCAACAAGGGGAAGAGTTCGAGCAGTCGTACCTCCCGTTGCTGCTGCCGCTGCTGCTCTGCTGATTTGGATGGAGTGGCAGGAGTCGCATGGTCGTCACCTGGAATTTCATCTCTCGACTTACTCTCCACACGGAGGATTTCATATTTAAGCAGCTGCGGCGACACACGAAAAGCACATTAAGAATAACACTGGTTGAGGTTAATAGGGCATTCGAAATTGAATTATTGATAAGGCCATACAGCGAACTATTTACGAATCTCATTTGATTCGCATGAAAAAGTGTCACAATGGGATTATTATATTTTGCATTTTATGTATTTTTAATACGTTCATCTGACACGCATGACATGGGAGGTATAAAGTTGGTCAGAACGCTCATTGGTGGATTGCACATGCATCACGTTTTCTAATAGAAACATTTACAATTAAACGAGAATATGTTATCTGCCTAGCCTGGCATGCATAAGGTCGTGGGTTCTATCCCGAAACATGCCTTGTAGATTATTTGGCTATTATAAATTCCCACATGCGATACAAGCCACTTCAATGAGCCGTCACGTGTGGCCAGAATTGCCTCTGAAAGAGAGAGAGCTAATAGCTCAGCGGGATACACCAAATAAATAAATATAAAAAGTCACGGGAATTGAGTCTTGGCTGCGCATGCATCGTGGCTCCCTTTATCGCCGCCGCCACTACCGCCGCTCGACGCGACGGCTCTCGCGGTCCCCGCGTTTATATTCGCAAAGCGACCGCACGTCGCGCTCCCGGACCAGCAAGCGAAGAAGGCTGCCGCTGAACAGCCGGTCACAGCTCCGTGTCACCCACGACCATCACGGAACGCGCGCCGCGGTCTCGGGAAGGAGATCACCGGCGCTAGGTCGCCCGGCCACCCTCCCCTCCCCCCTCCCCGGTTCTAGTTGAGATGATTTGGCTGCTATAAATTTCCACGTGATAAGCCACGTGCTTTGAGCTATAATATGTGGCCAGGTCGCCTTTGAAAAATAACTGTTTAGCTCAGTGGGACTGACCTGTTTAAATAAAAAAAATTGTTTAGAGATTTAAGCAAAAATGTCAATCGCAGCGCACCTGCGCCACAGTGGATATTAGGAAGCCGCTGGGCGCTATGCGCTTTTGAATCTAGATTGTGAACTCATTTCTTTAGAACCGCTTTTGTGTTTAGTGTGCTGCCCTTTAGCCCGCACCTCCGATTTAGCACGGTTGGCTACGTACGGTGTGAAATAAGTTCAACACGTATAAGTACAAATGGACAGCGGCGTTCGTGTTGTTGAATTCGACTGAACCTCGGTAGAAACATCAAAAAATGGGTAAAGCCGCATAGTTCGAGTCTATGGTGAGCCTGTACTGGTCAGCTTTTGCTCTGTGTCAAAGGTCGCTCTCAATGTCATCGTGGCCACTACCCCCACCACCTTGTCACTGGTCTCATGGAGTCACGAGGTCGCTCTCAGCCAATGAGTGGATTTCCTAAGGACAATTTCTGAACTTTTTATTGCAGATTTTCAGATCATTCACATTCTGGAATAATGCTCGTGACAAGGTGACACGATAGTTTGACTTGTGCCATCACAGCAATGAGGACCTGAGTTTGATTTCCGACGTGGGTGCCTTTCTGTGTGGAGTATGTACGTTCTCCCACTGTTCCACCTGGATTTCTTCCAGGTTTTGTTTTATTTCCCTCCTTTAGCTAACCCCTCCCCCCGCCATACACGCAATACAAATGGTATTGGCTAAAATAATCCAAATGCTGAAAATGTACCTGCGAAAACTTGCCAGGGCTCTCCCGAAAGGGAGTCTTGCGATGATGACCACCACTGCAGGCAGGTGATTTGTGAGGTCAGACTACTGCGTGTATGTTGAACTTCTGTCGCACCCTACAGTAACCAACCGCCCTCACATTTACCCTGCTGCGAGTTGTAAACAATCCCCAAGTCAACTCGGCTTAGCCAAATTTGAGCATAAAAATATACGTAATTAAATTACGAATTGCGTTTGTCTTCACCGTAATTTGACAGCCCACATGCCAAATTCACGCAAGCTTCATCGCAACACGACAAAGAAAACGCGAAAACTCAAACATACAGCGAAGACTCACGAGTTGATGAATCGTCAAAATTAAAATGCATGAAATCCTGTTTATGCGATTCTAATTTCAATGTTATTTTTTTACATTAAATATTAATAAAGCCGATATTTCATCATTAATGGCCCATGAAATACAGAGAATTGCAACGATACGCGGTACATCGAGCCCCACGTGCGCATGGTTCCAGACCCCTCGCACGTTTTTATGAAAGCTTTCATCTGTGCTACGGTGACATTTTTTGATAGTTGTTTGAATCACAGAGCCCTCGTGTGTTTTGTATTTAAATGTCTTTTATCTTAATCTTGCCTTGGGTGTGGAACTGTAAAATAATTCACACACCGAGATCAAATGAACTCGGCCAGGAAACAAGATATGGTAATTGCATAAAAATGTATTGGCTCAAATTTTTGGTTGAGGTAATGTTCCAGAAATTGAAATAATTTGGGGGAAATTGCATCACAAATGGGCACTTGTGAGCAAAAAGTCCCCTATAATTTAACGTGTGAAATAGCTTGTAAATTTCACTTAGCAAGCAATTCACAAACCTCCTGCGGAGAGGCAGTCAGAAAGCCCCACGTCTTCGGCCACCTCTTTGCCGCTTCCACTTCAGCATGAACGTGACGTTTCCTGAAATTGAAGGAGAGAGTCGGGTTTAAAAAGAAAATAACAAAGAGATTGAGAAATGCCACAAGAATCTAGCAAAAAATTATTCGGCGTGGAGGCGCACGGTAAACGGACCGCCACGCACATTCGGGTGTTGTTTTTCAGAGTGCTAGAGCAGTGAGTGGTCGTACACTCTTCTCACATGGGGTGTTAAATTGCAGCCTTTAGCCGAAAAAGCTGTAAATGCTGTCGCGGTGTAACGCTCGGGCACACTGGGCCTGCAACAGAGATCGGCCTGTGCCATTCGATGTCGCGACGCGCCAGTTGAAACAACGGTGAAGGTTTCGCAAAATCGCCCTTACCTCTGTTCGCCCAGCAGTATTTTGCGGGGTCGGGCTCAAGTAGGGTTAGAGTGATAATTGTTTTTTTACCCTTTTATCTGGCAAACAAAACTGACACCTTTTTTACAAGGAGTCATGTTTGCATAGACCACAATACCTGCAGTCGTAATGCAAACAAAAAATATAACTCTGATAATGTATGCACTGTCCTTGAGAGCTCGGGGTAAGCATTTACAACGAGCTCTCATATTCTGATGGTGCATTGTCTTTGAGTTGTGCGCCTTTTGGCGTCATCTGGTCCAACACCATGTGAGACTAGGCTCTAAGGAAAGCTGTCTCGGGTGTGGGCCAATCAACTTCAAGGACGGTGCATACATTATCAGAGTTATGTTATTTGTTTGCATTACGACTGCAGGTATTGTGGTCTATGCAAACAAGGTGTCAGTTTTGTTGCCAGATAAAAGGGTAAAAAATCAATTATCATATTTTTCTACTGTCAAATGAGGTTCCAAGTGTGGGTACTTTCACCTCTTCCATCACATCTGGTCAGTGTCGAAGAGTAGACCAGGTTCCCTCTAGATAGGTCTCTCCAGAGAAGCCTGCAATTTTAAGGAACTTCTGCCAGCAGTGATATGAACAAGCAATGTACTCTCGGGCTAAATTTCGATTTAAAGCTTTCGTGACTGCAGGGATTCATATTCTTGGTTCTTTCGGTAAAGTCACGTAGAAGGGAAATAATAAAATAAGTAAAAGAAAACATAATACAATTCTCACGACGTTTTGGCCACAACGCAAGCAGCCGTCCTCAGGTGAAGAACAGAGCTTTGGGAAAACTATGTTCTAAAGGATGCCGTCTTGACGAAAACTATGCTGTATTTCCGACCTGCTCTGTTCTTCACCTGAGGACGGCTGCTTGCGTTGTGGCTGAAGCTTCGTGGTAATTTTATAATATTTTATTTATATTATTTTATTATTTCCCTTCTACGTGACTTTACCGAAAGAACCAAGAATATTCTCGGGCTGTAGTTTTAGCCGAAAACTATTTTTGTGACTCGTGTTTTAAGACCGAAGCAATAAAGGCCCTTAAACTCCGGGAGCTGTGTTCTCAGGAGTGGGCGGTGGCTGTGGGTGGTTAGTTTTATAGTTTTTACCTTGTTCCCTTAAAAATGTAAGATCAAGGTTAATTTATTTTTTATACGTGTTTTTAATGGCAACCTACATAGAAAGTTGCCTTGCTTATTAAGATAGCTGAGGCATTAAGGAGACGTCGTTTATTGGGCATGCAATTTTCGCTAAATGTTTTAAATTGCTCCATTAATTGACGGCGTCAAAGGCAAAATATGCAGAGGCTCGAACCGTTACTGCGGGCTGAAAACGAGTTGCACAATTTATCATACGCACTGGCGATTTTGTACACGGTAACAATGATATCCTCTGGTCTAACACTGTTTGAGACTAGGCTCTAAAGAAAGCTGCATCATATACTATCAGAGCATGTTTTTTTTGCATGTTCACCGCAAGTATATGTGGTTAATGCAGACATGATTAGTTGCAAAAGGTTTCAGCTCGGTGTTTTAACATCTTAACACAACTGTTTTAGTGACAGAAAGGGTTAAACATATTCTTATAACAATTATCTCACTGCACATCATAGTCATCATCAGCCACATGGTCAATCCACTGCTGGATGAAGGCCTCCGCAAGCTATCACCATCTCTCTCGATCCTGCGATGTATTTCATTCATCCGGTGCCTGCACATGAACCGATCTCGCTGCTGCGCATATATTTATTATTAATTTGCAAGCGTAATGAAATATAAAGAGGCTGATGGGTTGGGACTGAAAAGGGATGTGGGTTTGTTCAGCTGCTATCTTTAAATGCCCTTGTCATTTAAGATGACATTTAAAAACAGGCATGACATTTCTTATACTCTACTATCAGACTAAACCCACTGGGGATTTATACTTTTTTTTCAAGAGATCAGTGTAATATTACATGAGAGCACACTTCTTGAAGTTAAAAAAATATATAATATTACGCACGCCATTATCATCATCAGCAACAGCCATGGTCAAGCTACTGCTGGATGGAGGCATCCAGAAAACCGATTCTGCAATATAATAATTAGCCTAAGCATCTGCACAAGAGATGATTCTATTGTTCCATCTCCTCTCAGACACGTTCAATTCCTTGGCTGCCACTCCATCATTATTCTTGACGATCAGTCATTATCCCTCGTAAGCAACGGGCCTTCCCCAAGCCCTCTTCTTCATCAGTAGCCATGGTTAATCCACTGCTGAATGAAAGCATCCCTTAGCCACCTCTCACGAAATTGCGATGCGGTTATCCACCTTGCAACCACTTACCTTTCTTCTTAACAGTTTGCATCATGTCGTCAAAACCTGCACATGCACGCGTTCCCCTTTCTGCCTTCAGTCCAAATGTCTACACATATCAATGAGAAGTAACAAAAAAAAACCCGAACAAAGAAAGATGGTGCCTACCATATCTCGTCCTGTGCAACGAAGTCGCGTCGCGGTTCAAATCGACCAACGTCGTCCACTTTTGCGGCCATGGGTGCCGCTTTGAGTGCAAGCGGCGTGGCGATGGTGTCCGTCGTTTCGGGACGCGGCCCCACGACGGCGGCGTAGCAACGCGACGTTCGCAGGAATTGCCCGCGTCCTCCCGCGCGCTTCGAAACACACGGCCACTCGCTCGCTCGCCCGCACGCGACACGCGGTGTCATTAAGATGTCAAGGAACCCTTTCCACCCCTGGCAACTGCATGTCCGTACACGTGTCTGGAGACGCACTTTGGTTCTAGAGAAGAGGGCCTATTTGGGGGCACTTTTTTTCTCTTTTACACCGACGATGAAAGGAACAGAGCTGGCGCAAACCTGGCAGCCGGAGCTTTTTGGCAGTGTTGAATAATAACAATGCCCCTTCATCAATGAGCGCATGGTGTGGACATGAGGGAGACGGGGAGTGTTTGCAGGACATTTTGACCCCTAACTGTGTGTTTTTTTACGCGCAATTATTCGCTGACAAGTGAACATGATGCGGTGTGGGGTGAAAACACGCAGCACGTGAGGCTAACGACGCAGCAGGCCACGGTCGCGTTCGTATTCGCGGAATGATTCATATTTCGCAACAAAAAAGTTGCCGACGCTAATGCTGCAAGCGGATGGTTTGGTGAAAGAGTTTTCTCACCCACTCGTGGGATCTTTGGACAGCGCAGCGTTTTTACTGAGATGCGGGTCGCAACGATTGCGTTTCGAGCTGGAATGGATTCTTCGATATACCATCAAAACATCGTCATCGACTACTTTGTTGTGATCGATTACTCGATCACAACAAATCCTGCTTCCAGAAGGTGGGAAACCCCCCTAAAAGTCAAGCTCAGCATTGCACGGCTGATGATACCAATTACCTCCCCACGAACTCCCCCGTCCGATCGGTCGAGGAATCAAACCGATAATCGTTAGAGCAATCGACTGCCTAAATTAACCGGGTGGCCGAGATGACATTGCATCGTACTGTACAAACTCGCGGTGAATTACCGAGCCGACGTTGGGAATGCTGTCACCTGAGACATCAAGAGCTCTTGCCAATCAATGTCCTGCGTCTTCCACAGTGCGCACCGTAGAGCGGAGGGTGTTCAATAATCGCTTTGTTTCTGACCACAGAGTTGGAAAATAAAGTGTCCGCATGACTGGTCTGAGGCTGTCACGATGGGGCCCTATATAACGCTCCTTTGCTCTCGCTCGTTTTCTTTGGCTTTTCATTTGGGACATCAACTCGCGTTTGTAACTAACACAACATTCTTGATGAGGCTGGAGTTTCAATATCAAAGTTACTCCTGATGTGAAAAACGTTCCTTAAATCTTACGATAAACAGCACCCATTTCTACTTTTTACAGCCCCGGCTGAAGGCTTCCCCAGCTGTATCAAGAGCCGTTGCTTGGCAATACTTCACCGCTATGCTGATCAGTGTGGATTAGTGATGAAAGGAAAGCAAGTGGAGGCTAAGGAGCAGTTAAGATTTCATTTGCCACCGATGTTAGCCCTCTCCGGGAATTAAACTCAAGTTGCGAGGATCATCACGCAGCCCGATTACTTTTGTGGCACCACTACAACATACAATTTATACATCGCGATTAGGTGTGTGCCACATATTTTATAATTCATCTGAAAAACAATATAGAAAACTTAGGATTAGATGCGACATTTTGGATGATTCAAATGTTTTGGTTATTTAGGATTGATACCAACACTGGAAGTCACATTTTTCCTCCAAAGGCGGTGTCACGTGGCATCAGGTGACGTAACTTTTGTTACAACGAAGACATTTTACATGGGAACGGAATGGTAGTGATCTAAAAAGAATCGGAAAAAAATGTATAAATTGTCAATTTAAAAAAATTCGAAACGTTTTAAATTCTAAACTCATCCCTATCTTATATTACATTAAACACATTATTTGGTGACGGTGCCACGTTGGAAGTGGTGCACAAGCAACAAAACAACTCGTCAATAAACGCCTCCTTAAAAATAAAACATACACCACAGGCGACGTGAAATACAGACATGCCGGCACACAACAACAATGACACCGCTGCACCATTTGTGGTTGGTCGGGATTGTGCGTACAGCCGGCAGTATTTCACGCCTTATACGGCGTCTTAAACTGCGCATTCCGCCTGTACACGGGGAATATCGCCATCACAGGGTTAAAACTTTATATAACGCCCCGCAAACATGGCACAGAAGACTGCACACCTTTCAAACCATCTTCTGAAGTGTGGCTGTGGAGGCTACAGCTGACCTTTGGAAATAAGATGTATGCTGGATAACCCTGTCACTTCCAATACCCGGCACACTCAACGACAGACAATATTTTCTATTTTACATGTTCACTCGTTCTCCCGTGCCGAGGCTGCCACCATTTGTGGAAATCAAGCGGAGCTGCTGTCTACCTCCGAAGTGGGGGGGGGGGGGGGGGAAGAAATGAACTAATGGTGCGAAAAAGTGAATTTACGTCCCCGAATGAATCATTTGAATGGCACGCGTTTTAAGTGGACATTTTACCGCGGCCGTAAATTGGTCGCTGGACGTCGTTGGAAGGGTTAAGATTGGATCGGCTTGGGGGTAAAATCCAATCAAACTGTTCAGTGAAGTGAGGATGAAGACCTGAGCTCAAATCTCGGCTTCCATCACTCACGGGGAAACACCCCGCGCCAGATCGCCGTGCCGGGCAGCATGATGTAGCGATGTCATAAATTCCACAGCGTTGGTCGTAAAAGAAGTCAGCGTCTCAATATTTTAGTTGCGAAAGTCAACAGAAATACTTTACTGCTCGTCCGTGTGCCGATGCCCAAAGTATATGTCTTGGTGCCGTTAAAGCGCTCCTCTGCGCCCGTCGTTGCAATGTGACAGATTGTAGAGAGAGAGAGAGAACACTGAGGTGTTCTCGAGTTTCAACAGTGAAGGCATAAAGGTTAGAGAATGTCAGTAAACAGTCTTGTGAGCTGTGCAATAGAGTGATCGAATAAATAAGAAAAGAACTCGCCAACACTCGCCATTTATCTTACGCACTTTCGGCTGTCGATTTAGTTCCATTTGGCGAACAAGACATATCGGCTGATGCAGCACTACTGACAAAAGGTTGAATCTGAATTAACAAAGTCAAGCATCAAGCGTGCCAGTGGCTGACTTATGATGAATTGGGATTTTAATTATTAACAAGACGTCGTCATCGTCGTCTCGCGCCGGGGAGGGGGAGGAGGTCAGAGGTTGTGAGTCTGTATGAATTTCTCCACCGGCGCAATACGTCATGAGGCTTTAGCTCGAACGCGGCGCCCCAACCTCGCATCCCAGCAAACATCCAGCGTCGCCCCGGGACGAGAAATAACCACCGCGCTCCATCTCCGGCTCCACACGCCAGACCCACCTCCCCTTTCACCGTAGAACTTCTTGTGCGCAGCACGTTACGCGATTTAAATGCAACGACTGATGGGAATTGGGGAAAATTGCAGGGTTTGTTTCGTGCGGGGCCGCTGTTTCGATTGTCGAACGCGTACGTTTCCTGATCACAAGATGATCCGTGGGAAAACGTTTCATGAGATTTCCTTGCGTTGCCACCCTCCAACTCGCATATTTATTCAGCCCTTTGCCCTTCTCTTCACTCATCTTCACCCTCCACTCACCCTCTCCTCTGATCCCAGCGCAGTGCGTAGCAATCAAGGTGTTCGTCTTGGCGTAACCAACAACAGGACAATCGGGGGACAGGTAAACTCAATTCCTCTCCCACCAATATCTCGAACGAAAGCCCCACTTTGACTTTGGTGCAGTTATACAGGGTGGTCAAAAAGTCAAGATATATAGGGTTATTTCATTTATTTTAACACTGCCATTAAAACACTTACATTTCTATTCAATGTATAGAGATTACACGTAGATTTTTTTTTTTTTAAAAGCCCGACATTCATATTCATGTACGCACTAATGCTAATGGCGGTCAGCCTCAACATTTGTTAAACATAAATCCAATGACCCTAAAATAAATATTACAACCATGCGTCTCCTGACTTTTGAACCAACCCTGCACAAGGCACAGGAGGGGGGAGCGGTGGAAGCAGCGGTTAGCACGAGGGGCAGAAACACTTCGACTGCGCGAGCCTCTGTCCTGGCCAGTGCGAACGTCGGACGAGCGAGTGACGGCCTCACCGACACAAGAGGAGGGGGGGGGGGGCTTCCTTCGTCGCTCGCCACCAACCGGCGTGGCCGAGCACGTGGATCCAACAAGCCCATGACGAGGGTTGCCACCCTTTGCCCTTGCTTGCTTGCTTGCCACAATCGTCATCTTTTCGGGCCATTAAAGGTCCCAGTTGCGTATATGTAGTTCTGCTCACTCCCCTACCCCTCCTCCAATAATGTGATATGTTATCTCCCTCCCGCCCCCCCCCATGATATGTCCCAATTGTATGTAACTCAGAGGTGGCCACCCCTACCCATGACCGACGCGGCTCACGCGAAGGCCTTCATCCGGCGGTGGAACGGCACAGGTGCCTCCACGTTGACACATTTCACGAACACCCCGTGCGCCAACAAGTGACGGGGGTTTCTCTTCCCCCTCTCTGCCGCACCGATCACGGGTTGACTCATTACAATCGACGATCATCTCCCCCCCCCTCCCCCCCCCGTGGTGGGAAGTGCAATGTTCAAAATCATGCGTCTCCTGGGGTCAATCGCCGTTGACTTCCCGCACCGCGACAACTGCTCTTCCGCTCGACTGTGACACACACCGAAGATGCGAAGCCGACGCTGGCCGCTCGCGATTCTCGCCCGTTAGTTCACAGATGACGAACCAAAGTTCCCTTAAATTTCGATTTAAAGCTTCTTTCGTGACTGCAGGGATTCATCTTCTTGGTTCTTTAGGTAAAGTCACGTAGAATGGAAATAATAAAATAATAAAATTAAAACATGATAAAATAAAATAATTCTCACGACGTTTCGGCCACAACGCAAGCAGCCGTCCTCAGGGGGAGAACAGGTCTGTCGGGAAGACAGCGTCTGAATGACATCCCAGCTTAAATAGTCGCTCCAAACCTGGGGTGTGTCATTCAGACTCTGTCTTCCCGACAGACCTGTTCTCCACCTGAGGACGGCTGCTTGCGTTGTGGCCGAAACGTCGTGAGAATGATTTTATTTTATCATGTTTTATTTTTTATTATTTTATTATTTCCATTCTACGTGACTTTACCGAAAGAACCAAGA